GGGGGGGACTATGCTTATTACCCGTACGGTCCCTGTCGTGAGCGCCTGTCTATAGCTTGGACCGAATTAGCCAGCTATGGTGAAAGATAAAGGGAAAGAAGAGCAGAGGAAGACAAAGAACAACATTTATACAGTTGGCCCAAACAACTTTGCAACGAATAACACAATGCGAAAACCCAAGCTGATCAGGAAGACAGACAATGGGAAGGAATGGAGTACCATGATCGTCAATGTCAGCTCCAGACCAGACACCTGAAGATTGGGTAACGTTACTACTCATTATCAAAATGATTTTGTTTTTGTTTACTGTGCACGTTTCACACTAATTTATAATTACATTGTGTATTTGTCAAACTATAAATTATAAACATGGAAGAGGCTAGCCGTACTTAATGACGGCTAGACTGGCAGTCTAGCCGTACTTATTCTTAATATGATGGCTAGACTGACCATTTACAAAAAATAGGCCTACTGAATTGTAAATATACATTTTTAGTGTGCAGTACCTAAAGCATTTGTATTTGAGACGAAAACAGGTGCCTTAATGACAGTGTGTGTATTTTAAACCTCCTGTTTTCTAATGTTAGTAGGGCCTAAGATAAGGACGGCTAGACTGTCAGGCTAGCCGTACTTAATATTGATGGCTGAATTGTAAATGAAATTTTTAGTTTGCAATGCCAAAAGCATTTGTATTTCAGACAGAACTAAAAGGTGCCGTACTGACTTCCATGTGTTTGAACCTGAATAATTACTAGATCTAGATCTAATGAGACCTGTGTACTTAACAGGCTTGAGTCGATTGGGCCAAACCTAGATCTAAGTACGGCTAGACTGGCAAGTACGGCTAGACTCTCAGTCTAGCCGTACTTAAGTACGGCTAGCCACTTCGTATAAACATATTATTATTATGCTGAACATATACAGCCGCGACCCTTATTGAAGTAATATGAAGTCCCCCGGGGTTTCTGATTCATGAGCATGCGCTGACGATCGAGTTCGAGGTAGTTAATATCTATCGTGAGCTGAATATGAAAAAGCTAGACCAGCACCACTATTACACTATCCCAAGGAGCTTAGAACTACTGTAAACTCCTTGCACTATCCAAGGCTACTATACTCTCTGGTACTATTTATAACAGCTTGGCTCATCCCGGCAAGGGAAATCACTCGCGTTTGGTTGCCAATGTAAATTGTAAACAACCTGCTGTTTTGCTTCTTATGTCACCCTCAAACTCAAAAGGTCACCCATTTCGTTCTTCCATCAATTTTCTATCAAATAACTCCGAGGATAAAATGAACAATGCAGGGGAAAGAAGGCGACGGAGGCTTAAAGATCCGTCAACTCTCAGAGTGTTTTTCTCCTCACCGTTTGGTGGCATGGAGGGCGAGAGAGTTGAATTGACGCGGAAATACTTTCCCCATTTTCACCATGCTTGTAATGCTCGGGGTATCCAGTTTGTTCCTGTCGACATGAGATGGGGTATAACCTCCGAGGCCGCTGACAATGCTCAGGTTATCAATATCTGTTTACGAGAAATTGACAGGTCTGACGTGTTTATTGGTTTCTTTGGGCAGGTGAGATTTGTGTGCACCTGCTGTTTTTAGTCCTTCCTATTTTTGTTTATACTGTCAAACCTAGTTGTACCCCCCCCCCCCCCCCCCAATTATACCACCAGCCCCGCTTACTAGCAGGTTTTGCCAATGTACAAAAAAGGAACGCCTATATGAACATTAAATTTGCGCCTTTATTATAATGCCATCGGCCAACATATATATGTCTCAGTTGTACATTTGTCATTAATTTAAACTAATGTAGCGATTTGCCCTGCATATGTACCGCCAGTGAATTGGCTGCCAGAGGTACATACTACTCCTGGCGCTTGGCACCCACACAGTGACTTCGATAATCTTTCCAACACACGTGATCTCTGCACAAGTTTGGTCTAATAGGGGCTGCTGATTTACTCGCGTAAAAATGATTTGTGCTGATTATGAAATGCTAATATTATTTAAAGACTTTGGCCAATATATTTTTTAAAAATGTGAATGAAGTCTTAAAGTTTGTGGCATATTTCGGAGAGGGTCTTCGATTGTTTCATTTTTCTCACTTTTCTTATCTACCCCATTTTCTCCCACTCATATTTGGAATAAAACCTGCAGATCTGCTTAGTCAAAAAGCTAATTTATTTTTGCCTTTTTAAAGCTATTTTGATGTTCACGTTTTATGAGAGCATACAGCTGCCCGCAAACCTAGATCTATGTTTATCAATCCCTTACAACGCTAACAGTAAAGAAATATTAGCAAATTTGGTACCAATATGCGCGTCTTTTATTCCCAAATACAAATCTACGCAATGCTTGTGGCTAAAATTCCGTACAGAAGAATTAGAGCCAGGTTATTAGCGTGACATACATAAAACGTTATATATATGCTACCAGGAGCGGCAAATTTTGCCAACAACCATGATTTACATGGTACGGCACAGCGCTAAAAATTACGCATTTTCATGATGTACCAGGTACGTCATAAGGGAACAAATAAGGGGTTAAGATTCGGTCATAAATGACAGTTTCTGTAAGATGGCTTCGACTTTTTCTTTTGTACTGTTATTGTACTTCCTTTGTTCATGTTGTAGTTTGTGTTTAAGGGCATATATACAGTCAAAGTTGTCTAAGACGGCCCCCCATTGTAGAGGAAAAAAGAGGTCTTGTCTTAGACAGGTGGACGTCCTACACAGTGTCATTATAATGTAAAAATATGGAAGGCTATTGGAAATGAGTACGTACTGGTAATTGTCTTATACAGGTGGCCGTTAGAGCAGATTCAACTGTAGTTTTGATGATCAGTTGTTCATATAGATATTTTATTTCATCATATTTATGTTTGTTTCTTATCATTACAGCGATATGGCTGGCATGGTGATTCAGATGACCTCTTGCAACGGAACTTTGACAATGCTGTAGGCAGATACCCTTGGCTGGATAAAGTCAGGGACAAAGGGGTCACTGAACTGGAGTTCTTGAGAGGTCACCTGAACCAGCCAGGGGAGATTCCAGCAGTCATATGCTTCAGGGATAAAGTGCGTAATTTTTTAGAAATGACAAATGAAATTGAAAATAAATTTCAATTAACAACGCAGTGTATTTTATCAGGCCAGCTTATATTTATACAGTTTGATTAGATGATCCACGATCTTGTTATAAAAATATTTGATACAATTTCTACTGTGTAAAAGTAGATTATTGTTTTCTTGTTACCAGCACATTCTGTTAATGGAGAAATAGTGCCTTTTAACAGCTTTTAAGTAAATGGTCTTCCCTACCCTCCCGTGAAATCAACCTGTTTTTTTATCAGGGTTCTGCTATAATCTATAACTAAATGAAGGTAGTTTCATAGGTTGACAGCAAATTGTGCTCCAGTCCATAGCAGCTCTATATATACATGATGGATTCAACTTGAAACTATTTGATTTTGTTAAGAGGTAGGGGTAAAAATAATAACAGATTTCCTGTATTGTATGTTGGTTTTTATGTTCATTGCCATGCCCTGATCATCATCATCATCATTGTTTGATAAGCAGAGTAGGAGGGAGAGTCTTGTTTGAATTTCAGACAAAATAACATAACAATATAAAATGTTTAAAATTTGTTTAATAGCTCAACGTTTCGCCTCGTGGGCTTCCTCAGGAGCAACTGAGAGGAAAACTAAATGAGCGCTGTATACTAGCAGGGAAATGGGCTTCATCATCATCATCATCATCATCATCATCATCATCATCATCATCATCGTCATCATCATCATCATCATCATCATCAGGTTTAGCTGTGCCTTTAACCCATTGTTTAAACAAATGGAACTTTTGGATGTTGCATTTCATTTCCTAGTCAAGAAATGTAATATGGTATCCAAACCAAATGGTTTTGATATTGTATAGCAGTGTGCTTAATTATGACAAGCATATTTGAAATACCTTTATCTTACCAGTGGGACGAATATGATAACACATAAACACAGTAAACAGGCAACACACTGAATTGCTATCAATTAGACTGAGGTAAAAATTGAAAACAGCTGAAAGGATTAGCCGAAACATAGTCCATGTCAAGTCCTTGAATTGAAATTTTCAGGCTTATGATGACGCAGTTCGTGAAGATGCCGTGAAAAAGGGAGACAAGAAGATGATCTTTAAGTACACCAGTGAAAGTGACCATGCCACGGAACTCATGGATGATCTCATCAGACGAGTCAAAGAAACTGATTCACAGGTGCAAAGTTCATAACGTAGAGTAGCAAGATTTTGATGGACATGATTATGATGAATCATCTGTCATAAGTTGAACTTTACAAAAGAACTTACGTCTAAATTATAAACCAATACTGATTTAATTATGTCAATGATAATAATTCTGAATCAATAATAATTGCAAAGGACATAGTGCAATTTTTAGAGCATGGGTATGTGCTTTATGAATTTAACTTAAAAAGATGAAAAAATGAATAAATGAATTACTTGTTAATGTGGAAGCAACATGACTAGGAATGCATAAAAGCTTTCTCTCAACCCACTTCACATGGAGGGAAGGCATCCGATAAGGTCTGTCACAAACATCTGTCTTTTGAATATCATACTCAATAGCCCAGTTCTCTTGTTGCTCCTATGTTGTCTTGTCTTCTTTTCTTCTACTATTGTCTTTTAATCTCATTTATTGTTGCTTGCCACGTGGAGTTCGTCTGAGGGCAGTTCACAGAAATGTTTTGATACAAGTGCAGGTCATGCCCAGCTCACCTCCATCTTTCCAGTTTGATCTACTTTGTTCTTCCCCCATGCAGTTCTGCACCTGAGATTGTGTCCTGTTTTTTATTCCAAGAAATGGTCTTGAGCCATGTTTGTAGAAAAGTTCCAGCTATTCTTTTTAAGAGAATATATGCTACTAACATTGTTCTTGGAAAGACTGTTTTTAATTTTTCTGTTATATTTTCTTATTCTCTGTTTCTCAAGTGCTGATGAGAACTGCATATATAGATGTATAACGTTGATGATCTCAGCTCTTATTTCCACCCGCCTGCCTTTGTTAAATGTCATCTTTGAACTGAGACATAATATATAAAGCCCTTTACATCCTCTAACGACTCTACTTAAATTTCCATTCTATCGTTCATTATATTTGTCCTCATACTTTTCCTTGGTGTTTTTTTGTCGTTTTTTAAATGGGAGTGTATACAGACCCGGTAACCGGGAACAAAGTCACAAAGTATACAGACCCGGTAGGGGAACTCTTTTGTGATTTCGGAAAGTTTCAGCGCCCTCTTGGCTCAGGGTAGACCTAGGTTCTTCTGGTAGATCTATGGCATAGGTTAGGTCTAGATCTAGATCTAGACAGACAGACATAAATCCTTGGTCTAGTTTCGAGGCTAGCCTAGATCTAGATCTAGATCTAAATGAAGATTGCGGATGTCTTTTCGATGAACGATCGTTTTTCCTCCGTTTTGGAGTTGGAGGAATTGCAATTTGAAGAAAAGAACAATGTCATAATTTCTCTCGAGCAGTCATCCTCTCTATTTCTCTCTCGCTCTGTTGCTCACATTCTCTTTTTCTTTGTTTGTCTCTGTCTTTCTTTCTCCCCACCTATTTCCCACTAGACGTCTATACATCTCTCTCGTTCCCTCCTGCCAACTGGGGCATGTCATACATTTTGCTAGCACTTCCCCCTGCTCTCTCTCTCTCTCTCTCTCTTTCTCTCTCTCTCTCTCTCTCTCTCTCTCTCTCTCTCTCTCTCTCTCTCTCTCTCACACACACACACACACACACACACACACACACACACACACACACACACACACACACACTACCGGGTCTGGGCGCTGAAACTTTCCGAAATCACAAAAGAGTTCCCTTACCGGGTCTGTATACTTCGTGACTTTGTTCCCAGTTACCGGGTCTGTATACACTTCGTTTTTAAATTCTCACAGTGAATCCCTTCTTTCACATCTGCTAGCACACATTGCATTTGCATGTACATATTGTCGGCCAGCTCTTCAGATGTACTTAGCCCAGAATTTGGAACATTTTTTTCATTACAATGAAGTGTCTTAATCTATGGTATTGGTTGCATGTGTGAAAGAAATATTCTGTCAACATTTAAATCCTGAAAGTTGAAAAAGGCAAGAAAAGGTATAAAAGGTGTGTAAAGTTGTTAAAAAATGAATCTATTTTTTTGCTTCCTCCTGAAAAATTTTGCTTTCTGGGCTTTGAATTAGAACACTTGAACAACTTGCAGATCGAAACTTTTGTATTTATTCGCATTGCATACCTTAAAACATAATTATTTCAATTCTGATGATTCAAATGACCATTAGCATTTATTTGGCCCTTTGCTTTATTTCAGCTCCTTGGTTTGGAGTTGAACTACTCACATCCAAATGAGGTGAAATATTTTATTAGACTATACATCTATTTGTTTACTTGTTAGAAAAACAATCTTTCGTCTCTCCTTCCTCCTGTCTCCATCTCCCTTTCTCCCTCATGTGCATACTTTTTGCTAAGAAGAAATAAGTGATTCAATGTCTTTCTTTTTTAGTTTCAAGTTCCAACCACTTCAGCACAGGTTTTCTAAACTGATGTCTATGTCTTTATTCTATATCATTAGCTTTTCTTGATCACCATTATGATTTTAAAAATGAAAATTGATCTTAATTATTATCTAATACCAGGTAGTTGATTTTTAAAATGTTGACATAATTTCTTGTGAAAAGTTCTTTGCATTTTGAATTGATCTTTGAATTCAAAATGTTCAATCTACTTTAGCTGCTTGTATTGTGACTGGAATCTTGCTCCATGATATTGTAGCCAGATTTAGTCTTTTAAAAAAAAATATTGTTTTACAGGGAGCAAAATTCATGTATGAAACAGTTTGGGACTGTTGCATGGAACTTTTGTCCGAGGCAGAAAAAGAAACCATGTCTCCCCTAGAAAAGGGGAGACAAGCACACCTGGTGTATGTGAGTTCACTCACCTCGCTCTACTGTGGGGGAGAAAAACAACTGGAAAATCTGAGTGAAATGTGTGCAACAGGTAGGAATTTGTAATCTGTACAACAAATGTATGCATTCTCACATGATTTGTTCTAGAGAAAGAGAATGCCTTCATTTATTACTACTACATGGTCTCTGATTTTGTCATTTGTTTTTTGTTTCTTTTTTGGTGGAGTAGAGGGGTGATTATTTTTTTTTTTCATAATTAAAACTTATCACCATGTCACCATTATTTGGTGGCCATGAGAGGAAGCTGGTATTACTTCTTCTTATAGTTTTATTCAAGAAGATAAAGGGATAAAGAACATGTATACTGCTATTGTTCACCCTTTTCTCCCCCTCCTCCTCCCCCTCCTCGGTTTTCACTCCTCTGGACAGTCTTTATCTGTTAGAGGCAGAGCCACATGTAAATCAACAAGCCAAGGCATAGGGCTTTTCTCAGACACTAGTTGTTATAAATGTTTTATGCTCATGTAAGCGCAATTTACATCTGTATAATAATAATCATAATAATCATGATAATAATAATTGCAGTTATATAGCATATATCCATGCTCTACAGCATGGTCCTTTCATTTTACAACTATAATATGGTCGCTTTTAAGGACAAGTGGGCTAACCCAGATTTCGAGGGTTTCCAGAAATCTTGACCTACACCAAAAGTAGGCTTTGCCCTACCTGTTGGAGAAGTTTGGCTTAATTTGGTGTGTATATTTCTTAAGTTATAAAGAAAACTCTCCTTATCTTTTAAAGAAACTGAACAAGGTGTAAATACTTTACCTTCGATTTTCTCAAAACATTATTTTTTGGGATAGCCCCCTTGTGCTAAAAAGCGACCATATATTGTCCCAGTTGACCCTATAGGAACATTCTTGGCTTCCCAGTAAGCACACAGTGCAAGGTGTGTATTGCACATTCTCAAACTCTAGCAAACTGAAAGATCTTTTGCTGTCTATAGCTGGGTACCCATTCCCACCTGGGTACAGTCTGAGAGTTTAACCAAAGATAGTACAAGACAAGATGGGCCACTTCTCTCTTTGAGCCAATTAAAAAAGTGTCCTCAAAATGTGGTGGCGCCCTCTTCACAAAAGCGCACTCTTTGCGAACAAAGTTACCCTACTTGAGTTTTAAAAAATCAAAGTGAAACTAGCAAGTTTTGGGATAAATTTCGGAAGAACGCTTTTTAAAAATGGTTACGCTGACAAAAAACCTCTTCCGGAGGAAAAGGAGATGGTTTTCTTCGTTTAATTTGACTTTAGAATGAAGGGCGAGAGGTCATTAAAATTTTAAAAAACTAAAACTCCGCACTGAACGTACCCGAACTGCTGATGAACAGCAGTCGATCTGCGCACGCAAGGAAGTGCTATTCCTATTCTTCTTCTGGAAAAACGAAAGAGAGCTTCAAAACAGACTGCAGCGCCATCTGAAGCAAAGAGCATACTTCCTGCGGACACTTTTTAGGCTGAGTGACCCATCTTGTCTTGTACTATCTTTGGTTTAACTACTAGACCAATGACATCAGTTAGGAGATGGGCTGGTTTACTCTGCTTGTGAAGGCCTAACACAGACTATGTGGGATAGGTCCCCCAGAAAGTTGAAGATACTCAATAAAATTTCTTCCTTGTGTGGGAATCAAACTTATTCCCTGTAGTTTGTAGAGCCAAAAGCATAACAATTAAACTGCAACAAAGGCCAGTGTGTATACAGAGGTATACAACAGATGTACAGTCAAACCTGTCTAACTTATTCCCTGTAGTTTGTAGAGCCAAAAGCATAACAATTAAACTGCAACAAAGGCCAGTGTGTATACAGAGGTATACAACAGATGTACAGTCAAACCTGTCTAACTTATTCCCTGTAGTTTGTAGAGCCAAAAGCATAACAATTAAACTGCAACAAAGGCTAGTGTGTATACAGAGGTATACAACAGATGTACAGTCAAACCTGTCTAACTTATTCCCTGTAGTTTGTAGAGCCAAAAGCATAACAATTAAACTGCAACAAAGGCCAGTGTGTATACAGAGGTATACAACAGATGTACAGTCAAACCTGTCTAAAACGGTATCCCAAGGGAGCCAGATAAAAATTTATGTTTTGTAGAGGGGTATTTAATTTAGGGGGAGAAGGAGTGGGGTTCTAAAGGCCCAGCAAGTAGGATCAAGGGTTGCCTGTCTGGTTGGCATGCAGTGGTCAGTACTTCACAGCTCTCAAGTGCTATCCTAGCCTCTATGATAATGGCATGCATTAGATTTACTTATTCATTTCCACCAGTGTTTGCTTCTCATTGGACCTGTTTGATCGATTAAAAACAGAAACGATTGAACCTCTCCTAAGCTACATAGTTTTGTAACTTGTTTCAAATCAAGGCTGAGAGAGCAAAGCATTTTTCGCCTCATACAGGTAAAAAACCTTCAAAAGGAAGGAATTTCTGTTTCCATTTCTGGACTGAGCAGGTTTCCATTTTTATAGAGATAATTACTAAGGAATTTATCAAAGGGAGAGTGGGGATATTCTATTATGACAGGTTTCTGTCTGAGAGGTTTTTGTTAAGGCAGGTTGGACAGCAGTTACAAAAGATCTTTATTAAATGCTTGCATATCTGTTCCATTTCCATGCAAGCCTGGAATGTTAGTCTCAGGCACGTCTGGCAGTGGAAAATCTGCACTCTTTGCTGACTTCATTAAGTACAGATGAACCTGCTATGAAGGCCACCTGAATAAGACAATCATCTGTTCAAATGGCTACTTCCCACTTCCCCCTTTAATTTTTTTCATTAAAAAAAAATAATTTTAATGACACTGTGTAAGACAGCCACCTGTTGAAGTCAAAGACTCCTACTTTTTCTCTTTAACAAGAGGTGGCTGTCTTAGACAATTTCGGCTGCACTTGTACTTTAATGTCTATTCCATTACCAGGCAAGCCTGGAGTGTTAGTTACAGGCACATCTGGCAGTGGAAAATCTGCACTCTTGGCCAACTTCATGAGATGGCTAGAACAAAAGGACAGATCGGTTTGTGTCATCTACTACTTCGTTGGCTGTGCTCCTGGAACCACAGGTGACTATTTGGCTTTATTTGGTTCTGTGTATATCATGTCACCATTTAAGTTGTAGAAATGTCATTCTTAAATCCTAATGAAGGCTCAGGTGTCAGTATCAAATTTTGCATGGTGTGGAATCCTTCAAGAATAATACATTTAAGTTTAATCCATTGAAAGGGATGACACCAAACATTTTACCTGATGGCAAAAGCTTACAGCACTAAAACATTTACTAAGCAAATCTTTTAGCTTGTTAATCTTTTTTTTTAGGTTCCATAGGTTTCATTTGGTCAGAAGACTTAATATCCTTTCAAAAATGTTTACAGCTAGTTATGAGAATTTTTTTCCTCACCCAGTCCCATCAAAATCATGCCATCTGATTAGTATAACTTGGTGCATATGATGTGTTAACTATAGTCAACACAAGATTATGATAAGGTTAGTTTTGTAGACTGTACATTGCTACTTTTTCTAGTTACAATTCACTCACTCTGGAGAGACAGTCTTAAATTCTACAAGTTAAGGAACAGTTAAGGATAGTAATCAGAATCTTATGAAAAAGAACATCACAATTACAATAATATTATATACTTTCAGCTATCCAAATAGTAGGAATGGTTACATGCATATTGATTATGTTATGATGTTGATTATGTTGTGATGTTGATTATTTTGTTGATGATGATGAGGATGATGATGAAGAAGTTTATGATACTACGGCATAGATATGAATAAAGAACATATTTCTTGATTAGATATTCAGAAGATCCTTATAACCCTATCCGTACGTTGTATCCATACGACGTGGGGAACTCTGTGCCACCACTTTCCAAAGAGGAAATTTACTCATTAATCCGATCCGTACACTTTGCATAGCAGTCTGTCAAAATGATTTTTTCAGAAATACTGAAAGTTTCAAAGAGATCTTCGCACTAGGAGTATTCTAAATTGTGAAGAATACAACCCCAGGGGTGTAAAATTACCCCTGGGTGTTTGAATAGGGTTAAAGAACGTCCCCTAAAATGAATAAGAGAAATAAACACTATCGACTTTCAGAATAGTGTTTTTTTGAGTAAATATTAGTTCTGTATTCTTGTGCTACCTTAAGTTGTGAAGTGGGCGCCCTCTATCTTGTTTCTAGTCTAGTAATGAGAATGTGAGGCAGCGTGGCGAAATCAGGTGCTCATCAAAACAGTGAAATAAAAAAACCCTGCATTTTTCTGGGTGTTGGGTAATTTTTTTCGAATTTCCTTTTTATGCCTCATCTTATATGTCCTTTTCAAAACATATTTCGATGTGGATGCTACCGAAAAACATTCAACTTCCATTCAAGATAGATGGTATTTTTTTGCCAAATGAAAGAGATTTAAAATGATATCAATAACTCCACATGCACAAAAATTGACGAGTGCCTGATTCCACGGCATCGTGACACAAAATATCTCAATGTTCTACAGAATCTTTCTCTCACTCTTGACCTCGCACCTAGTAATGAGAATGATTTTGAAGTGAATACAGAATCTTTCTTACACTTTTTACTGGACACCTAGGAGTAAAGACTATCTCAATACTTCATTTAATACTTCATTTGTATAGATTCTATTTTACACATTTTACCTCTCACCTTACCCTGAAAATGATCTCAATGTTTTTATCTGTCCTTTGTTTCACACTTTACCAAGCACCTAGTGATGAAAATGGTCTCAGCATGTTTGTACAGATTTTTTGTCGCACACATTACAATGGACTGAGTGCTGAAAATGATTTCCATGTTTCACAGATCTTTTTTCATGCACCTTTTAGCATGATTAGAATTGAAAATTATGTCGCTATGTTTTTATAGATTCTTTATCAAGCAATGCATGAGGGAACGAGAATGATTGGGATGGTTACACAGATTCGTGCTTCCTCTTATTACCTGGCACCTAGTAATAAAAAGGATCTCATTATGATTTTATTAGTCCTTTCTCACACATTTTATCCCCTTCTTAATAATGACAATGATCTTGATGTTCGTTTTTTTGGGTTTTTTTCTACAGATCCTTCCAGTATTCTGAAATACCTGGTGGCTGAACTGCAACATTTAAACGGTGATCATGAAGAACAACAAGACAAAGGCATGTCGAAAAGTCTCAGAGAAGACGAAAATGAGAATATTGATGAGTACAATTTGTACACAAATTTTAAGAATGAAATGGAACGTCTGTCCTCTGGTGGCAAGAAACTTGTGATTGTCATTGATGGGTTGCAAAACACAAGCAAATTGACCAAAACAGCAAAGGTAAGCACTTCTTGTTCCACAAAATGCTTTAATTTTCTTTTAAAGAACAGTGATAAATTGCGTCTTGACTTTTATTCAGACCAGATGAGTATTTTAAAAAAATCAAAAGCAAGACAGATGAACAAGCTTTAACGTGATACCAACAACTCCATATTTCCCAAAATCGATGAATGCCTGATTCCACCACATTGTGACACATTTTCCTCTGCTACTGGTGTCAACTTCTAGAAGTTGAGACTTGGGCTCACTTCCTGCCCAGTAGAAAAGGGGAAAATATCTGAAGTGCTTGTGTCTGTTACCAGATGGCTTTAGCAAAAAAAATAAATAGAGAAACATGATAAAATGTGAATGTGACAGAAGCCCTCTCAAAATGAGGATGAGGTCATAATTCTGTACATAATTTTCCCAGTACTATTTGTTTCACCATTTGTGACCCTTAAGTATTCACCAAAGGATTTATGAGCCCACATGTTTCATTCTACTAAGTTGCTTTCATCACATCACGTTCATGCTTATTTGTTCTACTTTACAAATTTATTTTGTGTAGATATACATTCACTTCTATAAAACCAAAGCAAGAGCTTTCCAGAAATAACAAGATCAAAATAGTCAACGTTTATGACTTATATTTCATTCTGAGACGTTGCAAGACTTAAACTGTCAGCAGAGAGCCAGAAGTCACATATTGTCCTTCTTCTCTGTTGTGCTAAACATAGCTAACTTCATTCATCCTAACGGTCTTCTTGAAATATAAATTGTATAAGTGCTCTAAGTACAGTGTAAGCTACTTATATCGACATGCTTTGGGAAGTGAATTTGATGGCGATATATAAATATGTTGATAAATGAAAATATAAAGCCAAAGAGGAAAAAACAAGGGGAGGTCAGTGGACACTGGTTACTTCCCTTGATTCTTACTCAACTACGCAGTGAAACTAACACAAGGCAGAGGGGAGGGGTGGTTGGAGTTACGGTTCCAAAGACCGAGCAACGCGAGGCGCACACTACACACCTGGCTAACTTTGTTGTAGCATCCTTGTAAGGCCTGTTTATGGCCGCTTGCTGGGGAAAATGGAAAGGCGAGGCCCTGACTCACTGACCCATGGCACTTGCCAGCGACGGACTGAGAACGGGATGGGGAAGGGAAGTGAGCGATCGGGAGTGGGGGTAGGGAGGGGATGCCCAGAGCGTGAGACGCTCACGTCTGTGAGGCACTGTACTGTGTTGGACACTCCACTGTGTAGGCCCTACATGACCTACTAAAGCCTGATGCGTCAAATAGGCTACTTGGTGGGTATGCGGACTTAAACTAATGCATTGACCATTAGCGTGGCTTTTTCCCCCATTTATGTTTGTGGGCTGCGAGGTAATAAAGCGGAGTTGGCTGAAAAAAAGTCGATATAAGAGAAATTGTTTAGTGAAGATATTAAAGGAAAAATTTCGTAATTGGAAAATATGTCGATGTGTTAAAATGTCGATACATCGGCTGTCGATATAGGTGGATTATACTGTATCTCCTTTTAGAAACATTACTGAGCTGTGTGAAATTTTGTCATTTTTGTTCTTAGGTGGAAAAAAATGTTGAGCATCCAAATTTGACATATATATTCACTATGGATAATCTAATGTTAGCTGCTTTTTATTTATCTTCAGCACCTGTACTGGTTGCCAGACAAGTTTCCAGCTGGTGTCTCTGTTGTGATGTCTACAATAACAGCGGACACAGCCACATTTGACCTTTTGGTCAAGGAGCGGGGCTTCACAAACCTGGCCATCCAACCATTGACACCAGACACTCAGCGTGAAATGTGTCAGGTAGAACATCAGTAAATAAATTAAGTTTCCTCTTTAATTAAGGTAATATCTCACAAGTTACTTACTTTAATTTTGTTTCGTTGTATAATAATATAGATTTATATATTTATATATGTATGCACTTTAAAAGTCAAGTTACTCTTGTTTTGTGTTATTTCTATTTTACTTTCCATTTACCTCCACAATCGTTCGTGTACTCACACTGCTTTCTTTGATTTATGAATGTAAGTTGAATTATTTTTTGCTAATTTATCCTCAGAAAACTCTGATTAAAAATGGTAAAGAATTGTCTCCCTCTCAGCTGGAACGAGTTGTAGCGGCAGAGCAGACACAGAACCCTCTCTTCTTGAAGATTGTCTTGTCTGTAAGTCTTTGTTATTCTTTTTCTTGACGCCATATCAATGTTGTTTCTGCTCTTTAGATTCATCAAAAATTATCGGAAGAGTCTGTTTCTGATCAAGGTATGAAAAATGTCAGCCTGTTTCCTAAGTAACTAAAAATCTGGTTGTCAGTGTTGATGATATATTTATTTCAGTACTGTTTCATGTTTAAAGCATATTGTATATTGACTTACTGCTGACGATGTGCTGTGACCGCAGTTGTTAACCCTCCCAGCCCCATTCCCGTATATTTTCAGCCGTGCTTATACCTCCCATTGTCCCAAGAGTGTATGTTCTCAGTTTCGGGGGTACTGAATCTGCGCATTTTTCTAAATTAGTGAACCTAATTATACTTTAATTTTCATAATATTTTTTCATTTACCTTTAAATATTGTTATATGTTATGATCTAAACCTCATTACAAAAATACTTCTTCACTTTTTTTAGAATGCATGCTCCTTTTTCTGAAATACTGCTATATTGGCTGGGACTGGGGTTAGAGAGTGCACAAAAATGGCTGGGGCTGGAAGGGTTAAGAGATTGAATGAAAAACTCTGATTTCATATGGTGGACCAGCATCTGTGATGTTGTGGTTAGGCGTTTTGCTGTCACACATAGGAAACCTTAGAATGATCCCCAAGTGGAGAGATTTTTGTGGAGTATTTTGGTCTTTTTGCTGGGATGTTGTATTCGTCATGTTGGCCCTGACAGGCAGGGTATGAAGCCTGCTTCCTGAATTATCTAAATTGGGTCAATGGGGGCATAAAAAACAACTGCATTTGTACAAAAAGTTTTTTTTTCTTCAATTGTAGATGGTGTAAACTTGCTCACACTTTAAGAACCATTCATATACCTTTACAGTGATTTTGATACATTTTTTTTTCTTTTAATTTTCAGGAAATATCTATCTATGGCAATTTCAGACTGCTGGACCAGAAGATTGACTCCCTCATATATTCAGATGGGTCAGTAGCAGTCTGAAATATCTTTAAAACTTTCATGAAAGAAAGAAAGAGAATTGCCGTCTTAACCCATGGTTCTCTTAAAGTAAAGAAAAGGCGTTTGCACAAAATGAATGTTTGTATCAATAGAAGAACAGTAAGCCTTTATTAAAAGTATTTGTTTCCTGAGTTTAATCATTAAACACATCCTGGAACATAAATATAAGTGTGATAGATTGCTTGTTATGAACATGAAGTGTAACAGGGAGGGCATATTTGTAAAAAAAATAATAAAATCAGCACTAAAATTTTGTCTTGTTCAGAAATTACTTGAGTTCATAAAATGACCAAAGCATGAACAAGAGAGACTATCTAAATTTAAATAAGAGTGCTGTAGATTGAAAAATGTGTATTATTCTTACAGACCCTTGAGGTAAGTGCATCATATGTATTAAGACTGAGAGAGGGGCGAGGATAAATCCTTTCTGTATCTGTCTTTCTTTCTTATTTCTGTCTGCAGAGTGAAAGATCTTCTTGACAAGGTCTTACAGAGGTTAGAAGAAGACTACAATGTGAAGGAACATCCTGATTCTTTGGTGCATCAAGTAAGTTATACCTTGGGAAAGTGGAAAGGGGGGGGGGGGAAGAATTATGTATTCCCTTTACTTGTTTTGTCCTCTCTCAGATATCCCCACATGTGATGGGGGCTCTGGTGGCCTAGAGGTTAAGGTGTTCGGTAGCGACGGAAAAATGTTCTTTTCTAAAATTATCTCCTTTCACCTCCTTTCCTGCTCTCTAGCCATATTCTGTCATCTGCTTTCGTCTCCACTTTCTGCCCCCACTCCCTCACCTCCTTTGCCCCCTCCTCTGGGCTCCTGACTCTTTCTGCAGCCTTTCCACTGCTTCTCCTTGGCTCCTTCTTACTGCTGTCTTTCAGCCTCACCCCTGATCTTCTGGTAGGAAAGAACTACACCTAGCCTTATCGGACAAGGGTGAAAAATCTCGGAGGTCCCGTGTGCAAGTTACGCACATTAAAGATCCCTTGGTGGTCCAAAATCGATAAGAGTAGGCTTCGGCTGCCACCCGGGCAAAATTAAAAATTTCCTACTAACTGAAAATATTTAATGTGTCCCGCGCGCTCATATGACCGTATGTAGTTGCGAGCACCGTAAAACACTTACCAAAAAAAAAGATTAACCATATGTGATGCGTCTCTTTTCTATGTCTTGTCTTATCTTTTAGTCTCTGTTCAGCTCTGAGTGCAAGTGGCTGGAATGCACTACTGGTAGGTCCTACTTGTTTTCTATTTCTTTGTTGTCAGTGTGTTCTATTCTTTCCAGCACTGTCATTTTCACGTTCACATGCTTCTCTATGACTCAGGTAGGTAGAGGAGTGACTCGCCTTAACTCTTCTTATCCGGGCTACGAGTATTCTCGTAACAAAGACCAATCCGGGCTACGAGTAAACTTGGAACAGCGATATGGTCTCGTCAAAGAAGCTAGTTCTGCTTGTAATTACCAAAATATGCAAATACTGTGATGCTAGCTCTGTCTGAATATTAAAATTTTCTAATGAACAGCGGTTACGTTATTTTTAACAGGTGTAGAAGCTTGAATGATGTCTCGAATATGCACGTTCACGACCGACGAAGTACTTTTTGAAGTGGCGCTGGGTTGTGAGGGGGGAATGATACTGATTTGATGAAAGTCACTCTGAAACAAGTGTTGTGGATGATAACAAACAGGACTTAGATGCATATAATAGCGATTCAGATCATGGTGAAGGGGTCAGTACTGGAATTCGCTCAGTACTGACGGGTAGATCTAGATTTATAAAATCCAATGGGACGTCGCGGGCTTGACAGTCAAGTCGGAGGGCGGAATATACCTCAAAGTCTACATTGTGCAATTGGTGTAATTCCTAAAGTCATACATTTACAAAAACTACATTCAATTTCTAACATAATTGCCAAATTTCCTTAAACCAAAGAGTATAATGTAAGAAATACAGCACTTTGAAATATATACAACGAATTCTAACTCATAAGGCATGGCAGTCCCAGGACAGGTACAGAGTCCGTGGGAGTACGGCCAGGATAAAAAGAGTTAATGAATTATTTTTGATACACTTCTGAGAGTTTTTCACTTCTGTTTCACTTTCAAGGTTTTGGCAGCAGTGGCTGTGTCACACGAAGGCCTCACCGAGTCAGAATTGATGGATATGTTTGGTGTGCAGTCACAAGTCTGGTCTCCATTCTACTTTGCTGTAGAGAATTTCCTTTTGAGTCACTCTGGGTTGCTGAGGTATGAGATTTTGAGTGATTTTATGTCACGGCGCTGTAGAATCAGATGCTCTTCAGTTTTTTACCATACAGATTTATTTGTATCATCTTAAAACATGTTAATTTGTTTTTCATCAATCATAAATAGAAGTTGAGATATTTGTGATTTAAAGAGTGGGGACTGCCTGGTGCGACAGGTAAAATTATCTGGTAAATGGCTGCCAAAGTTTGGGGACTTCCAAAGCTTGAGTGTCCTCGGAAAATGCAAGTTTACATTTTTTTGTGCTTCTTTGAAATTCAAAAGGAAATGCTACTAAACGGACGTAAAAGGGAAAAAAATATTTTATGAACATTGCCCAATGGAAATCGATGTTGACTACATTCCCTCTTTGGTCTGATTTTTCAGTTTTCATGTCCTTGTCCACTCAGATATGAGATATGTTAAGATCAAATTAGACATGGTGAATTAGATTGATCTCTCCTTAAACTTTATGTGTGCACATGAGAAATGAGCAAGAAAACACTTAATATTTATCCATTCACCCCTGATGAAGCTATAAAAAATGATAAGATAATGGGCCTTTTGTTTCTGATAATTTTATAACGATTATTTTGTGTTTCTTGATAGTGTCAGTTTTCAAGACAATTCCTACTATGTTACTGTACAGCTAGTGATATTGACAGTGATGAGGAAACCACCTTGATAATGATGTTTGATGTGTTAAAATGCTTTATCAATCATCTCTGATAAGACCTTCTTGGGAAATGGTGGCGTTCTATGATTGAAAAAAGAATGTTTGACATGGAGCATATTTCTTTCAAGTTTCGAGATTCTTTCTTTTTGTCTTACTTCACAACAAATGATGATGATGATGATGATGATGATTTCTTTGAATTCTTATGTCAATAATTGTGATTGTCTACAGGTTTGCTTTCTCAGAGCTTCAGCAAGCTGTAGAGGCTCGTTACCTCGACACACCCCAGAAAAAGTGAGAATAGAATGGATGAGGATTGTTCTTGTTCTTATTGCTCCATTACTGATGAGGATAAACATGACAAAAAAGAGTTCGAAGAGGGAAGAGTTCCCCTATTTTTTAACTGTTTTTTTTTTTTAAAGACCTATTGTTATTTAAAGAGATTTTTTAATAAAACTTATATATCAATTTTCTGGTTTTATTGTTTTGGGAGCTTCGCTAAAGTAATTTTGTTAGAAGAGTTATTGTTGTTGTTAAATTACCTGTATTACCTGTCCTGGGCAACAACGTCATTGCACACCAGACAGGTCCATAAGTGCTCAGTTCCCCCCAGCACCAAAGCCCACAAGGTATCCATACTGATTGTTCAGGTGGCTGTCTGATTATGGTGACGTCTTTCCTTTCCAGATAATCATTCCTTTCTTCCTTCTCCCCTCTCTATCCCCATTTCCCGCATCCTAATGATTGCGTGGTGTTCTGCTGTCTCCCTGTCTTCTTCATCCCGCAACTTTTTCACCAGGGTCTTCAACACTTCTCCTTTGTCAAATTTCACCTCACCATCAACCACAGCACTGCCTGCCAGCCTATCAGCCTCCTCATTGCCTTTCACTCCAGAGTGCCTAGGACAGAATATTGTTGTTGTTTAACCTGGAGCTCACTAACTTCCCATCTCTGTTAAGTAACTCGCACAACGAAAGAGTCAGTAGCTGGTTCACATGTGATCTATTTTACTTTACATACCAAATGCTATAAACATGTTCATGATCTCGGTTGCGTGGGTTTCAGTTATGTTGCTCTTTTCACCCATACTGCTTCCATATATTCTATCGTGCTTAAAATTTGATTATGGCACTTACATGACCAAAATTGGGTCGATAGTGCCGTAAAACACCTACTCAATCAATCAATCAAAAAATTTGATTAGAATCATCCCCTATTTATACAGCTGTATAACCTTGGTCTTACGTTCTCCCTTTGGACCCAAGATTTTGAATGTCTTAGCCGTGGTACCTATTATCCAAAGAGAAAAATGATGATGACATAGGTGGTTATAGAGTAATATCACTTCGATTTATTAATCAACCCCCCCCCCCCCCTCATATTGTGATGATAGGATGCTGATCAGACAGAATGCTGACCTCCTTGCCCTGATGTGTTAACAGCTTGGTTTCTTTTTGCTGAGCTGATTAGTGGGTAGGGGAATAGAGTAGAGGTATGCGAAGGATTTTTAATTGTGTGCGCACCGGTGTGTGTGTAGAACGGAAAGAGGGAGGATTTGAGGGGGGAGGGGTTGATATAGGCGTCCTCTAGCAGCATAATTACCTAACGAAAAACTCACCCTTTCTTCTTGCAGCTGATTGGGTTGCATTCTTGAGTGCAGTTTTAAACTGTTGCTTTTTGTCATAATTTTTCTTTATTCTCATAATGTACAACATATGTTGATGAACTTTTGATCTCTAAAGTCTCTTAAAAAGTATGTTTTAGACTTAGCTTTTAAAAAATAAAAATACTAAATGGGACTTGGGACTTCAAAAGTGAACGTTACAGTTAAGAGTACCTTTTAAGTTGTAGATTCTATATGTTATTTTGAGATTTTAGAGTATGCAATTTTTGTTTGTTTCAGGTTCCAAACAGTGTCAACTTTAATCAATTATTTTGAAAGAGTTAGAAAGGTAATATAATTTATTGTTTACTGAAATTCTGTAATTACATTTCTGATCAGCGAATTTCATAATGAATAGTCTAATAGCCTTGGCAACAGTGCTTGAAGAAGGTGAACAAAGTTATTTAGTTGGGCTTTAGTGTTTCTTCCAAATATGTATGCCTGTCACAACATCTGGGAAGAGTAGAATGGTAGTTTTATGTTTTGCTCTTCTTTTTTTCATATTCATCCGCATGCTTGATAAGTATTATCATTACAGCAGGTGGTGGAGGGCATCTTTCAGTGGTCCTCTTCTCAAATTTCCTGTTCATGGTTTTTCTTCTCACTTTACTTTTTACTTTTGCTTTTCTGATCCAGCAGCAATCTGACTTGAAGCACTTTGGCCTGTCAAAATGGCAAAGAATTTACAAGCTTTAACCAGCTGCATTTTGTTGCATAACAGAATATTCTCAACCTCTGGGGAGGCAGGTAGGTAGGAACAGGGTATCTAAAAAAAAGGATCCCCTTAAAGGGTATTAACTAGATCATCTTTGCACTGATTTCAACAAAACTTCGAACAAATAAAATTCAACCAGGGGGACATCAAGTTTGTATATATAGAAAAAATCAGTCAACGTGTTTGAGAAATATCAAATTTTAACAATTTCAACCGAAATCGGGTAAAATGTAAAATTTTACTTCTTTAGAATATTCAGCAACAACGGCGTGATGGGCCTGTTCTGATTTCAGGACTAAAACGATAAAACCAAGACAGTCACATCAGATGGGTATCTCACCATGCTCAAAAAGTTTAGGAGAAGTTTGGGGAGGAGAAGATGTTATGCTGTTGAGGAGGCCTGGTTCCAGTGTGATTGGGCCACACCCCGCACATCAAAAGTGGCCTTTGTATAGTTGACACAAAGGTTTGAGAAACGTCTTATGAGCTGAAAGCTTACAAATGAATTGGTTTTTCCCCTTTTTCCCTAGAACTCGGCAATAGGAGATGGTCTGAAAAATCCCCATACCGCCCGAGTGGCTGCAGAGTTGCCCTGGCTGTACCAGCTCATTGACAACAAGGAGGGTCTGACTCGGTGCTTGTGTGATCTACGGGTTTTTCACGCCTTGGAAGGGTATTCATTTCTATTATTATTAATTGTTAATGCCATCTTCAATATAGTTTAGATATTTCAGAAGTACACTGCTTTGACTCTTCCTGTTAGAGCCAACCTATGCTGAGGGGGATGCAACAGCCCAGTAGACAGACGGAAATACTTCTTAACACATTACACCCTAAGGGTCTGGACGGGAAGTCCATTCCTAGATCCTAAGCAAGGGGAAAAAACCCACCTCCCGTGAATACAAGCCTTCAAAAAACACATTTAAAAAATACTTTAAAAATTCAAAAAATCCTGAAAAAATAAAAGTTAAAACGAAAAATGAATGTAGTTTCAGAAAAATATAACTTTATGTAAGCGCAAACTGTTGGAAATGTTCTAACTTTAGTTCAATCGGTGTGTCCGACCTGTCACTCTCACTCTCAGCCTCGCAGTCGGGCCCTAGATCTAAATTCTAAATTTTCTGTGTCTGATCAATCGGAATCACCCCAAACTCTTACTACAACGTTTTCATCAAAATCTGAGTCATCTGATTTGTCATATGCTTGTTTTTGCTCAAATCCATCGTAATTTCCTTTTCCAAACTCAATTGTGTCATTTTTCAACAAGTCAAGACACTTACGAAGTGTCAGTAACGCGATCGCACTTCATTCGGCTCTTATAATACTAAAACTGCTGGCCCGAAAAATTTCGTTTTGGTATCAAACGAAAGAAGAAACCTTTTGCCATAACTATGCAAATCAAAATCTTGGCCCTGAGTCTCGTCAAGGCGAGACTTCGTTTCTAAAGACTCTAGATCGGCGCGGGCGGTTCCGGGCGAGTCAGGGTGGAGCGCGTAAGGGAATTCCCGGGCGGTCCTGGGCGAGTTAGGGTGTAATGTGTTAAAGACTTCCCGTACAGGGGAATCAAACACGTTTGTTTTGTTTGTAATGGCAAAGAGCCTAACCATTTCACCACAGATTTAGGTGAAAAAGTGTTTACTGAAAAAACCTATAATAAGTAATTTACATAATAATGCTCACTTCTCAAAGATGAAGAAGCACATTAGAGAAGGTTGTAGATTTCTTTCTGACATTCTTAAAATGTCTGTTTGTGTAGTGTTAAGTCATACTCTAGATTAAGAGTTACTTGGTGTTGCTCTGTTATTTATCCAAATTAATTGTATCCATGTTGGCTGATTGTAAAACAGAACACTGAACCCCCTCCCCCCCCTCCCCTCAGTTTTTATTCTATCTCTTCCATGACATTTTGTCTTGATGAGTTAGGCAGTTCTTGATTAGTCTAAGGTGTACAATAACCTTGCTGCTTGCCAATGTTATGTTTATATGGATTTTGTAAGTTAATCTATTCCTATTGTATTGTTGAAAGAGGATATATTTAGGGAAAAACAGTGGGCTTAATGTATTATGCAAGTGTGATTTTTCAGAAATTGCTTAACACAAAACTGACTTTAATCTTTAACTTTTCAGATGTAAGTCTAAGGTTAATTAAGTCAGACTGCAAAAACTTTATTCAAGTGGAGTAATGTTTGCTAGGCCAAACCTTTTGCACTACATGTAGCAACATAATTCTCTTATTCAGCATGATTACTTTATCCATCTTTTGTACTGTTGTCTGAGCTTTTTTTCGGTGAGCATGGCTGGAGTACCTCTTTTCTGTCATCTATGACAAAGAAGAAAAATGGAACATTTGTATGAGACACAAGTAATAAATGAACAGATACATACAAGTATATTTATTGAAAGGAAATTGACCAAGTTCACAGGCTTATCTGAGAAATGTGAAAAAATTTTGGAAAGTCTGTTTTCATTGTTAAAATTTGTTATGCATTGCAATGTGGGTGTCTGTCACAATGGTAGTTTCTGAATATCAAATTGATTAGATTCTCTAAAGGTAACAAAAAAAATAAAAAAATTACCAACTAGATCTACTGAACATTTTGTTTGATAGTTCTGTATCATAGTTTAAAAATCAAGAGGGTTAAATGTGTGGACACATGTGTTTCCTTGTATGCCATGATGTGATGCTTTTTTTGATCAGGCTTTTAGAGCCTCCTGCTGTTGTTCCTACTGAATGAAGACCTGACCTTACTGTATTTCAATGTAACTATAACATGAATTTCAACCTAAATGATGCTTGCTAGTGTTTATTTTTTTTCAATAAAAAGAAAAATATCAGGCGAATTCATCTATCTCGTCTGTGTGTCATATTGTGATGAGTGTGGCACTCCTTGCTGGGGAGTTTATAGATGGATCAACTTACTTTTGGTTTGTTTCTGATTATCTCTCAATTTTAAACAGAAAAAAGAACCCCAAGACTCCTTGTGTCAATAACATTACAGTCTGAAAAACATGAAAATTGACTTTTTCAAAATTTGTTTTTTTTAAAAATGCAACTGCAATGCTTTTAACTTTTAAGGCACTGTTTTGAGAGTTCTTTATTTTCCGTGTACATCATGCATGTTGGTCCTTATGATTTGATATTGCATTTCTAATTTTGTTTTGGGAAATTTAGCAGATTGAAATGCTAGCAGTTTAATGTGGTATACTGTAATGAAAACTGAGAACTGAGAAATGTAACTACTATTTTTATCATGAAACAAAACTCTTGTTATTGTGTTGTTCTTTAAAGAAATTTCATGTCTCTGTCTCCCTGTTCAGTCGTAGTGTTTACCAGTTGATTGATCTGTGGCGAGAAACAAACCTGGATCAACTTTCCATTTGTGAGAAACTTCTACACGCTTTTGATCGTGCTGTAAGTGATTTATACACAGTGCAGGAGATGCACTTTGACTGTGAGCCGCCCGGATATGTGGTGAGTTAGGAACAAAGTTAGGCTTAGTTTGAGGTCAAGGGATTGGGGAGAGAAGGAGAGAGGGCTGAAAAGAGAGAGGGATGGAGGACAAAATGAGGCAAGGGACAGATACACAGGGAGAAGAGAAGAGGTGAAGAAAGAGACGAAGAGAAAAGAGAAAGACAGATAGAGATAAAGAGAGGGAGAGAGAGAGAGAGAAAGAGAGAGAGAGAGAGAGGAAGAGAGAGAGAGATTGTATTGGTTTGAGAGAGAGTGAGAGAAAGAAAGAGAGAGAAAGCCTCAAAGACGTATGGACAGACAGACAGACAAACAGACAGACAGACAGACAGACTAACAGACAGACTGAAAGACAGACAGACAGAGACAGATGTGAACAATAATCTCAACATTGGTTTTAAAATTATGGCAATCTTCCTAAAACTATGAGGATACATTTTTCCAAGTACTGATAATATACAATAAGTCATCACTACTCATTTTTAGTTCTTGACCATGTTGGATGATGGCTGCGAATTTTTGTTATTCAGTTTTTAGATTACTGTTGGCAATTTCTGCTAATTCTGTTGTATTATCTAAAATTAGAATAACATTTGAATGAACACTGGCCTCATCATCTGCTCAAAATGAAACTTATACGTTGTAATAAGTAAAGACGAAAGGTGTGAATAATGACAAAATGCAGATAACAGTCTGCGACATTGTATGTCTGTTTTGTGACTGAGGTGGTGAACCACTTTAGGTAAATTAGCTGCCTTAGTGAGTTATTTTGAAATTGTTTTTAACTGAAGGATAAAAAAGGGATTCAAAATAACCACTTTTTGAAAATTGTAGTTGACATGAACATACAGGCATTCTTATTGGCCCTCATCATATGACCTTATGCAGTTGCGAGCGCCGTAAAACCTCTACTAAAACAAAACAAGGCATTCTTAGTCCACGTTAAATTTTTACTTTTTTTCTTTAACAGCTGATGCCAGCATTGAACTCCATGAAAGAGATGTTTTCTGTGGCGTGTTTCTACAAGCCTCACATCCAGGTTCTGCAACGACTGCTGAAAATATTAGTGAGTATAATCAAGAACAACAACAGCAACAACAACAACAATAGTGACAGCAAAATAATGTAACAACTATTTTTACCATATCATAAGCAGCAACAATAACAACAGAAGCAACAACAGCAGTGACTGGAAAATGCTGTAACAATTACTGTTAACATAACATTAGCAGGAACAATAAGAACAGCAACAACATTAACTATTTTGATGACTTTAAATTGGCACAATTCCTTTTCCATTTTTTTTTCTGCGTGCTTTGAGATGTATAGATACTCTGGGAATAAAAGAAAATGTGTATGATTCATTTTTTCTATTTATCAAATTTGCAGGAAGGCATTGAAGGGAGAATTGATGAGGACGTACGACAGGTGTACCTCCGAGATAATCGTTATTTTTTATCCTGTGCTCTGGTCAATGATTGCAACTACAAAGCAGCAGAACCTGTGTTCAATGAGGTGATGGCCGAGTGCCGAAGGTGGGTGCAAGTTCCTGAAACCTTGGATGACTCTAAGATTCTATATCTGTTGAGGTGTGAAGAACTAATTGTGTGGCACCATGGTAAAATCAGGCGCTCGTCAAAATAATGAAATCAAATAAACAGGCATTTTCCGGCTTGTTGGGCAATTTTTATCAATTTTTTCTTTTATAGCTCAACACCTTTTGCATCTACTTAAAAAACTCATTTTTGTGTGGATTTCTCTGAAAAAGGAATATATATTATCTCTTTATGGTTTGTATTGTCCTAATCGGCTTCTTCTACATCTCTTCATAGTTTGTATCATCCTAACCTGCAAATTCTATATCTCTTCATAGTTTGTATTGTTCTGATCTGTTCCTTTTACATCTTTTCATAATTTGTATTGTCCTTATCTGCTCCTTCTACATCTCTTCATAGTCTCTATTCTCCTAATCTGCTTCTCTCGAAATATAGCTGTTATTGTACTTGCTTGCCGTACAATCAATGAATGCATCAGGTATCATTAGATCCCTCCCTCTCTTCAGTTGTCTTGAGTCAAACGAAGACCCGCGGGTGCAGCAGACGTTGGCCTTTTCTTGTCATGGTCTTGGTGTTCTGCATCTCAAACAACGAAATTATGAAGAGGTGAGATTTTAGTGTAGTTTGAGTAACGAGAAGCACATGGATACAATGACGACCATTCAGTGCAGGAAAAAAGTTAGATGGGCACAAAAAAATAGCAGAATGAAAGAAAAGAAGTAGGATCCACCACTTGTGTCCTCTAACCACCTTCAGAAAGTAGGTGTATGTAAAATCAATCAGATTGTGAGATGGAGTATTTTTATGTTTTTGGGGGCAGAATGTCAAATTCTTTTCTTTTATGTTATTTGTAACATGTGTGTCATACATTTTTAGAATACATTTTTCATGGTTTGCTGAACTGTTTCTGTATTCTATAGCTTTTTCAAAACCATCGGGTTTTTTAAAAATATCCAAACTTTCACTTTTTTAGAATCTGAAGTATTTGCTGTTTAACGCTTTGCCGCCTCATCTCGCCGATTGACGATGTTTATCGCCGATTGACGATGTTTATCGCCGATTGACGATGTTTATCGCCGATTGACGATGTTTATCGCCCAGTTTCTTTGGATTTTCCTCAAAATATGATGGCAAAGTGTTAATGACATGAAGATGAGAGATTTAGAAAATCGTGATGGAAGTTTTAAAAAATCCTGGACTGCATACATTTTTTACTCCCTTTCCTAGGCAGAACCTCTCTTCCATGAGTCCAAGAGAATCCACGAGACCCTAGGAAATTCTATCTGTGTGGCTCAGACCTTGACGAACCTGGGCAACATAAAGCTAGAGACCGGGCATCCAGAGGAGGCTCTGCAGCTCTTTACTGTTGCTATGGAGGTAGGAGAAGAAACCAAAAATGATGTGGAACCTAACTCATAATAATGTTTATGTTCACCTAGCTCGAGGGAGAAATTGTCCGAAAGATAAAATAGATCTAGATTCTGAGATGAAAGGAAGAAATCAACAGTACAAAAAAGGGAGGGAACGTTTTGGGGGGTCTTTGTTTTGACATCAGGCTAAACTTTCTTTAAACCAGAAAAAACCCATTACAAAGTCAAATTTTAGGTATCATGATGGGGATCCCAGCTTAGAGGCCATTTTAATATTTCAAAACAGGCTAAAACCATTGGGACCCTTGGTAATTCATTTAAGATAAGATAAGATAGATAAGATAATACTTTATTATCCCAGAGGGAAATTTTTCTTGGCTGTACAGGACCGTAAAAACACATGCAGGTATACATAAGAAATTTGAATATATATTACTCTCATTTAAATTCAATATAAAAAGAGTAGTAAAACTATCCAAAATACAGAGATCTGTAATTAGAGCCTCGTCGCCACTGAGCAGCGCTGGAAGTTGAATTAAGAAATGAAGAGAGCCTTTTACTAATAAAAAGAGAAGGAGAACGAGAGTAGACTTTGAGAAAGAATCCAAGAACAAGGGAGATCGAAGATGTGAAGTATGAAAAGAGGAAAAAAGGGAGGGGGACAGGGCTAAAAGAATAAAGAAGCATCAAATGAGAACAGTCGGTAACATTTTCTTCACTGATCTATGCATTCATATTTCATATGCGTCACAATGCGGTGGAATCAGGCGCTCGTCAGTTTTCAGGCATATGGAGTTATTTGTATCATCTGAAAGCCTGTTTATTTGCCTTGCTTTTGGTTTTAAAAATATCCATCTATATTGAATGGAAGTCGAGATATTTGTGTTATCCATCTATATTGAATGGAAGTCGAGATATTTGTGTTATCCATCTATATTGAATGGAAGACGAGATATTTGTGTTATCCATCTATATTGAATGGAAGTCGAGATATTTGTGTTTGAAGGAGGTCAGGGTCGCCTGATTTCAGAGGTAAAATCAGTGAGAAAATGGCCGCCAAAGTTGTGTGACTTCCATAGTTTGAGAGCCCTTGAAACTGAAAATTTACATTTTTTGTGCATTTAATCTCCGACAGATAGTCTTTGAATTGCTTGTTATCTTGTTCTGTCTAATTGCTGGTGTGTTTTCACACATTTTATTGGCAGACACCCAAAGCTGGTGGATGGTTGGAGAGCATCATTGCTTGTATATTATTCCTCTTTTGTTTTTGTCAGTATGCGTTGTTTTTTATTCCCACACTAAATATGATGGGGGCTCTCGTGGCGTAGAGGTTAAGGTGTTGGCCTCTCATTCAAAGGTCCCTGGTTCGAATCCGGGAAGCGACCAAAAAAATGTTCTTCTCTAAAATTATCTTTCACCTCCTTTCCTGCTCTCTAACCTTGTTCTGTCGTCTGCTTTCGTCTCCTCTTTCTGCCCCTCACCTCCTCTAGGCTCCTGACTCTTTCTGCAGCCTTTCTACTGCTACTCCTAGGCTCCTTCTTACTGCTGTCTTTCAGCCACACCCCTGATCTTCTTGTAGGAAAGATCTACACCTAGCCTTCTAGGACAAGGGCGAAAAATCTCGGAGGGCCCGTGTGCAAGTTGCCCAAGGTAAAGATCCCTTGGTGGTCTAAAACCGATAAGACTAGGCTTCGGCCGCCACCCAGGCAAAATTCAAAATTTCCTACCAACTGAAAATGTTTAATGTGTCCCGCGCGCTCATATGACCTTATGCAGTTGCGAGCGTCATAAAATGCTTACCAACCCCCCCCCCCCTCTTATGATGTTATTGCTCAAACTCAAACTCAAAGCTTTTGATATATGTCTATATGTGTGGCATCGTGGTGAAATCAGGCGCTCGTCAAAATAATGAAATTGAAGAAAACAATATTTTTCTGCCGGTTTGACAATTTTTATCAAATTGTTGTGTTTTGGCTCATCACCTGCTACGTCCATTTAAAAACAATTTTGTGTAGATTTTACTGAAAAGGGATGATTAAAGGCGCACGAAATATTAATTCCAAAGACTCTCTAGCTAAGGAAGTCACCAGATTTTGACAGCCATTTTCTCACTAATTTTACCTCTGAAACAAGTAACCGCCACCTCTTTCAATTGCAAATATCTCGACTTCTATTCGAGATAAAAGGGTATTTGTGAAATTGAATGCAAGAAAAATGAACAAGCTTTATGATGGTACCAACAACCTGCCATGCCCAAAAATTGACGAGCGCCTGATTCTACCATGTCGTGACACATACGTATATTGTTCCTTGAACTGTTTCAGACTTATGAAAAACATTTTTTTGGACACTTGCCTCTTAATGTGGGGACCCTTCTTACCAACATGGGCCTATGCTATCGGCGGATGGACAAACCAGATCAGGCAAAGGAAATGTACTTCAGGTGATATGATTGTCCTTATAATATCTAAGTGTACCATTTTCTCTTAAGAGACATCTTTTTGCTCTTTTAGATCTTGCAATACATTGATATAGATGCATCAAAATAGAATTGAAAATTTTTTTGGGGGGAAATCACCAAAAGCTGGTTATATTATGCAACAGTGCATGCAAAATAAAGGAAATGGTGAACATAAATTGCTTTGTGTCTGAAGAGAGCCAGATGAAAACTTATGACATCTTATGTGTAAACCTTCCATTATGTGTGTTTATGGAATCGTCTGAGGTAATGACCCGAGGGTGATAAAGAGGTAGGTAAGAAAATAAACCTAACGTAAAGCATTAATGTAGAATCAGTATTCATATTTCAAAATACTTGAGATATATTGTGAAAGTCACATGCAAAATCTGAATAACATCTTGTGGAAAATATGGAAGGGTATCTTTTTGAGTGAGAAAAAACCCCTGTTGAAATGAGAAAAGCAACAAAAAAAAGTACGAAAATGAGGTGAAAAGGGCACCAAAGGTCTCAAGTGTACATCTGTGTCACTATCTCTTAAATTGTGAGGTAAATGAACACAGGAAATTTTAAAAATACTGAATAAGAAAAATCAATGTTTTGCAACTTTTTTGTGAAAAGCTGATCATTCATTATACAGTCAAACCTCTTTGTACTGCCCCCTGTTATACCCTCAGCCCCCGCTTACTGCCATGTTTTGCCAACGTATGAAAAGAAACGCCTATATAAACATAGTATTTGTGCCTTTACCCTGCCATCCGCCAACTGTTTTAGTTATAAAGCCCTTATTAAACTGATATAAATTTCCTCTCTTTACCGCTAGTGAATTGGCCGCCAGTGTTATACACTACACATGGTGCATAGCACCCATATAGTGACTGCTTGATAATCTTTTCAACAAATGTCTCTGCAAGCTCGACCTATTTCCAGGTGCTTGCTGCTTTTTTCGTGATTGACACTGATTATGAAATGCTATTATTTCAAGGCTTTGGCCAATATAAAAAAAAAATTGAAATGAAGTTTTAAAGTCGCCTGGAGAAACTTTAAAGGAACTGCGCCACCTTGGCCTGAGAGCAAAATATCTGGCATGGCCAAGTATCAGCCCATTGACCTGAGACTGACTTGGGCTCTTTGCTAGAATTTGGGAGTAAGCAAAGGGTTTATTTATGACCAGTGGGTCTTTTTCCCCCCCTTACCCACACCCCCAAACCCACTCCCTAACCCCCTCTGAGCGATGCCTTATCATGTTCTTGTCTTTTTTCATTTTCTACTAGGTCTCTGGAGGTAAAATCTCAGGCAGTTGGCCCTGAACATGAAGTTATCGCTATGTGTTACATGAACTTGGGTTCACTGGAAATAATCTGTCACCGTAACTTTACAGAAGCTGAAGTGTACACTCGGAAAGCACTTAAAATACTTGAGGTATTGCCTTACGTGTAAAATAATAGTTACCCCACGCTTTACACATTCATATTGATGCTGTTGTGCTCTAGTGTAACTTTTCTTTTTAACATTTTTTAAAGGCAAAAAAAAAAGACCCAAAAAAATTTAAATAATGAGAGGGGACTCAAAAGTTTGCTCACATTACTTCTCACTATTTAGTTCTCATTGCAAACTGACTCCTGATTTTTATTGATTTTATAATCAGCCGTAGCAGTGGTTTTGGAACCCCCCCCAAAAAGAGTTGCCCTATTTCTTACTGTTACGTTAGAGCATAACGTCATAGGTATATTATGTACTTGAATGCACACACACACACACACACACACATGTGTACATAGAAATGCAGAGATTTAACCTTCATGTTGGCACAGATGCATGCTCACACACTTACACAAACACCGAGCCTTGCTGCTGCTCTTGTTCTTCTTTGCTTTCTTTTTTCCCCTGTTTCCAACACAAACACCTGTACACTTATGATGTACCATGCGTACCATCTTGATTTACCCGTGTTGACTCACACAGACAGACATATTTGCACATTTTTAATTCTCCCACACACACATATTCTTACTCAAGAGGTGTCCTTGACATCTTGCACGACTCACTCACACATACATGCAAATAAATAATAAACAGACACACTTTCTTTAATCTTTGAATTATTTCATTGGTGAACATTGCTTTCAGCTCCTTAAATGTGTTGTAGCTCTGTCCTTTAACAGTTTCTCGAACTCTGTTGGGATCTTCAATGATTTGTAAGGTTTTGTCTTCATCTTTTACTTCTTCTCAGTGTTTCTGTTTCATTTATATCAAATGTCTACCATATTTATATATTGACCCAGCTACACTCAATGAATCAAGACCCATTTACAGTAATATCTGAATGTGTTCCTCGTGAAATGTGGCTATCAGTATGTTGACTGATCTAAACACTGAACTTCCACTTAGCTCAACCTTTTTGTAGATATTTATGTTTCAAAAGACAGTTTTGTAAATTCAGTGCAATCCACTTAAATAGAACCTGAATATTTTTTTTTAAAGCGGTAAACTAAAAGAAAATAGAATCCTGAGTGTAATGTCGGGACATCACAATCACAACATCTTGATCTAGAGAGACATTGAAAGCAACAGGAGCCAGACACGACTGTACCGGTGGACGTACGCTTTATTACTGAAAATTCTCTTCTCTAAATATGCGCCAGTTGTTACCAGTTGCTAGGTTTCCTAAAATACTAAGGCAATAGAGATGGTTTGCCTAATAGTAATGGACATTACCCTGGGGGTGTTCTTTCTTCGCAATTTGAGCAATCTCCTGAAGAAAATTTCAGTTTAACCCGTTCACTGCCGGGCCAGCTTTTTAATCTTATACAATCTCGGGCTCAGCAGTGAACGGGTTAAAAGAGCTGCACTGTGTGAGGGTAGAGTAGATATGAGTTTTAAATAACACTTGTCTGATCACCATCATGTCATTACACAAATCATATAAAATTGATAAGAAATATTGCTGATGTGATAAGTTGATCAAATCATATATGATTATGTTTACGACTAATAAATTTTTCTTCTTTAGTTTTAAAAAGTAGGTGACAAACAAAAATAATTATTTCTCTGTAGTTTTGCTTTTATTTTATTCTCCTTGTACAGTATAACAATTATTATGCCATTGCTCCTACTGAAACAAACTACAGTCAAGCCTGTCAAGACAACCACCAACTGTCGAGAAGAAAAGGGGTCATCTTACATAAGTGGTCCTGTTGAACAGTGTCATTATGATACAGAAAAAATGCAAAGGGGAGGGGGGGAGTGAGAATGTCATTCGTACAGTTGATTGTCTTGGTTTGGTGATTGTCATAGTAGGTTCGACTATATGTTTTAGTCTCCTTAAGCATGTTACGGCACTTGCCACACAATTAGGTCAAATAAGTGCAGAAGATTAGAGGTGTTACAAGAGAATAACAAACATAAAAAAGAAGGAGGACAGATAAGGATGTTAGATGTTTGAATGGAAAGAAGGAGCAAACCACACCAGAGCACCCGCCAACTACACACTTATTTACCTTATTGTGTGTTTCATCCATTCATTTTGTAACCCGACGAAACCCACCTTGGCCATCCACAGCTGAACAAAGTGAAACTGGAGCAGACAGAGATGTGGCAGACACAGGAGAACTTGGTTGGAATCCTTGCCCATCAGGAGAAACACGCGGAAGCTTTACCAATCTTCTTGAGAGTTTGTAAGTCCTCTATAACTATAAGTATGTTAAGTTCCGAGACTATAATATTGTTTCATTGTCTTGTCCAGATCTTTTGTAGAATTTCTCTTTTTCTTCCTTGTCATGCTCCTCTGTTGGGTCAGATATAGGCTATTTGGATTATTCCTCTGGGTTGTTTTTTTTCATTGAAAGAAAATTAAATGTGAATTTGTCCCATCGACATTTTAGATAATTTAGGAGGCAGTCTTTGACCTCTTGCATGTGATAGGGTAGTGCCTTACCACAACAACACAGATGCAGGTAATTCCAATGTCAAAAGATTTATATGTATTCTCCCCTCCCCCCCCTCTCTCTCTCTCTCTCTCTCTCTCTCTCTCTCTCTCTCTCTCTCTCTCTCTCCTCTCTCTCTCTCTCTCTCTCTCTCTCTCTCTCTCTCTCTCTCTCTCTCTCTCTCTCTCTCTCTCTCTCTCTCTCTCTCTCTCTCTCTCTCTCTCTCTCTCTCTCTCTCTCTCTCCTCAGTGGCGGTGGGTGGACCAAGATTTGGGTGGGGCTTGGGTTTCTTCCACTTCTTTACCACCAAAAAGTAAGCAATAAGAACAAAACAGTGATGATTTTGCTATACTCATGGCGAGCCACGGCATTTTGAGAACCATTGCATTCAAACGAGAAGAGTCACCTTTGTCTTCCTTCTCTTTGTTCTTAGTTAAATTTAAGCTCTTCTGGATGGTGGGGACGAAGCCGTTTCACCTCCAAATTTCTCTAATTAGTTTTTATCTTAAGAAAAAGTTGTCTCAAAAGTGGTTTGATGTAATTAATAACTGTTAAATATCAGCGGCACAAACACACAGCACTCCAAACACATACCGTCAATGAGGGGGATTGGGTTGTATTGTTGCGGAAAATAGAACGCGCCTAACAAAGGCCCAATGGGCGCATAGGTATCTGTGTCACTGGGGGAAAGTGTGTCATAAACTTTCACCCCATTGTCAGGGCTGGGAGAGCGTGAGCCCTCTGTGCAGTATTATTTTTAAAAAGTCTTCTACCTTTTTCCAAGAAGAGTTTCATTAAAGACGGGCGTGGGAACTGGCTTATTCTTTCTGAGCCCTAACGACATTTGATTGGCTGTTAGGTTACTATAGTTGTAAGCGGTGACAACAATGATTGGATAAACGGGCAAGCTGCCAAGCTGATACCTGTGTGTTCATTGCGTGCGATCATAACGGTTTCAACTGCTTATTTCGTTATTAAAGAAACTTTCATTAACTAAGGGATAGAGTTGGGGTGGGGAGGGGGTGGGGGTGAGGGGCTCAAGCCCGTAAGCCCTTCACTACCCACCGCCACTGCTCTCTCGCTTTCTGTTCCACTCTTTGTCCCAATCTAGTTCTGCAGTTGTTTATATTTTAAAGTATCCCTCTCTCTCTCTCTCTCTCTCTGTTTCTCTCTGTTCTCTTTCTCTCCCTCTCTCCCACTCTTTCTCTCTCCCACTCTCTCTCTCCCACTCTCTCTCTCCCTCTCTCTCTCTCTCTCTCTCTCTCTCTCTCACACTCTCTCACTCTCTCTCTCTCTCTCTCTCTCTCACTTTCTGCTCCACTCTTCGGCCCAATATTGTTCTGCAGTTGTTTATTTTTTAAAGTTATTTCTGTCTGTTCAGTTTCTATGCTGAAAAGAGAAAACATCGTGGCACAAGCCCACAGCTATACCCACCGACTGATGTTGACTTACATGCTCAGTTTGGAAATGTACAAGGAAGTGGCTGATGTTTGTGCCTGCCATGCCTTGGTGCCAAAGTTCCGCACTCAGGACATCTTTACCGCTCTGGATTCTTGTGACCAGAAACTGACGGAAGAGGAAAGACCGGCAAGGCCAAGAGAGCTGACAGTGGCATATGCGCTAGAAGAGTTGTAAGTTCATGGATTGGATAAGAAAGAGGTGGGGAGGGTCATCGTGGGTATAGAGGAGATAAAGAAAGGAAAAAAGAAAAGATCAAATTTTCAGCAAGTTGTATTTTTGAGTAAAATATTGCCAATAGAATGACAGAAGGCTCTTTTTTTTCTATTAGAAACATTTTCCGTGGCATCATACCCAATTCTTATTTGCTGTCCTCAGGAGTCTTAGGGAGACAAGGTTTTGGAATAAAAGAGAAATTGAACAGAATATACAACTTTATTCATGTAACGGGGGGGGGGGGGGGGGGACTCATGGCCTTGAGGTTAAGATGTTTGCCTCTCATTCAATAGGTCCCGGGTTCGAATCTGCATAGCGATAGAAAATTTTCTGCTCTAAAATTTTCTCCTTTCACGTCCTTTCCTGCTCTCTAACAATGTTCTGTTGTCTGCTTTCGTCTCCACTTTCTCCCCCCACCCCTTCACCTCCTTTGCCCCCTGTTCTGGGCTCCTGACACTTTCTGCAGCCTTTCTACTGTTTCTCCTTGGCTCCTTCTTACTGCTGTATTTCAGGCACACCCCTGATCTTATGGTAGGTAAGATCTACACCTAGCTTTCTCAGAGAAATGCAAAAAAATCTGAGGTCCCGTGTGCAAGCTGCGCTCGTTTAAGATCCTTTGGTGGTCAAAAATCGATAAGAGCAGGGTTCAGCCACCATCCGCGCAAAATTCAAAATTTCCTACCCAACTGAAAATGTTTGGTGTGTACCGCACGCTCATATGACTTTATGCAGTTGCGAGCGGCGTAAAACACCTTTTAAAAAAAGATAGTGTCACAAAAAAAGTTTTATACTCATTGGAATTAGTACTTATTCGTATTAAGCTTGGAAATTAACGTAATATGCATTAATTTTCTCTAATGTTTGCACCTTTCAGATGGCCAGGAGATAATTCACTGACCGGCTATATGGTACAAAACTATGTCTTGCCCTCTGGTGATGTGGAACTTCTTTTGCGTATGCTAGAAACTATGGATGAGAAAAATCCTGACTTCGTATGGACAACTTATGATGCTGGTGCCATATGGTGTGAGGGCGCTGGCAACAAGGATGCTCTTGTCAAAGTGTTGAAGAAAGGCTTGGAGAAATATCCTGATGCTATAGTAAGTACAGACAATCAACTCTTGATTTTTATTAATTTATTCATCAAGGGTCCCAGTTTTTAACAGCAACAAAAATAACAACCACAACAGCAACAACAACAAGAAAAACAACAAAAGCAGTGGCATCAAAAGCAGTAAGGAGAGCATGTCGTGTGGGCGATATTACATTGGTTTTTGCTTTCTTTCCCCTCAAACTCAAAGTAGAGGGTATGGTGCATCACAAGACAATGAGTACTGTAGTACTGTAATACAGTAAAACCTCCGTTCTAACATATTTGGTAGAAAACTTTCTCTTGTCTGTAATGTTCCCTTTCTGAAGTACCTTTTTTTTTTAGAGCATCTGTGGAGAGTAATGAATGGTGGACCATGTTCTCCAATGTCAGTTTCAAATCTGGTATTTGATGAAGATTTTATTTAGTGTAGAAAGCTGAAGTAGTTGAGAGATAGTTTACTGTGAGTCAACATAATAATGGCCATATTGTATAGGGTACAGATAATAATAATAAATACATTTGTATGGAGCAAATTCTGCCCTACAGAAAGCTTTATCTATGCACTCTACAATCTATATTACTACTCTAGCAGACCTGATAGCATTTTGAAACAATCTCAGCTTCCTGGGAAGCATACAGCGCTAAGTGCCATTTTACAGGCTCTGAAATGCAAACTGACAATATCTTTCACTGTCTATTGCCAGGATACATAAACACACCTGAGTGAGGTGAGGAAAATGTGTATAAAGTGCCTTTCTCAAGGACACAATGTCAGGCCTGAGTCTTTAACCCCCCAAACCCACGACCTCATGGTTTTGAGTCCAGTAGCATAACCACTAGGCTATCAACATTTCTTGATTCTCAGGAACAGATCTTAGGACAAGATTTCTGTAGAAGAAGCACCCACAAACCACTCTCATGAAAAACTTGAAATATGAGTATCCCCACTTCGCTTTCACCCTCCCTTGTTTGTTCTCAGGAAACATCTACTTCATTACTTTTAATTTCTCATACTATCATTTAATATGTATAATAAAACAGTACCGTTTCATGCATTTAACTAAGCAATTACTGAAAACTTTTATAACAGCTGTTATATTTTCTGTTTACCAGAAACTGAAGACTAAACTTTTTGACCACTATCGCTTAAGCAAGCAGTATGACCTGGCATACCCACTCATCAAGGAAATCCTGCCTTCTGAACTGGATAACCAGGGCTTTGTTTTGGTTAGTGGCGAAGTGGCACTACATAATGGTGACTTTGACCTGTGCCAGGAATTATGGGAAAAAGCTAGCACACTGGAAGGCGCTGGTTTGGCTGAGAGGGTAGGTGATATTATTTATAATGTGCTATTGTGAATTAGTTACTTTCCATTTTTTCTTGTCAGAGTGGAGCAAGGGTGATTGGCAGCAATTCATCAACCAAACATCCAAAATGAGCATGGTAGTCTCGACATAAGATCCTGACAATTGTGTTGGGGAAAAATCTAAACTTTAATACTTTTAATTATCTCCGAGGGGGGTAAACCCACCGTGCTAGTTTAGTTTTAGTAGAGGTTTTACGGCGCTCGCAATTTCACACTATGCTTGGGCCCTCTTTAAATATGAAATCTAAAAGTGACATATGTCTATTCGCCCCGGTCATTATCAGTCGTAAGACACAATGCGCTTTTTGGCGCTATGAGGCTCGAAATGCTAAAAATTGACCTTCTATGAATTTTTTGTTTTTTGGATCTATTGAAAGTTTAATGTCTTCTGCTTCATTTGAGATCAAAATAAACAACAATAATCGACTATAAATATTTTATTTTGATTTATTTTGGAGGTGTGTGTGGTTTGTTGTGAGCTTGGGTGACAAGATAGAGGAATTTGGACCTTAAACCCTTTTGAACATTTGACCTGCTGGTGCGTAGCTGTGAGATTATTTATAGATCCATTACCTCATGGCCACATTGCTTCAACGTCCTTCATTTGCCCCTATTTTTAGATTTAGACCCCTTTTCGAGCATGGATTGTCTGAAATATAAACAACTTTGCATCACTAAGAATGGTTGCGGGTTCTGATTGGTTAAACGAGGTAAGAACAGTAACTCCTAGCCCACTTCAAGCTTGTATACGTAAACAGCTGACTGTGTAAGCGTGCCCTGCTTGCTCAGTTATGGTCTGTTGATATTTCAGTTTTACACTTCGATTGACTTTAAAAGTTCGTTTTTACTGTGTTTTAGTGGGGGTTTTCTAAAGATTGATCTTCCTCTAGAACTCCCAAGGTGGACTCCTTACCAAGAGGCCACCGAGGCAGTCTATGTGCATGTGTGTGTGTATGTGTGACTATATGTGTTTATTTGTGTGTGCATGTATGTGTGTATGCGCTCGTGTGTTTATAGTGCTATTGCAAAATGTATAATTAGGAAGTGTAAACTCGGCACGTAAGCCGACCCGCAGACTTCCGAGCGCGTGGTTTAGGTGACATTGAGGAAATTCAGATCTCTTTTTCTTTGCTCTTTCACTATAACACACCAAATGCTGTACACCTTGAAAAACATAAGCTTTTTTTTCGTTACATTACCATAATTTGTTTGTTATTCCGAGTATTTGGATCTAGAAAATCGCTGTGGAAAGTGAAGCCCCTCGCGGTGGGAATGCGAGGTCTGGCAGTTCAAAAATTGACACCCATGCATTCGAATGCTTTGAAGAAAGAGTGATGATTAAATACTGTCTTTTCATTGGCCAACAACTTCTTTAGAGTTTTGAACATGGCTTCCCGTGGTATATTTTTGGCCTTTGGCGTTTAAATAGAAAGCCTTTAAAAAAGCCTACAAGTTTTCAAAGATCATTTTTAACATGAATTATGTGAGATACTGACTAAAAAAAGGTACCAATAGAAGAACAGTTTTATTTCTATTAGAATAAAGTCATCGGCTTGGAATTATTTTCCGTCAATCCTTACGCGAAACTCCGGGGAGTACTCAGTACAGTACAGTTAAAGTCGAATCGCTCCTAACAGGGACAGATGCGGCGCCAGCCAGGACAATGCTCGGTGGGTTTTTTAAAGATCGAAATAACGATAGATCATCGTGTTTGAGGCAATAAAATACTGATTTTTAATGATCTCACAGTCTTGAAAAAAAAAAATAGGCTCCATTTCTGTGTTATAGTGATTATACTCTGTTAATGTGGAGATGTTTGGTGCACTTTGTACTCTTTTATTATCTACCAAACATGGGGTTGCAGCCAACTAGTGAATTTAGCAATATTTGAATATTAAATTAAAACAGCTGCCATTTTCTTAAAAATTGACTGAGATGTAAAAGTATGGTACCAAAATTCACAGGAGACACATGCCTTTCATATGGAACAGATAAATTTGACATACAGCTACTTTGCAAATTTAGTATCTGGTACCTAGTATAGGGCCTACAATCCTAACCCGTTGTTGCATTTGACATGAAGACCATTCTCCTTAAAATTTTGTTTTGTCCATGAGCTTTTTTTCTGTAAATGAATAGTTTTCTATTTCTGTGTGCTACCTTGTAGTGGCATAGCCAAAATAACTGCTTAATTTCAAGTCTCTATCTCAATTCTAAGACCCCTGTTGCTATGGAAACATGTTGCTCAACTTCGGAGCCCGTTTTCTCCTTTTCGTGTTTCCAATCCTTGCATACTTAAAAGTTCCATATTTTCGTCAAATATTGTCTTATTTACTTCATTTTTCCCCAAATTGTAGTGAAATGGTGATAGTTTTTAGAAAGTATGCCAACCAAATTTTGAAATTTTCTTCATATGACTGATTTTGACCGGGAGGGTCACATATAATATATGTTACCTAATTTGTCATTTAATCGACACAAGCGAACCTATTTTGATAGTTCTTTATCTAATAAATAAACTCCTTGGTAAAAAAAGGGACCCGTTTTGAGCAATTGCCAGAAAAACCTAATTTAAATTAAAAGTTGTCGTAAAGGAATGTGCTCGAGCCGCTGCCAGTGGATCACTGGCACAGCGGTACCAACCACGAGCCGCTGGGAGCGGCTTGCCAGAGATAAGGAGTTAAGCAAACAGAATGTCATCAAAACTGGAGTAGGGAACATCCCATGGCTGACTCAGAATATTCACTCCTTACAAGAAAGTCTACACAAGTTTACAGCGAAGTTGAAGACTCAGCATGCTAATGCTGATCAAGCAGGAAAAACGGTTCAAATATACTGTGATGACTTTCTAAAAAAAAATAGATGTGGTCCTCTTTATTCAAGCATTAGTATTGTCATCATTATCATTCTTTATCATTGTAGACTAAAACCAAACGTTCCCCCCCCCCCCCCAAAAAAAAAAGGTGGTTGGGGCACCATTGAGTTCCTGCTTTACTTTACTCTTTTGTTTAGAACTATCTTTCCTTCTCTTCCCCCAGCACTGAAAAGCCATTATCGTGTCATTGTAATTCTGTTTACTTACATGAACAAACATGCACTTAGTTCAACTTTTCTACTAGGCCTATATTTTTCATGACGGCCCTAGAAAACATACGTTTTTTTCTCTCTCTCCCCCAGGCAAGGCAGGCTTTGGAATCTCTCAAGGGTGACCTCGCCTCAGAGGAATTAGGCAATGAGAGGCAGGAGAATAGTGAAGAGAACCCCTCTGGGCATGAGGACGATGGTCAAATGTCACAGGCAGTGGAGTCTGGATCAGGCAAAACAGATGAAGGTACTCATCGTCACTCACTGGTCAATGTACGGTCGACTCCACTTGTGTTGAACTCGCTTGAATTGATTTGGTTAAGTTGATCTTTTTCTCGGGTTCCAGCATCTCTTCTTCTTTACAGATCCCAATAGTTAAGTTGATCTTTGGATGAGTTGATCTTTTTTTCCTTCCCCCGATGACATGAACTGATCCGCAGTAAACTGTATAATGATTTAATGCTCCTTCAGCACTGTGCGGTTATTTATGAGGCAGGACCTCTGAATGTATTGTCCATATCTGATACTATAGGTCCAAACCAAACTTGTGGAGAGCTTTAAAAACTCTTCAAAACAGCCCAAGTTCCGACCGCTCACTTCGGGATTTGAACCAGGGCCGTCTGCTTTATAGTCCAGCATGATACTAATTGAGCTAATGGTGCACCCAGATAAAAATGAAGAGGGAGAAATAAGCAGTCAACTCTCTGTATCACAAGAGAAAGTGGACAAAAGTACAGTTGGGCCCTGCAAATAGCTCAAATGGATTTAGAAAAGAAATCTTAACCAATTATGGCCAAGTCCCACCAAAGGGGGATGGAAACAGACACTTCACAAGAAAGAAGACCAGGGACTGGTGATACTAACAGGGTGACTCAGGAACTATTTCATCTCTTTCAGATGGTGCAACAAAAATGAAACTAGAACTACTCAGAGCTTTGTCCCAACGAACTAAGGAAGTGACACAGGAAGATGGAGATGATGATGATGAGGAGACTAAGTCTCAGCCTGAATCTGAGGTTAGTTGATATATTTCTGAGCACCTAATTTCTTTACCTTTTCTTCCACAGATTAGTTTTTTTTTTCTTTTTTTAAATCTATGTGTGTTGAGTGGAGTACAGGCCTAATGAGAGGACAATAAAGTGTTACCTTATTCTGTAACAAAGTGTGAAGATGATAGAACTGGATTTTATTTTACTTTGAGGCAGCAACCAACTCAATATTTTTTTTCAAGATAGCGGTCGACAATCTTATCAATGCTTGTTTTATTTCTTATACTATGTTGCTGCAGCGACTATTGCTACACATATGTGTATGCTTGTGTGTACATATGATGTACTTTTGATGTTTGACATGTATGTGTGTGTTGTGAGTGTGAGTGCACTGCGTGTATGCAAGTTTTTTTATAGCCATCTGTTGGTAAGAATATTTTATACCATAAATAGAGTTGTTTTAGCATTGCAATTCCATTGAAATAAACCTTTTTATTTCACATGTGAAATACAAGCTGATATCTTTCTCGAGAAAAAGAAAAATTTGCATAAATTATTCTGCACTTTATATGCGCCTTCGAACCTTTTGTAAGCAAAGTAGACTTGATTCATAATATTCCCAGACCGTGCAATGTTATAGCAGCCACAATTTGTCCTCTGTTAAGAACTTCATTGCCAAGCACACTCACCATAAATGCCCAATTGAAGTGCCAAACACCAGTGTCTCTATAATTGAGAGTGTCTCTATAATTGAGAGTATGCGTAGCTTTCTACTTACTTTACTTACTTACTTTTTCATCTTCTGTTGCCGTTAAGCGTCGAGGGGAGATGCAGTTTTCTATGGTAGGCTAGCTCCACAGCTCTTTCAGTTTTGATGTTATGTTTTCTAAGGGTTTCCTTGACACCCTCGATCCACCTTTTGCCTGGTCTTCCTTTTCCTTCATAGCCTGAGTGCTTGGTGTTGTAGGCTCTCAAGGCTGGCTGGTCAGGTGACATGCGTAACAGGTGGCCAAACCATTTTATCCTCTGTCTTTCTATGTAACGCAGGCAGGACTCAGTGCTGATAGCTGCTCTTACTTCTTCATTTCTCTGCTTGTCTCGTCTTGTGATGTTAAGGGTTTTGCGGAGACATTTCATTTCGCATGCAGTGATTTTGCTTTCATGGGTTTTGCTTAAGATCCAGGTCTGGCACTGATAACATAATGTTGGTATGAATATTGAGGTGATAAGCTGTCTCTGTCTGTCCATGGAGATGTTTGGATGAGATAGAAGGGGTGCGAGCTGGTAGGTGACAGCGTTAGCTTTTTGAGTTTGCATTTCCATTTCTCTGTCTATGGACCCGTTTTCAGAAAAAGTGCTGCCAAGATATTTAAACTCTTTCACCTGTTTCAGTTGTTTACTATTGATATATGGATGTTCAGGGGACTATGGTTTCGGCTCACTTTCATAACTTCTGTTTTTGATGTGCTTATTTTCATGTTGAATTTCTCACAGGTGTTGTTGAGTTCGGTAGTGTGATTTTGGAGGCTTTGTTGGTCATGATGAATTAGACATTGGTCGTCTGCGAACTTTCTACATTGTCCTTAATTTTGTTCTAAGATAGTACATAACAAGATGGTCCACTCAGCCAAAAAAGTGTCCCCGGAAGTCCGCTCTTTGCTTCAGATGGCGCTGCAGTCTGTTTTGAAACTCTCTTTCGGTTCTCCAGAAGAAGAAGAAGAATAGCACCTCCTGGCATGCGCAGATCGATTGCTGTTCATCAGCAGTTCGGGTTCGTTCAGTGCGGAGTTTCAGGTTTTTTCTATTTTAATGACCTCTCGCCTTTCATTCTTAAGTCAAATTTAACAAAGAAAACAGTCACCCCTTCCTCCGGAAGAGGTTTTTTGTCAGCTTAACCATTTTAAAAAAGCGTTCTTCCGAAATTTGAAAAAAATTTGTTAGTTTCACTTTGATTTTTTTAACACAAGTAGGGTAACTCTGTTCGCAAGGGTGTGCATTTGCGAAGAGGGCGCCACTGAATTTTGAGGACACTTTTTTAATTGGCTCAAAGAGAGGAGTGGACCCTCTTGTTATGTAGACTCTTTGTTTTGTTCCAACTTGAATCAAATGGTGTGCACCATAATGAATCGAGATTGCGTCAGAGCGCAGTGTTGTATTTTAGTGCAATGCACAAGTTTATGCTGGCAAACAACTCGCAGCCTTTGGCTTGTTTTGGTTGTGAAGTTTAAAGTCAAAGTCAAAGTCATCTCTATTCCAACAACAACAACATGTCATATAAATGCAGTTTCTTAATTTTTCAGCTTTTGAATCGCTCGTTTTCTGCTTGCTTTGCCTTTGCTAACATTATTATTGTTTTGTTCAGGGTTTATTTCGCGGAGGGAGGCATACAGATAGTACAACATCTAAATTAGTGTAGCTAAAAATGAAGGAAACAAATCCCGATTTTTTCCAGTCCTCAGTCTGACTGCGACGGGTGTGAAAATTTTGTTTCCATTTCCATGTGAGACTCTCGAATGGATCATCTTGTCCATCTGACTGGTGATTTGAACTTTCTTGGTTTCGACCCATTTTGTGAGCTGATATCAGTATGGTATTAAAAATTTATTGCTCACGTTATGGTGGTAGACCATGATTTATCCCACTTGTGAAATTGCCCAGTCGTAATCACTCATTGAAACTCCTGATTACAACTTGGCAATTTCACTCGTAGGATAAATCATGATCTACCAACATAACTCGGTAATAAATTTTTTATCTCTCACACTTCCTAGTACATTAGTTGCAACTTTGACTTTTTGTATTGGTTTTAGAGTAAGGACCAAAGTCTGGATGTTTATTTTTATGTTTTTGTTACGAAGCATATAGAAACCACGGAAGACAGCCACCATCTTCGATTTTCCTCCTTATAAGAGTAGACTAGTACACTTTGTGATCGGTCATTTGAGCAAAGTATGTTCCATGTGGTGTAGGTAAAGTTACAGTCAACTTTTTAAAAAATGTCTTGAAAAAAAAAACCCACAAAAAAATATATGGAATGTACTGGAAAGCCCCCATTTTTGTATTGCTATCACTAAAAACTAGAATGAGTACAAAAAATAGATGAAATAGCAGAATAACTTTGTAGAGGAATGCTTTAAGGATACTAAAAAATAATAGTAGGTACTTATACAGAATTTGAAGCAAACTGCCCTGAAAACTAGATGGGAAATTATTCTTATTTTTTGCATTCTCCTGCTAGATCTCCAGGGTAGTCGACTGCTGGTTCTCCAACCTGTGATGACCATTTTTCCTATTTCGTAGGTTCCCTTGCCTTCAGGCAGCCACAATCCGATTGCAAAGGTACACACCTGCTCTTAGGGTAGGTAAGATTGAACACCTTGATGTCTCAGATAAGGGCAAAAAATTCTCGGAGGTCCCTGTTTGTGCAAGATGCAGAAGTTCAAAATCCCTTGGAGGTCCTAAAATTGATAAGAGTAGGCTTTGGCCACCACCAAAGCAAAATTCGAAATCGATTCCTACCAAAATTGAAAATACTCTATCAGTATAAAAACGTTAGAGTACCTTCCAGATCAAAAAGTGGCTGCCTGAAGGTAGTGTACCAAAATTGTGTCATAAAGGAAATGGAAGAAACTTGCTTGCGTCTCCACCCACAGCTGTCTGACAGGGCTCCAGGTGATGACCTGCCACCCATGATGGTCCCTGTTGAGGATGACCCCAACTTAAGACATCTACTTCAAGGAAGGCATTTTATAGCTCACCAGGCAGTGCATCACACTCACATGCAGCATCAGAGAACTCGACACAAGTAGTAGCCTAACGAAACAACTGAGCAAAGTTAAATAAGTGTGATCTCATGATTTCATTATTTTAAAAATAATCATGACCAACCATTCTTCTTAGTTCTATATTATGCCTTTGCACCATTGTATAATTTATACATTAAACCTTTTTATCTATTACTTTTCTATGCTCAACCACTTCCCCTTTTACTGGATGTGTCCTTAATAGATAATAATAATATATGGCATTTATATAATGCTTAACCCCGATGAAAGTACACAGGCTCTGATCAAGGACTGCACTTTTTTATTGTTACATGTAACCCTATTTAAAGGAGAACTATATCTGGAAGGAGGTATGTACTCAGCAAAATAAAATTGAAGTTTACTCTTTGACTTTTCATTGTCCACGTGAAAACAGAAATTCATTCTCATTCACAAAAATGATCTTTGCCCAAAGCAGGCGTACTTTTGCAAAGGTTATTAGAATAAGTGTGAAGAAAGCAGAATGTGTCTGACACGCAACACTACAAAAAAACACATCATTTCCACACTAGAACAGTAGTGAAATTGTCAGTATTGTCACGCTCTTCGCCTTGTACACAAAGTATGTGAGTTTGATTCCCACATGGGAAGATGTTTTATTGAGTATCTCTATCTTTGTTGTGAAGTATCACATAGCACAAGTCGAGTCTGACAGGCTGAAGTAGTCCACCTCCAAAACAATGTTTATAGTGTCAATCAAAGTTGAAAATATTTTTTACCACAAACTCATTTCATTCCATGTTCTGATCTTAAAAGATTTCTGAGACATTTTCTGTAACATTTGCTATCATCCTTTGTCTTGATGTCATTGTCTGTTAATAAAATGTGATATGTTTATATTATTATACAAATGCTTTGACACACCCCTTTTGGTGATGCATATTTATGTAAAGCAAGCATGACTTTTGCTTATTGCTGGCCATTTCTTTTGAAAAAAGATATGCGGGTATACTTGAAGACCTCTTGAAAACTAGTTATGTGAATCACAGTCACATTTTAACAAATATATTTAAGTACTGCTTTTCATATATGAAATGTGTGACTAATTTCTTTTCACCAAAATAAAGAAAATAAAAAGAGTAAGCCAAACAATATAATGAAAAACAATTTTCTTGAAAAAGGAAAGTGTGCCTTTATACCAACGTTAAACATATACTCTCTATCATACATTGTAAATTTTTCTAAAAGAAAGAATTTGTTGAGTTGTTGTTTTAAGACTAGAGAGCTCATTAACTCCCCCTATTTGCCTGAAATAGAGTAGGAAAATGGTAACACTCAGGCAGAAATAAAAGAAGCAGACCACCCCAAGTGACAATGAACCATACTCGTCAAAGAGAAACACGACCAATTGGCATCTCGGGTCATTGCAGAAGAAAAACTAATTGGTAGAAATGAAACAAAATGATGAAAACTGAATAGACGAAGATAAAATTTTATTTTGGTAAAAAACCGATCCAGTCCTGTGAAACAAAAGTGAGGACTCGAAAAACATAATATTCAAATTGTAAAGCAAACATAAGTACACGAGGTACGATATATAAACACCATTTTGCTAGATAGATGATCAAAAGAAACTGAAAACCCTTGTAAATTTCACAACAGAGAGTGGAAAGTATTCCTGTTGTCACTCTGAGACAGCAAGATTTCCATTTCTTTCCCAAACCCTTTGAATCTATTCAGGTAGTCTTTTCCTCACAGCTCCTCTCATCTTTCATGGTAACTTAACAGACTCTGCAGCAAAATCTGCATGTAAACAAAACAACACGGCACCAGGCATACCTGGTACATACATAAATGACGTGCACCAGTTTTCTTCATAGTGTGTCCATCACAGTATAAGCTGACAGCCTCGCGGCGCTTGCAGGTTGAGTTGAGGTGACTTTGTCTGACAGGAGTAACGGAATCCGCCTATTGTACATGTCCTGTTAGTCAACAACACCAGCTGTGGTCATATTTTGTCCAAGCAGTTAAGTCCAATCCTCTATATTGATGCTTGTTCTATGATCTTTTTCTAAAAGCAAGAAAACAGGAGAAAGGGGAATTTAAAATACATTTTAGAAAAAAATTTAATTCAACTCTCTATTTTATAGCCTGTAGTGGAGTGGTATGTGGAGATAAGTACATGGTGGTGTCTTAACTACTATGTTATCAAATAAAACATGGGGCATATGATACAGGCTGAAATTTACCAATCTTGGTAGAAGTAGAAGCAATCTGAGTCAACCTTCAGGCGTCATGTATTTTGAACATTCTGACAAACATTTTCTTTTCCAAATAATAATGGCACAGTTCTATGGACAACAGAAAAGTAAGGATCCAGCTCAAAATCATGAATATCATGGGTCTATAGAAATACTGAAAGGAGACACTTGCTTTCCTAAATAATATTAGTGAATACTTTCTTTAAAAATATTTACTGCGCTCATGACATTGTTTTCTCGAGTGTCTTCAACAGTGTCATGTCAAATAATATATAATATATTTTGTATACTGTGGTGTGTACGCATGTTATCACAGTAAAGATAATTAAATTTTTTTTTTGCAATTTGCTCAAATGTTTACATGTAAAATATATAGTTTTTCTTTACATTGATTTAATTCATGCCTGTTTCATTTTTTTTATAAGTGCCCTTCTCTAGTAGTAGTAGGGGAATGCACGACAGCATGAAAGAAACATTCCCACATGAAAGCACTTAATAAGTCTTTAGTGAGTTTAGTAATTATTAACTTTGAGCCTGAATGAAATGTATAATATTCTGAAAGTGAAGCTGTTATTTTACAATCTCAAAGAAAAAAATCATACCTTTTGCTTATTTCATACTTGCATAAAGCATCTGAACAAATTCATTTTGATAATAAAATCTCTTTCAGTTCATACAAAGATATACTAGTACAACCCAATGTTTATTTATCAACTGCAGCCATGTCAGAGGTAAGAGTCTCTTACTTATGAACAGCAAAATTATCAACATTTGAATGAACTATTTCAGGACATTGTCACTGCTCAATATGGAATTTTACGCAATATATTTTCCTTTTTATATTTCATTTATATTCTATTTTTTACACTTTATTCTGAGCATCTTTTTGTGATTAGACTATTGCGTATAAAGAAATAAAATGGTCCTTTTAAAGTGAATTATTATTTTTCTGCACATCCTTCCATTGTTTCTGTCAAAATGACAATTTTAAGGTTCAAAATCATTCCTGCTAATTTTGAAAAGATTCCCGTTCTCAAAGCACCAATTTTAAAACAGTTTACACTTTACTGCTTGAAACAAGCCTGATGGTACAGGGCAAAGTAAAGCACAAGAATGCTACACCAGTGAAGTCTGCTTAAATCGAAATCTGCGGGACCACCAGCTTCTCTTCGCTTTAGTCAGGTTTTCAATTTAGAGAGATTGCTCAAATAAGCAACAACAAAATATTGGAGATTTTATTTTCTTTCATTTCACTACTATTTTCAGATTACAACGGTCAGTTTAAGTTGTTGTCGTTGCTATCGTCTAGCAACAGCTGGACTCTCGCCCTTCTGTCCAATGCCATGATAAGTGTAGGTTTGCTACATTTGCTGTAATGTTCCGTAGAGTGTGTTATCAATGTTAGGTCTTGGAGGAAGAAGTGCAGCGCTGATGTTATTTAGGGCCGTACAGTGGAAAAGGTCAGATTAAATAAATTCTAGTGTATATATATACTGAGCTCCACTCACACCAGTGAGCTTGTAACACTGAAGAAAATCAAAAGGACACTTCTCAACACTATAATCCATCATGCTGGCACATTATATGGTCGCTTTTAAGCACAAGTGACCTATCCCGAAAAATGCTGTTTCGAGAAAATTGAAGGTAAATTTTTGCCCCTTGTTTATTTTCTTTCTAAAAGACAAGGAAAGTTTTATCTATATCTAAACAAATATATACCTCAAATGCTGAGGTACGAAAGAGAATAACCAAAGCAGTGGGGCAGAGTGAAGATCTACTGACCACAGTGAAGAGACAAAAATAAAAACGGTATGGGCATGTCACAAGATCTACAGGACTTGCCAAAACAATCCTGCAAGGAACCGTACAAGGAAAGAGAAAGAGAGGAAGGCAGAGACGGAGATGAGAGGACAACATTACAGAGTGGACAGGAAAGACAATGGGTGACAATCTGAGGAAAGCAGAGGACAAAAAAAGATGGTGAGAGTGAGAGCTGGTTTTCAGATGCAGTGGTGCCCCCACGGTTGCCCCAACCATGGATAGAAGAAGAAGAAGAAACAAATATACACACCAAGGAAACCAAACTCAGGGATGCCAAATGAATTTTGAAAAAAACAAACTGAAAATAGGCGGAGCATCAGACCTCACCTAAAACGAACCTTGTAAAATCTTTAAATGAGCAAACAAAAACATTTCTCTTACCATTCTCCTTTCCTTTGCAAGTGTATGAAAAAACCCGGAAAAAGCTGGAGAAACCGGAGATTTGGCATCCCTGCAAACTTCTCCTAGAGGTAGGGCAATGCCCACTTTTGGCACAGGTCAAGATTTCTAGAAACCCCTGAAATCTGGGTTGGCCCGCTTGTCCTTAAAAGCAACCATATGTCCGAATCAAATCAGAGCTCTGCTCTATCGGTACTTGGATGAGTAGAAACTTTATTGTCATGGATTTCTCTCAATATTGTCCATCAGGTAAATCCTACACTTTGTAAGAGGTCATTGATCATTGTAAAGATTTAATGCCTCTTTCCACACTGTGTTAGGTAATCTAAAAGGCTGGACCTCTGAATTTTATGTCTATCTCCAATAGGAGCAAACCAAAAGGGTGGAGAGCCGTAAAAACTTCCCAAAACAATTCAAAACCAGATCATCCCGCTGGGGATTCGAACCAGGACCATCCACACCATCGTCCAGCATAACAGCAACTGAAAGGCTCCAATGGAACTATGTTATAAAACCTAGAAGGTTGAATCTGATGTCTTGTGTGAGAAAAAAGCTTAAAAAACAAGTTCACTTTAGACACAATTTGAATTTTTTCCTCAGTGAGCACTGCACCTCATTCTATCTTTTTGGGAAAGAGCTAAAGAAAAAATAAAATATCACACTATTTATAGCTCAGTGAGACTTGCACCTCATTTTGTCTTTGCAGGAAAAGAGAAAAAGATAAAATAAATTATCACACTCTGTATAGCTCAGTGAGACTTGCACCCCATTTTGTCTTTGCAGGATAAGAACTAAAGATAAAATAAACTATCACACATTTATAGCTCAGTGAAACTGGCACTTCATTCTATCTTATCGGGAAAGAGCTGAAAAAACCCCCAACCCAACTCATATTCATTTATGACATGCTTTACCTAAGGGAGACCTGCGCTTCATTCTATCTTTTCTTGGAAGAGCTATAAGAACATAATCATTTAAGACACCATTCGTACCTTGCTGAGATCTTCACCTCATTATATTTTATTTTTTCTTAACTTTTGGAACAATAAGATAAGATATTACTTTATTATCCCATAGGGAAACTTTTCTTGGCTGTAAAGTAAAGTTGTTCCGGCATCCGATCCGGACATTGGGGATTGCCTTGTTAGTGAGACAACTTCCTGGGCCTTCGACATAGTATGATAGGATGGCCAGTTCCTTTCCACGCCGCCTTTACTTCCCCAACTCGAAGTCAGGTACCCATTTCTGCTGGATGGGCAGGAGGGGGCAAAAAAAATCGGTGTCCGAAACGAGACTCGAACCCGGACTTTCCGCTTCGGAGACGAGCGCACAAACCGCTCTGCCACCGCACCCTCTTTCTTGGCTGTACAGGACAGTAAAAACACATGCAGGTATACATAAAAAATCTAAAATAGCCCGCCTAATAAAGGAAATGAAAAGACGACTCACCTTGATGAAAGACAGGGAATTGGTGGCTTGAAGTCCCAAGCTGCGCAACACAACTAGTGGAGTGAACTCTGTGCTATAGAGACGCTGCAGTCCATCAATGCTGAGCATGACTGGGACATTGTGCCTTTGACGCTCCGACTCGTACCGCAAAAGAGGAGTCAGGGAACCTGGGAACAGAGAGTTTGGTGGGGGGTGGGGGTAGTAAAAATCTTGTAATCTGCCAGGATTCAAAATAAAAATGATAACAATGTTTGTGTCGGGGACATGCAAAAAAGGTAGACAGTTAAGTGGAAAGGAGTTTGAAAGCAATCTGCATAATTATGTTTGAGTTTGGTGATTTAGGAAGAGAGAGATTCAATGAGGAGGGTTTGGGGTGGGGTGGGGTGGGCTGAAAAGGAGGGGGGGGGGGTATTTTAGTTGTCTTGATTCATAATGATAATGATGTGAGACAAGGAATAGGAGAAGAGACAGTAGAGTGATTGGGGGGGGGGTATTGGGGTTTGATTGTAGCCTACAATGATTCAACATCTAGGAAAAGACAAGAGTGGGGGGGAGGGGGGGGGTTCTGTTTTAGTCTGCCAAGATTCGCAATGATAATAATTATAATGCTCGAGTCAGGGAGCTTGGGGAGAGAGGGGGGGGAGAGACAGAGAGAGACAGAGAGAGAAGAGGGATGAGATGGGGGGGGGGGGTTCGTTTGCAGTTTACCACTATTCTGCAGGAGACAGAGGTAAGCCAAGTATAACTTACTTAGGGAGAATCTGAACAGACATGTGACAGGAAAAGACCTGTATAGATCTAATACAAGTTAAGGTTATTTGAGAGCATCTGAATATGAGTAGGAAAATGGATGGTGAACCATGACTGTCAATGTCTGTTTCAAATACAGCACTTGAGGAAGAAGAATGATGTTTGAGTTAAAAGAAGTATGTCGACACAGTAACAGCTATTCGACACAGTAACAGCTATTCAGTGCAAAGAAAAAGTCAAACAGACAGACAACAAACATCAGACAACAAACATCAGACAACAAACATCAGACAACAAACATCAGACAACAAACATCAGACAACAAACATAAAAGGAAAAAAAAGAGCAGGACCCACCAGAAGTGGCGTCCAACCACCTGCAACTTGGAGGTCCTCAAAGCATATTGCTCATATTCATGAAAGATTAACTGATTTTAATTCTGGCGCTTAATCGAAAGTCGAAGAAGAATAGGCCTGTTAAGCTGACTGCCCAGGTCTAATTTTGAGGGGATTCTCCTTATAAAGCTGAAGATTCTCAGTACAAAAACATTAGAGTATCTTCGAAAATTGCATGAGTCAGCCTAAGAGGCAAGGCACATAAACATTATGGGAGGAAAAAATCTGACACACACTTAAAAATCAGTAGCTTAGTCAATTGAAGAATCTACATTCTACTGCCCTTGAGAACTAGCGTGAGAAGGAGAAAAATGAGGAGAAAGAGGTTGAAAAGAAGAAGAACAACAACAAGAATAGTAAGACTTCACTTAGGTCCCAGACATTTTTACAAACCTGGGTCCGCGCCAGACCGCACTGCTTCTCCCAGGACCTCGTTGAGACATTCCACGTCACCAAAGCCAAGGTTGACTCCTTGACCAGCCAGGGGATGGAGACGGTGGCCGGCATCGCTAGGGGGAAATGTACAGGGTTATAGACAATTACAGATACTCAAGACTGACGGAACTGTTGGCATTACACTGTTTTCAGCAACAACCTCACCACATCTGTAACTTTAGTTTTAGTAAGAGTTTTACTGCACTTACAACACAACTAGGTCATGTAAGTGCCAAAGATTAGAGGTGTCACTAGAGAGCAATATATATATAAATCCAAAGAAAAAAAGGAAAGGGATAAGGATCATAGATGTTTGATAGAAAAGAAGGAGCAAACCACACCACAGCATTGCCAACCAACCACATCTGTAATATTACCATACATTTTGTTGTTGATAGCAACAGCTGTACTAGTTTTCTGTGATTCTTCATTTCCTTACTGACTTGTGCTTTTTTTTTTATCGGTAGATAAAACTAAGATTTCAATATCCTTCACTAGATTTTTCACCCACAAATGTGACAGTATCCGATTGACTGAGCTGTGGTGGTAATGTGACATAGCATTTTTAAAGAGACAATAAAAGACCTTAATGTAGGTTAGATCTTACCTACCAGAAGATCAGGGGAGTGACTGAAAGAGCCAAGGAGTAGCAGTAGAAAAGCTGCAGAAAGAGTCAGGAGCCCAAAGGAAGAGTCAAAGGAGGTGAGGGGGTGGGGGCAGAAAGTGGAGACTAAAGCAGATGACAGAACATTATTAGAGAGCAGGAAAAGAGGTGAAAAAAGGAAATTTTAGAGAAAAACATTTTCCGTCGCTCTCCGGATTTGAACCCGAAACCTATTGAATGAGAGGCAAACAGCGTAGCACCTTAGCCTCTAAACCACGAGAGCCCTGCCCCCAAGACAACTTTTTCAAAGAAAGTGGAATTGGACACAATGCCATCACGACAACACAGAGGGACTCACCCGATGAGAGCCACCCGTGACTGGACATACTGTGAAGAATGAATCAGTTTCAGTGGGAAAGCTGCTCGGGATCCTTCCTGCACATCAATGACTGTTGGGGGCAGCTGTCGTGATGGGTCACTGTCTGAGAATGAAATGAAAAGAAAGAACTCAAAATTGATTTGTCTTATTCTCTGAGGGGCCATTTGTTTCACAATGATAGGCATAATAATCAGAAGAGACATACTTGTCTAGGGGAAAGGCATAGAATTCGCAATCAGAAGTTTGTGGATATGATTCTAACCTTAGCCAGAGAGCATATTATCCTGTCCTCAGAGAAAGTTGCATTTGAAAATGGCAAAAGTTGCAAAAAGTTGCAAGAAAAATCAACAAAAGTTGCAAGGAAAGTTGCAAGATGTGTATAGCTAAAATGTCATGGAATTATTTGAATACATTTTTGGTATGTTCATTGCAATCAAAGTAACCAACGTGAATTTTGTTAGATCAAAATCAAAAGTTAAATGTGAATGTCTACCGTACCAAAAAAAAAACACCAAAAAAACCGAAAAAAAACCCAACTGCATGGAGGTTGCATAGACTTGTACATGTGTCAGGTTCTTAAATTTAAACTCTCGCTGACGTATGGCAGGTGTGACCAGCACGGTTTGGGGGCTGTTCAAATATAATCGTACACCTTTTTCAGGATTTTTGCCCCCCCCCCCCTCCCCCCTCCTTTACACTTTTCTTACATTTTCCTCCTCCCCCCCCCCCAATCCCGTAATACTTATAAATAATATGACATTTTATATTGCGCAATCTGTGTTACAATCATTAATTGGTAGTCTTTACTTTTACACAATAGTACTCATGAAAAATATGCATACACACATGTGACATAATAATTAAATATGGTATAAGCGAAACTTTTCCGGAAAAATTTTTAAGTGAATAGCAGACTTTACTCTTTTTTATGTCATGTTTTGTTTTAAAAAATGTATGTTGTCATACATTATTTTCCTTGTTATTTTTTCACCTTACAAAAGTGTAATATTACATTGGTTCAGGACCCCCCCCCCCCCCCTCTTTCTTACATTTTTCTTTAACAGGAGTCAAGACCCCCCCCCCCTTTAGGCCTTTTACAGGCATAAGATTATATTTGAACGACCCCTTTCCTTTAGGGGTTTTCTGGATGAATCGATCCATGTCTAGATCTACCCTCCTGGCCTAAGATTTAAAGTCTTTCACAAATTTTTATAATAAATCTCATTAATTCTATTCATTAATTTAATGGAGACATGATATGTTAATGGCATCATGTCGGGGAACTTATTACAAGCAAGTACATTCAGAATTTATTATTTTAAAAAAATCTCCTTCGAGTCTGAAACATTGCACATCATCGGAAGATAAGAATCATTAAGTCATTATTACCTGGAAAGACATTCTGTACAACTGTCTTGAAAGCCTCCAGCATCTGACCAGCTAAAGGATTCTTCTCTCTCTCATGCCACTATAAAGGGGAAAAAAGAAAAAAAGTCACTCATTTAAACAATTTTACAATTTAGTTTGCAACTAGCTGTGATGGTTTGAATCAATTCCTGTACATCAAAAACATCATATACATGCTCCAACACAAGAGACATTGTGGCGATCAGAGGGAGAGACACTATGTATTTGGGAACTAAAGACAAGAAAAAAAGAAAAGAGAATTCCATTGATCCTAGAGCAAAGGCTTAAAAAAAAAAGACATATTAGATAATTAATGTAAAACATCCATTAATCTTCATACTTCTGCTGCATACAAATGAAAAATTAAATCAAGAAGTTTCCTACAAATTGTCTTTTAAATTATGAGGCTCTATATATTTAAGACTTTCTTCAAAAAGATAAAGTGCTGTTGCGACAAGGAGGCTATCAAGAGTTTTGGGGTTTTTAATAAAAATTTGTCAACATAATTATACAGAGTTAAAACAACAGAAGCCAATGTATATAATAACAGAGGAAGAAAATAAAAAGACACTAGAAGTGGCTTCTACCCAAATGTCAAAACAGAATTGCAATAAATACTCAAAAATAGAAAATAACTTAAATGATACTCAATACAAAAACAGAGGCACAAATCATACTGTTGCCCTTGTACCTAAGAGTTCAATGTCCCCAAAGTCCTTGATTTTTAGACAAGACAGGGACTTTAAAAGGATCCCACAATATCAACTGAGCCAACAGAATAATTGTCTATTAAGTCTAAAGCAACGTTAGCAAAAATTATATAAAAATGTGAGGATTTGCCCAAAAAGTCACAACGTGGAAACGATACATGGAATAAGGTCAAATACTGAATAAAGTGAAATAAGAAATCAAATATATACAAAACCTGTAATAAACATAGAAGAAATCAACATACCAAAGCATCGTTGACAGCATCGACAAAGCTGTCTGCTGGGATCTGTTGGAGATGTTTGGCATCTTGTGGAGTGGTGGTCCATACAAGTGATGACAGCTTGTCACTCAGCTGACAGACAGTGAGGTATACAAAGAAAAATTATGTGAGGCAGATATGTAGAGTGGTGACAGAAAGATTAAGAATGCAGGATAGTCCAATGCAGTTTTTAGTTTTGTTTTGGTCAGTGTTTTACGGCGCTTGCAACTGCATTAGTTCATACGAGTTTGCGGGACACATTCGACATTTTTAGCTTGGTAGGAATTAATTTTGAATTTTGCTCGGGTGGCGGCCCAAGCTTACTTTTCTTGATTTTTGACCACCAAAAGATCTTTAATGTGCACAACTTGCACATGGGACCTCAGAGATATTTGGCCCTTATCTGCGAAGGCTAGTTGTTAGATCTGACCTAAGATCAGGGGTATGGCTGAAAGACAGTAGTAAGAAGGAGCCAAGGAGTAGCAGTAGGATGGCTGCAGATAGAGTTAGGAGCCTAGAGGGGGGTGGGGGCAAAGGAAGTGAGGGAGGTGGGGTCAGAAAGTGGAGATGAAAGCAGATGTCAGAACGTTGTTAGAGAGCAAGAAAGAAGGTGAAAGGAGAAAATTTTGGAGAAGAAAATTTTCCATCGCTGTCCAGATTCAAACCTGGGTCCTATTGAATGAGAGGCGAACACGGTAACCTCTCGACCACAACAGCCCCCGTCCAATGCAGAAAATTATGTCAACATAGTAATAGTCATAAATGTTGGATAAAAAAAAAAAGACAACAAGCAAAAAGCGACAGCCGAAGAGAATAAAAATAAGACAACCAAATAGCTTCTGGCCAACCATCTATAGCAGAGTATGGAATACACTAACAAAATAACAGACAGATGTAAGACAAACCTGTTACAAAAAGCATAGAAGCTTAAAATTTTTTGAACAATTTGTTATTTCTCTTCAAATCCAGACAGTATCAATTCATGAATATAACTTCAGATAATTTTGTTATAAATCTTGTAAGATTTACCAAAATAAAAAGGCAAAAATCTGAAAGCCTCAGTCTCTCCTGTCTCCTTTTCCACTTCCAAACTCTTTTCACTTTTAAAAATTAAAGGGCCACACATATATTCACTTTCAGTTGGCTCTTAGGCTGAAGTTCCTAGACAATGATTACCTTTGAATGCTTATAACTTATTGCTGCAAGTGAACCACACATTGCCTCAAACAGATGTCTAAAAAATAAAAGTTAGCATTGATTAACTTAACAAGTCACAAAAACAAGGACAAAAAAAAATATAGCTAACCGGTAGAAGAGCAATAGGACCTGTAGGGAGGAACCTCTGCCACGCTGTGTTGTTCAGAGTTGTCTGCAATGGGAAAGAGAAAAAGGCTTCAATTTCACAGAGTAATTTCCCAGATATAACTAGATCTATTTATACCAATCAACAAAAGGTAGCCACAGAGAAAATCCTGTACTACAGCACACCTGTAAAATGAGTCAGTCCTTAGTATTAACTGCCGCACTACATCAGAAAAATTGGGAAAGGCCAGTATCTTAAATAATCATCTCTCAGCTACTATGTTAACCCTAAGGACCTGGGATCACCCCTGAGCAACTACCCCTGTACCGTTCTGTACACCAAAAGAATTCTGTTTGTTTTGGAAAGTGTTTTATGGTGCTCACAAGAGCATAAGGTCATATGATACATATGCGTGCAGGATACATTAAACATTTTCAGTTTTGTAGGAATTAATGTTGAATTTTTGCCAGAGGACGACCAAAGCCTACTCTTATCGATTTGAACCACCAAGAGATCTTTAATGTGTTTAACTTGCACACGCAACCTCCGAGATTTTTTGGCCTTAGATCTTACCTACCCTAAGATCGGGGGTGCAGCTGAAAGACAGAGGTGAGAAGGAGCAAAAGAGTAGCAGTCGAAAGGCTGCTGACAGAGTCACAAGTGCAAAGGAGGGGGCAATTGGGGGAGAGGAGTGGGGGCAGAAATTGGAGATGAAAGCAGACGACAGAACATGGTTAGAGAGTAGGAAAAGAGGTGAAATGAGAAAAATTTGCAGAACATTTTCTGCCTCGTCAGGTTTTGGACCCGTCACATATTAAATGCAAGGCCAACACCGTAACTTCTGGACCAGGAGAGCCCCCTCAAAAGGATCCCTCAACATACACCACTGTTTATCTTGCAGTTGACACACTGGAGCTCAGGAACACAGGTCCTTTAGACTTAAGGGGCTCAGAACTTAATCATCAGCAACTGAACCATTATAATAATAATAATAGATAGCATTTGTATAGCGCATATCCCCACTCAGCAGAAGGCTCTATGCGCTTTACACTATATTATTACCCCAGCAGACCATAGAACACTCCGAAACATTCTCAGCTTCCCGGGAAGCATACAGTGCGAGCAGCCGATTAAGCGTTCAAACACTAACAAACTGACCAGATCTTTCGCTGTCTATAGCCGGGAACCCATTCCCACCTGGGTGAAGTGAGAAAAATTCGTGTAAAGTGCCTTTCCCAAGGACACAACGTCGGGCCCTTGATGGGATTCGAACCCACGACCTTACGGTTGCGAGTCCGAGAGCCTAACCACTAGGGCAACAGTACTGCAAAGTCTTTATGGGATCTGATGAATCATATTAACAAACCCTTCATAACAAAGATTTTTAGCAGCTTAGTTTAGATTAAAAGATGGCCACTTACATCCCCTAATACTAATGTGGCAACCACTGCTGTCTGTTTGTAATCCCGTGTCATGGTATGGAAACCTGCTGCATCACGCACCGCCGAGTTCATGCCATCAGCACCAATCTGCAGAAGAAATTACAAAGTCTTTATCCCTAACTGCAAATTCAAACATGCGTCAAAGACAGTAAAAAATTATCTTTAAAATTTGACATCATTCCTGGAGCTGGACATTCTAAAGGTGACATCAGAGTGTAATTTCCATTAACATTAAAAACCTCCATTCTTTTAAAAACTAGTATAACTTACAACTGTGAAAAGTAAGGGTATTTTCTTAAAGGGATGTCAGAAGTGTAATTTTTCTTCAATACTACAATCATCTTTTATCATGGAAATTTAAGAGCTACAGCTTCATCTTCAACTACTCAAAGTTCTTTATCACTGATTTCAAGTCAAACTATACTAAAACACACAAAGTATGTTTTGTCTTCACAAAATAAGGACAACTTTAATACAGACATCTTTAACTGACATTACTAAAGATTATGGCAAAACTTTCTGTTATGAGACCAACCCAAAACGTTATTGTGTTATTTTCCAATAATATGGTAAAACCTGACAACTTGCCAACAGGTGTGTCTCATGACATAATTGCTGCAGAAAAAATGACAACAAAAACAGACAACAAATGACGAAACCTAACCAGCAGTTTTGTCCTCAGTTCGGACCCATCACTGAGCTGTAGTCCCACATAAGGTAATTTGATGTTGTCTTCTTCTTTGCCTGGCAGACTGAAGGTTTCCACCTTTGTGCCGTAACGGATTTCCACTCTGTTGCCCTGAGCTTTGAGGGCTCGCATGATACCCGCAAGAATAACGTCATTCTCTACAATGTACGCCAGGCTGTCAGTCATGTCTGGATTGTTGAAGGTGATCAGCGAATCGGAGCAAGACTCCCAGACCTAAAAACACAAATGTCGTTACATTTTCTTGTCTTACCGACAAAAACACACATGAATAATAGTTAAGGTTAAAAAGCACTTGTAACCCAATTGACAACAGACTCGCCCACATTTACAATTCCATCCACGTGGAGTAAACTACTGAAGTGAGAGTAAAAAGTTCACTTTTTTAAAAAACAAATTGAGGGCTGCGAAAATCAGAGATGCTGTATTGTTTTTCAAGCTGTTTTGGTTTATTATATGCAAATTCAACATTTACTTTTATAGTGGTGCTGTCAGGTGACTCAGTTATCAGATACTGTGAAGATATTACCTTCAGATATAAATCATGGGGCACATTTGCTGAGCCATCCAGTATTCTTTAGAACAGGAGACTATGGATTTTTCATCAACAAGTTCTTCATGATGTCTCAATGACTCAGTGGTTCACAAAAATAACAGTCTTTTCTGTTTCTTCCTTGCTCATTCCTATAAAAATGAATGGTATCATCTCGTCAGTAAAATCTGTTGCGCTAGATTTATGGGCCGCTTATGGGTATATTTTTTAAAATGCTATTTTGTGCTAATTTTTTTAAGATTGATAAGTTTTTCAGAAGCAATAATTAAGATGACATTCACTTCAATTTAGGCATTTAGACTGCATAAAAGATGTTTCAAATTGATTCCATAACAAATGTGTCATGACACAGTGGAATCAGGCACTCGTCAATTTTGGGGCATAAGGAGTTATTGGTATCATCTTAAAGCTTGTTTATTTGCCTTGCTTTTGACGTAAACAATATCCACAAATATTTATCTTGGATACAAGTCATGATATTGGCGATTGAAGGAAGTGGGGGTCATCCAGTTTCAGAGGTGAAATTAGCGAGAAAATTGCCGCTTAATGGGCATGAAAGGTGTTAAGCCAAAAAAACACAAATTCAATTAAAATTCCCAAACCTGCAAAAAAATGCCAGTTTCTTAACTTCCAATATTTTAAGGAGTGCTTGATTTCACCACACTGCCTCACAAATGATAATGAGAGATCTTATTCTGCACTGATCATTTCCTCATGGTCAACTTATGTGGTTCCCAAGTTAAGATTTATTCCTTTTCAATAAGGGCGGGCATGAGATGAACCGAGTACTCGTTTCTCGCGAGAAATGCCCTTCCCGTCGCTGCCCGGCACTAAACTACTGCCCGGTACCGAGAAGTGATACTGCTCGTTGGCTTGACATAACGAGTGACAGTAACGAGAGTGAGAGAGTGAGAGGCGAGAAATGACACGCAGACAGTGCCACCCATCACCGTGCCGTCCTGTGTGTGAAACTGAAAGGGAGGGGAGAGGGTGGTGAGATGAGGTGAGTGGGGAGTTGATCAGGGCCTAGGCCTAGATCTCCCTACCTTCCTTCACCACCTGTGCCTGTGCAAGAGGGCTAGCCTAGTTTAGATCCCCGCCACGACCGGCCTTCTCGCTAAGCGAGTTGCCCGTCGAACGGCGCAAGAAGAGAAATCTCGGCCACCGCCAGCCTTCTCGCTGAGCGAGTTGCTCGTACTACGGTGCGAGAAGAGAAATTGGTCACGAGACGAGAAGCATTTCTCGGGACCGCCGGCGAGAAGTAGGTCAGCTTCTCGGTCTTCTCGCTCAGGAAGGAAAAAGCGCTTCCCGCCCGTCTCTACTTTTCAAACAACTGACAATAAGGCAGAATATAAAAAAAAGGATATATCTTCACTGTCACAAGAAAAATGAGTAACTTTGAAGCTGTCTAACAGGGTACGTTAAAAATTCTTTTTTTTTGTTGACAGGGACAATATTTCTTTAAAGGAGACAAAATTGAAGAATGAAATTGTTTACCTGCATCCTGAGCACGGGATGATATCTCAAGGCCTCTATTTCTTGCCAAGCACCAAAACCTTACAGAAGAAAATTTCAAAAAATGTTGGGATCTCAAAGTTGACTTTAATAAAGACCGTAAAGGAGACTTTACATCAAGAATTATAAGAAAATGTTCCAATTATTAAGTTTTGATTGGTCCTTAAAATGTTGTGAACAAAACCCATGGGAAAACTTCATTTCCACAGATATAGCAAAATCAGCTATACTAGCTCCTCAAATTAGTGCTATAATATAACTATCTTTTCCTTAAAATTGGGTCAGGTAAAAAGAAACCAGATAACAAAAGAATTGCAGTAAGTACACGAGTACAAAGAAAATAGAAAAGTAGTAGGCTAAAGCTGCAAACACTGGTCTTCTCTCAAAAGTATAAGATTCTTAACAACGTAGATAAACATCAAAACTACGTTCCAGTCTTGGCTAAATAATTCTAAGAAAAAAAAATTACAAGAATCTCTGACTTACTCTCCAGCAGTCGCCTTGTGGAAGGGCTAAGGGCACAAGTTCTGTTACTGTAAGAATTTGGCAGCACATAGTCTCCCTTGTCTTTGCTTGCTTCTAAAAGGACAATTCTTTTGTTCTTAAGCATTTTGTTGTTTCCTGGAATAAACAAGTTGCACAAGGATCAGACTAAAGTGTATTCTAAAAACATAGCCTTGCCTACAATTATATTTAGTTTGAAATTTGAGAGACTCATCTCAAATATGGGTTTTATTCTCGCGAGATTCTGGGGAAAGCTTTCAACTCATTACACCCGAAGCAGCGACTCAGTCGTCACTGGCCGAATGCGCTTTCTGCGAAGGGGTAACTCAGTTGTCATTTTCCGTATGGACTTATTAACCGTATCCGTACGCCCTGGGGTCATTTTGTACCCCGGGTTGTATTCTTCCCATTAACAATACTTCTAGTGCGAAGATCTCTTTCAAACTTTCAGTATTTCTCAAAAAATTATTTTGACAGACTGCTATGCAAAGTGTACAAATCAGATTAACGAGTAAATTTCCTCTATGGAAAGTGGTGGCACAGAATTCCCCATGTCGTATGGATACGATAGTAAAACACGAAGTACGGATACGGGTAAACAGTTCTTTCTGCTATTTTCTAAAGGCCTTCCAGAATTTCTTCAGATCAACTGGTTTTTCAGTTTTAAGAGGTTTCTCAAATTGTGATTTATCACTGTGCTCGGATTATTTATGTCATGTTCAGTTTAAGCAGACTCCACTGTAGGTTATATCATACCCAGCTGAACAGTTTTCTGACAGGAGTCAAGCAAGGGGCACTATTACTGTTTTTCTCCTCCAGCAATGCCTGTAACATGATGCCTTTACAATTAGGCGAAGGTCTCAATCCGAATTTTGAATCATTAACTTCTCAGATGCCATGATGGCAAGGGTCACTAAGGTCTACAAAAAGACCTAGAATCTCGGCTACTCTGATAGGGTGTCCAGGCACCCTTTAGTTAACCATTGCACCTGAACAAGATTTACAAGGTTGGTTTTTTTTCTGTAATCGTGAGATCAAACTGCACCGCAAATCACCTATTACATCTAACTTACTGATAAAATTATGGCCTGGACACCCTAACTATATAATACATTTTTAGGTTGAGCAAATAAAAGTAGCAAAGCGAGAGGATTTTTTTCAATATTATTATTATGCTGTGCTGATTGGTTTATGTGATAGACACTGGTGTGCAGATACCAATAATTTTGAAATTTTGAAAATCGGTTAATAATTAACTTTTTAATGAATTTTTTTATGTCTTAAGTTAAAAAGTAGCCTTTTTGGTACTTTTTTGCACATAGGACATGATAGAAGAAATATAGGCCGAGGGTGTTGACCTGTTTTTAGTCCTTCTCAAACAGAAAAGAGTATCAACTTTGAACTAACCGACTTACAGCAATGAAACTTGGTACCTTACAATAACTTTTTATGCCGAACGCAGTTGTGAGAACGGATTTTATGTGTGTATGCATAACTAATTAACATACAATAGCAAATTTATGCAACATCACAGCAAAAATATTTGAAAATTAGCGTAACACGCAATATTTTTCTATCCCATAATTACAAATAATACACTATCCTCTATATTGTAGTGCAGATGTTTATGCCCCCATCAACTTAATTTAGATCATTTAGGAGTCGTGCTGCTTTAACTTTGACCCTGCCTATTAGGGCCAACCTGGGCTGAGAGGGATACAACATCCCAGCAGAAAGACATTAAGCATTAATTGCTCACTTTCCTTGGAACTGTAAACATCTATTTTTGAAAATATCTCTTTCCCATTCTCAGGAAATTTCTCAGCCGCCTAGCGATCACGCGCCTCTTGCGTGCCGGCACCTCGCGTTTGGAATGCGCGATCAAGTTTCTAGATCTAGGGTTTTATCAATGGATGGGTGGTCATTTTAAGTTGGTACAGAAAATCTACTAAACGCAGAGATCTGAAATTTTACAGCAATAAAGAAGACATGTGGGGCGCTTGTGTGGTCGCTATCAACCCGCAGCTCCGCTTAGTTTTCGAACCGCAGAGGAAATTTGCACAAACACGGCAATATCTCCGGTTCTAGTAATCGTTCGGGATTGTACGCTGGCATGTCGTTAGTTTAACCTCTCTTCTGGCTGGTTGCCGAGTTTAATTTATTTTCGTCCAGGAGTTTTCCCGTAACTAAACTTAGAAGAGAGTCACTTCTGATTCCGAGCGTCCCAAAAAATACCCCTCGTGCGGAGGCCGATTTCCGGCCCAAGGCAGGCGCAGCGGGCGATTGGCATTGCTAATTTACTTTACTTTTAATTTTGCTTACACAATGACAATGCTTACATTGTAATACATCTTACAACTTCTCTAGATTTAGATTAGATCTAGAAAATCTAGATATATCTAGATCTAGATTATTAGTCTAGATATATACTGAGATATATATCTAGATATAGATATAGATCTAGATCTAGATTATTGATTATAGAGATATATATATCTATATCTAGACTCTAGCGCTAGCTAGTCTGTAGGGCCTACCCGTGTACTTACCTAACGCGCAGGCCATAGATCCACCAACCATTCCCCCACCAGATATAACAATGTCTGCGTAGTCATTGTCCTGATTAGAAGATGTGGTGGAATACTGAGACTGAAAATGTTGCGAGAGTCGCCGATGTTGCCTTAGATGACATCGAAAGCACCTAGCAGTCAACCTTAACGCCATGTTTATTTTACAGTTATTCCCCTCTATATAAGAACCGCAGATAATTTTTGTTGTTTGTTTTGTGAAGACTAAAATAAAGAAAATTTATTTTTTATTTTTACACACCAATAACTTTATGGCTTTATTTGCACCCATCAAAATGTTTTTAATCAGCTCATTTGAATTTTTAAAATTCCCTAAAACCAGAAAAATTTGCTGCGAACTTTCAATGTATATGGCAACCATGGCGTCAACAAGTCACGGTTTGTCTGTGTGGGCAAATGCCTGTGTGAAAAACCCAATTAATCCTAAAACTGGATTGAGTTCGACGCTTCCAGAGAGGTCAAGGATTTCCATTCGTTTTGATGATGCTCTTAATGAAGTTGAAAGAGCCCGTTTGTTAAATGCGACTGTCTCAGGTGACGGTCGTGACTGGGCCCGTGAATCTTTGGAGGGAAAAGATGTCAATTCGAGATTACAAGCTGCAACAGAACAAGAGTTCTATGAAAAACTGCAGCAACTTAAAGAGGAAAATAGAAAGACTATCGAAGCATATGATAAACTTTACAAAGAAAAGATTCTTTTGGAAGGAATTCAAAGGGGGCAGACCACCACTTTTCAGCCTGATAAATCTGGTGTTGACAGAGAGGTTGAAAATAATGTTCTTGGTCTTGATGGAAGCAATGCTAGGAACAGTGGGCCTGTTACAAAGAAACCTCCACCTGGTAAACCATGCATTTCTACATCCAATGCACCAATATTCAGTCGGACGGTGACACATCGCTCCGATACTGCCATCAAGTCAGAGCAACCGCCCCTTGTGAGATCTAGAAGCCTTGATGAAGGAGACTTGAAATTAGATGGTCTTCCTGTCATGGGAAGTAAAGACAGTGATGATTTTCTTATTCAAGAGGGCAACATGTCTGAGTATGAAAAGGCTCTAGAGAAAGTAGACAAGCTATGGGAGGATTTTAAGATATCTGAGTACACACAACGAAGACATTCTTTTTCTTCTAATGAGCGAAAAAGAGACATAGAAAAGAAAGAGAAAGAATGGAGGCATAGAATAACCATACCACAGCCATTTAGTATGTCTATAAGGGAGGCCTTGAAAGATAAGAAAAAAACAAAGGCACAAGTAGATCTTGAAATCAGACGTCTTGAAAAGCAAAGACTCGAAGAAGAAGAATGTGCAAAGAAGTTCAAGGCTCAGCCAGTGCCATCGCATGTTTATTTACCCCTGTATGAAGAAATCATGGAAAAAAATGAAACTAGGCGCAAGTATGCTAAAGAGTACTGCCAAGACTTACTGAAATCTCAAGTGAAGCCTTTTAATTTTGAAATAAGAGAACAGGAGAAAAAAGCGCAAAGGGTGCAGTCTGCTCCTGTCAAGAGACCTGAGAAAAAAGTGAAGACAACTTTCAAAGCAAAACCAGTGCCAAAGAATGTCTTCAACACTGATGTTGATGAAAAACTAATGGAGGATGAAGAATTGCGAAAAATTCGGGTTAGAATGAGGGCAAAGGAGCTTCTTAGAGAGTCATCTCTTCCTCCAAATATGGCAGCTCGGGAAAAGTTAAAGGAGCAGCAAAAGAAAGAGGAGGCAAGAAAAGCAAAAAAAAACGGAATGAAAAAACAACGGCCAAGAAGTGCACATGTTGTGCCAGACTATGATTTGCTCTACAGAGAATTTCAAAAAGAACTTGCCCGTCGCAAGACCATGAGAGAAGGAACTGTTGTCGAACCTTTTGAGCTTGAGACTGCAAGAATTAGACAATCTAGTCAAGAAAAAATTCAACATGACATAGAGGAGGATGAACGGCGCCTAAGAGAAGGACGTTGGCCATTCTCCGGTTCAAGGACAACACCAAGAAGTTCAATGAAGTATCTAGGTAAGAATGCAAAATAGTTTAACTTATGTGATTTCTAGAGTTTTCAAAATTATTTATTCAATGGTGGCAAATGCTTCTAAGAGTGACAGTGAAATTGAAAGTGCTTTCTTCAAGTTGATTGTGAGTTGCTTTATACTTTGTCAGAAAGGTGCAGATCTGTGGGTCTTCAAAGTGAATCTGAGTCATGTCTTACAAAATTACAGCTACTTTGGTAGTGCTAATGGCAGATGCAACATTTTTGTTGCCCTCATGAAGTCTTTTGGGGTGAGCAACTCAACTGTCTACAATGGGCTGCACTTTCCTTCTTCGCTCTGCCATCGTACTGTTGAAGGCATCAAGTTATAGTGAGATGTTCTTATATTATATCGTTGACTCTTTTATCTTTTCTTAGTAAGATCTCCATTCTCTGACTTGAGACAGCTTGGTTATAATGACATTGCCGGGAACCACTCTCTGTACTAAAGGTCTTTCAGCTTTCTGATATTAAGATCCCACAGAGTGCTACAATGTACACTTGAAATTATCTGAGAGAGCTACCCAGTGTTGAGGAGAAAAGTGGTTGTGCTAGACAGGTGGAGCTTTTGGATTTTGTCATTATAATGTAGAAAAAAATCCAAGGGCGGAAGTGAGAAATAGTCATTTGCACTGGTAATTGTCTTAGACAGGTGGTAGTTTTAGTAAGTTCAAATGTACATTAGTCTCTATCCAAACTCACGCCATACAAAGGCATGCTCTGCTCAAATGCATGCTTTGGTCATTTGACAGGTTTTAAAGAATTATATAACTGAAACTTACAAATGCACAGTAACTACCTCTAAATTCACACCTTGATCTGTAAAACATGCGGACAGGTAGAGTTTGACAAATGGAAATTTTTGCTGCATCCTACAAAGCTTGCATAAGACAAATGGATATTTAGCAAGATAACTCCTCATGCAAAACAAAGAGAGTGATATACAGAGTATTTACACTCAGTTATCAATGGACACAGAAGGATATATATGTTTAGTTTCATGCCTATGAACATGATGTGCAACACTTGTGAATGCTGTAGAACACTAGACAGGCCTCTGTAGGATTAAAGTTGATCAAGTGATCAGCTGCTCTGGAAGAATTTATGATGTAGGCTACTTCTTCAATGAATAACTAGAGAAAAGTCTCTCAGAATGTCTGATGTCATCCAAGAATTTGCCAAGTTGCAACTGACAGGTAGTCGAGAGTGGTCGCTTTGAAAGCCACCTGGTTTGCTATAATGACTACTTCCAATAGTGTCCTCTTATCTGTTTTATATTAGTTACTACACATCAGTACAGCGAATCAGTCTTTCTGCTTTTTTCCACCACTCATTCAACACTTTTTGTAGTCATAACCGCAATTGGAAAATCGTTTACAAAACAGTCACGTTTTGTTGCATATCGATTTATTGTTGATATGGTGTTATCTCCCCCGGAAAGCAGACTCATCTTTTTAATGTATTGATCCATTCTGTGTAGACCTTTTTATCAACACCATCTACTTGTACTTTTTTAGCTGAGTTTGATTCTTTATGGGGAGAATTTTTGTACAGTATTTTGGTGTTTTTTTCCATTGGACTTTTACCTCTCCCGCTGGGGTTGACCCTGACTGGCTGGGTTAAAGCCTGCTTCCTAAAAATAATCTAAATTGTGTCAGTGAGGACGTAAAAATAGCTTTTTTAAAAAACAATATGAAAAATCATTCACAACATACTGGTCTAGCACAATAGTGGAAACTTCTCCGACATGGAAAAAGCAAATTATTCACTACCCCACTGTGTACACTGAGAGCTTTGATTATTATTTTTCTGAGCATTTAGATACTTCTGCTATTCACAAAAATCGTGTCTTGTTACAACATCATTGATTCACTTCTTTATGACATGTTGTAGGTGCCCTGTCAACCTCGCTGGACTCCATACCAACTAGCTCAACAAAAGCTGCTCAGCTGAGGACGACTGTGGTTCAGTAAGTAACCCTTTTTAGGCTTTTGCATCACGTCATTTATTTTTTGGAGGAAATAAGAAAGAAAGAGAGAAGGTTGTTTTGTTTTTTCAGGATTTGTTTGATTAGTTTACAATAATCCGTGTGGTAACTGCACATTTTAGCTTGAACAAATTAGAGCAAAACGAAAAGTGGAAAGATATGAAAGGAGCAAACCTGTTCAGACTGAAAAGGATAAGAGCTTTTGAAGAGCAATGTTAGTATTTCTATATGATTATGTCAGCATGCCTGTGGTGAGCTTAGACAAAAAGTGTTGTTTTTGTTTCTTAAATGGTGGGTTATCTTGTGTGATGTTGTTTGTATATGGCATTGCTTTACTCCTGTAATGCCTGTAAAACAGCAACTTGTACTGAATGTTTCACAGGAAGCTGAAAATGTTTTGCAATTTTATTATTGAGTCTGACAGCATAATAACAAATTGTGAAGCACATAATTCATCATCATTGCCTTTTTCACCCTGGATCAGGATATAGGCCACGAACAAACACTTTCCACCTTTCCCTATCTTGGGCGAGTTGCTTGATGTCACTCCATGTCTTCCCACTTTTCTGTACATCCATTTCCATGACTCTTATCCAGGTTCCACGTGGTGTTCCCCTTGATCTTTTACCCAGTGGGTACCAATCTAACACTTTCCTTATTATGCAGCTGCTTGACGTCCTAAAAGTGTGTCCAATCCATCATCAACACCTTCTTCCCACCTCATCTCTGACTGGGTTCTGTCTCGTTTTTCTTAATACTTCCTCGTTGGTGATCCTGTCTGTCCATCTGATCCTCAGTAGCTTCCTCGGACACTTGTTCAAGAGAACCTGGATCCTCTTTATGCTCGTCTGAGATGCGTTCCATGTCTCACATCCATACAACAGGACTGTCTTCACATTTGAGTTGAAAGTCCTCAACTTTGTTCGTTGTGAGATATCCCTGGTCCTCCAAATCCTGTTCAAAGAAATAAATGCAGGGTGTGCCTTTCCAATACGGGACTTTTTTCAACGCTTGCTCCTCCTCTCTGACAATTATATTCCTGGGATAGCAGAAGGATTCGACGTCTTCTAGTGAAGCACATAATTAGCCATGTTTTTAAGTCGGGATAAATGGTATAACTGTATAAATGTTATATATTATCAATTATAATGTATTGTGTGAAGACTACTTTTTGATTGTTCTTGTATTTAACAAAGTTAGAGCAGCGATAATGGAGGAGGTATTTGCTATGCTTGGTGGGGGGGGGGGGGGGGGGGGGGGGTTTAAAGGCTTTTGTATTGTATTTTTTTAAAAAGTAGGTCAATGCTAATTCTCTCAATCAACTTTGGGGTGTTGTAGGATGTATATCAAAGAAAAGAGCTGATTCTGTCTGTAGAAATTGCATCTAATATTCCTTTGTCTGTAACCCATGTCTGTAGAAAAGAGAAAGAAAAATCAAAGAATCGCCAGAAAGAAGAGGAAGAGTCTGAGAGGAGGAGAAAGGCAAGAGAAGCAAGGTTGAGACGCTATTTGAATGAAAAAACAAGCAGTGATGAGATGCCTCACCCAAGGGAGTCGATTGCCACAAGGTTGAAGCGAATGAAGTAAGTATATCTCCTGTGACTTCTCCTGCTGTTCATCTTTTTAACACCTATGGGACCGGCCTCACGCTTGACTTTCAATTTGCAAGCACCGGAGCTGCCACCCAGACTCAGTTCCTAACAAAGGTTAAAGATTAGACCTTGAGCTACTTATAGAGTAGATTGCTCCTCAGTCAATGATAACAGGTTCCAAATCTATTTTTCATCACTTTCTTCTCAATCTGAAGGCTCTCGATCCAAATAATCAAGGTCATAGTCCGAGTCAACACTGTCTGTGTCCATACAAATTTTGTTGATCACTTAAGGTTCAGTGAAATACTCTATTTTATTGCTTTCCACATTTAATAGCCAGAAATTTGAAGCAAGATATCAAAAAGGAACTAATCGATGGGTTAATGAAAACATAAATATGTTTTGGGAAAAATCGACAGGCTTTTGTTTAGATCTAGGCCGTTTTGCTTGCAAGTATTCTCGTCTGCGGTCTTGGGGAAGGCTTTGCAAATATTCATGTCTGCGGTCCCATAGGTGTTAAGGTATATTGTTAGCTTTGCTCTTCTCACACTCTGTAGGATATATAAGTATTTCAGTCAGTTTGTATGACCATCAAGCTGTGGCTTTTAACACTTTGCCGCCTCATCTTGCCGATTGGCGATATTTACCACCCAGTTTCTTTGGATTTTCCCCAAAATGCCTTTGCCTTTGATGGCAAGATTCTTTACTCTATGAGCCTTGTGATGGCAAAGTGTAAAAAAAAATGTCAGTTTGGTCCGATCCTACTGTGATCAATAGTTACAATAAAGGCCTACTGTAATTCTTTTAGTTTACAACAACATTATTTGTTTGTTTTTTAAATTTAAGGATGTGTGGCAGTTTTAAACTTTTTCTGTCCATGATTTTTGCTTTTCTACTAGAATTAAAATGTTGTAAATTAACTCATTCGATACGCCGAGCCGTGGGGGGCGGCGCGGCTAAAGTGCCGTCAGTACACTAAGCCGCTCCCGGCGGCTCGAGAACCGACGTTCAATTTTAGCTTGGTTTCTATTCCAATCCACATATCCATGTTAAAATAAAGGTCATAATGTAAAGTTGACTTCCGGGTCAAGCGTTTCCACCGAAAATCGGAATTCTGATTCAGTTTTGAAACACGATTTCGAAGTTTATGCGACATTGTTTTATCGCGAAGCCAAAATTATAGCCCAGACACCAGTCTTAGTACTTTTACACAACAAAATGTATCATTATTTTGCTCACTAAAGAAGTGTAGGACTCTTCTTTATAATATTGATACTACTGGACTCAAATTGCCAGTGCACTGTAATTGAGAAATCAATATTTTTGAGTGCTAGATCTAGGCCTAGATCTAAATTGTCAAAATATTTTTATTCTCCCCAAAATCACTACCTTTTGGTGAATTTACTCAAAAGTACCACCCAAGACATGTATAGGTTTATTCCAAATGCAATTTTCAATAATTCCATATAAGATACAAGTGTTTTTTTCTGTTTGGGATCCTTCTTTCAAAATTATTTAAAAAATTTTTTTTTTTCAATATGGGAGGTTTTGATCCAAATGTACAAATATTATGGAATGTATGTAAATAACTGCTCATTTTTCAATATTTTCCTGTTCTATATACAATTATGGTTATTTTGATATATAATTTGACTAGGTGCAAACATATTTTTTGAGTTTCATCTGAGATTATACATTTTTTGTTTTCAAATTTTATCCGCAGCCAATCACAATTGTGTTGCATAATCGCCTCTTACAGGAACCAAAGTTGAAAAATACTCAAATAAACGATACAGATGTATTCTACAAACCATACTGAAAATGTTGGTATATAATATGTTGATATTTATTTGAATTTATGGCCCCCAAGACCTGTGAACTGGGCACTAGTCATCATCTCATTTCGCCCTCCCGAAAAAAATTCGTCCACAAGCCGAAAATAATACGTAGCGAATGAGTTAAATTCAGAACATGTTTGTATTCGTGTTACCATTATTTGTTTTGATTATAAAGTATTGACTTACCTGTAAGTCTACCAATGTTTATGGTGTTGTGGTTAGGCTCTTTGCCATTGCAAACAGATTTGAATTTGATTCCTGAGTGGAGAATTTAAAAAAAACCAAAAAATTTAATGAGGTATTTTTGTTTATCTGTTGGGAAGTTGTGTCCTATTGAGCCTGAGATGGCTCCAACACATCGAGTCTAAGTAGCCCACCCCCTTGATGGTCTATCATGTGTTAAGGCCGGGGATGTAGAACATTTACATTTATATTTTTTTGTTCTATAATTATATATGTATTAATCTGTACACAGGCAAGATGATCGGGCAAGACAGGAGGCTTATCAGAGAGAGATTCAGGAAATGAGGGCTCGGGTAGAGCAATCTCCACTGTTGGTGGAAAAGTTCATGGCTGTAAGTAGCCTATATCTGGTCACAGATATTTGGTCAACGTTTGTTTCTGTATGTTTCAGCTTTTTAAAATCTGGGGTTTTGTTTTCTTATTCATGGGTTAATGTTCCAAGCAGAGGCACTGTGGGTTTTTTTTCAAAACAGAAAAAGCTGATGTATGTGTTAGCTGTGGCCACTCTCAAGTTTGAACTTTGACATTCGTCATTTTATGGCACTTATAAACCTCTGGAATCTTTAGCTTGGGATGAATATTTTATAAGATATTTTGTCAATCTCTTTTGAATCTGTTGCAAAGGTTTAGTCATGACTGTAGTTGTTGATTGGAATGGGCCTCAAAAATGTTTGTAGTGAAAACAATCTCTCAAAAAAAGTTTTATTCCGTGTTCGTCATCTGTTTTCTGTGACGACACTGGTAAAATACATTATAATAAAGCTTACTATAGGGGGCTCTTAGTGGTCTTGAGGTATAGTGTTTGCCTCTCATTCAATAGGTCCCTGGATCAAACCTGACAACAACAGAGAATTTTTTTTCTCCAAAATGTTCTCCTTTCCTGCTCTCTGATCATGTTCTGTCATCTGCTTTCATCTCCACTTTCTGCCCCCCCCCCCTTTTTTCCCGGCTCCTGTCCTGACTCTTTCTATTGCTACTCCTGGCTCCTTATTACTGCTGTCTTTCAGCCACATCCCTGATCTTAGGGTGGGTAAGATGAAACATCTAACTTTCTCGGATATGGACATAAAAATATTGAAGGTCCCATGTGCAAGTTGGGCACATTAAAGATCCCTTGATGGTCCTAAAATCCATAAGAGTTGGCTTCGGCAGCCACCTGTGCAAAATTAAAAATCAATTCCTACCAAAACTGAAAATGCTTGTGTCCCACAGGCTCCATATGACATTATGCAGTTGTGAGCACTGTAAAACGCTTACCTAAACAAACAAAGAAAAAGCTTACAATGAGTTTTTATTTAATTGATATATATATATGTGTTGGATTGCATATTGGGAAAGTGTTTTTGGGCTCAACAAATATGTGTCCACAACTAAAGAGCTGAAGGATTTATTTTGGTCACCTTGTTTACCAATTGGTGTTCTATGAAAGTCTCTCGGCAATGATTTGCTTCTTTGCTTCCAATCCTAAATGAAAAGTTTTGGATAATCATTTTTCATTTAACTGAAACAATATTTATGACCCTATCTCAGATTGATGTTTTCGCTTGCTTGTCTGTAGGAAAATGCCAAGAAGGAAGCAGAGAAAAAATTCAGCACTACAGTACGCCAAGCAGGATTCAGCGACGCAGAATTTAGTTCAGGGCAGAAGTCGGGCTCGTCTAGCTTCAGACATGAAGATGAGGACCAGTTCGGTACAGGAAGTGCTGACCTCACATACACAAAAGGAACAGATGAGGATGAATATGAAGAGGAACAGTAACAATAACCAGGGCTTTAAAATAGATAACACATGAGCTGAGATAAGAGTAAGCTACAGAGCAATCTGTTTTATCAGCTTCAATATTCAACACACCCCACCGAGTTGTCTGTTGCATTTGGCAGCTGCTCGTGACAGTCACACCTCTACTCGGAGAACAGGCCCTCTTATTTTCAGAAAGCCAACGCGCAAGAATTTAGATAAAACGCACAAGAAACGAATTGACTGCAAATTGTTCTGACCGTTCTAAGTTTAGAAAGCAGAATTTTTAAGAACATGAAACAATGCCACAGCTTGAGAAGTCATGCAGATTCTACAACATGAACTTTGAATCTGGCCTAAAATATGACTGCTCCACATATTTCCCAGATAGGTAACAATAATTACTGCTTGGTTTACTCTCAGGGTGATTTTTTTTGCTTATTCCCATCCTAGGGGTGCAATGATATTGCAAATTTTAGAAACTTTTCTCTGTTAAAATTTTTCTTACATTTCATAATGATAATGGTCAGAGACAGAAGTATCTCATTGAATTGTTTAAAAAATCTTGTTGTCTTCACAGTTCCATAACTCAGTTTGTTCCTTGTTGGCTTAGAATGCATAATACCATCTAAGGTGCTTAGGTCCAAGTTCATGTGTGAAGTAACCTACTTCTTTTTTTTGTTAATACACTACTTGTTATTTATATTGTTTCTGTACAAAGGTTTTGACAAATCGTTTTTTTTTGCAAATGATTTTTATTGAATTGTGATATCCTTTTTAAAAAAAAAACTATATGATGGCTTACACAATAAATGTAGTGTTCATGTACATATAATTCTGTGTATTATTTTGTAAGCAAGTTATCACTTGCATCAATCATGTCACATTTGTCAGCACAAAGATGAGAACTTGTCTGCACTGTGGATTGGTTAGTTGTGTGTGGTTCCTCTTATCAAGTGTCACAGACGAGGGAAAAGTCGTGACACGTGTAAGTGTTGTCTTAATACTTGCTTCTGTCTGATCGCAGATGCATGCGTTTTTAGTCTGCCGTCTGTCTATTCGACCTCTTCCAGAATGGGAAGATATTTGTGCTGTGTGTGATTGTCTTGGCTCTCAGCACAGACAGTTCTTTTGTTTAGTCAGGACAATCCCCTTTGTTTTGATATTAGTTTGAAAATTGGTGAAGTATCGGTACCTTGCCCTTGAGTTACCCTTGCCCTGTTCTACCTAGCTTAAATACTACATCTGACCTTACTTGAAATGACGTCATGAGGTTGTTGAAAAAACATACACTTATACTTAAAAGTTGTCTGATTGGTTTTCCACTGTTTTGAATATGGGTAGGGAATGCAAAAAAGACATCGTTGTATCTGACAATCAATGTATATCGGACCTTTCTAGTGGGTCAGGCTAAATACTGTTGCTCAAAGCTTAATTTTTAGGCAGAAATTCTGCTGCTGCTGTTCTTAATAATCTATTGAAATGTTACTTCTGTAATATTTTCTACCCTCTGAGCCCTAGCCATCGGTAAACCGGTACGATAGCTCGTAAAATTGCCTGTATGCCTAGCCACTGGTTCACTGGTTAGTGAGACTCTATCCACAACGCGGCCGGTTTGGGACAACAAAATGTGCACAGAAACAGTGTTTACTGCTCAGGATGTTACTGATTATTTTGAAGATCTTTCTGAATTAGATACTGGTAATGACGAAGACTACCCTTAGTGTGGTATGGAATGTGATTCTGGTGATATGAAAGTGAGTAATATAGGTGTGAATCGCTCAGGAGAGGTAGCCTTGGGAGGTCAGTGCTCAAAGGGTTAAGGGGCAAAATGTGAGAATGAAATTCTGAAGAGTACAAGTACAATGCCTCAAATGCTCAAAGTATGTTATTATCAAGCACATTCCACTTTCAGCTTCCTAGATTGTGTCTTTTACAAAGTCCATGGCTCTCCGACATGAGAACTAAAAATGGGGTATAAATAGTTCTCCTGCACAAGTGCCCTTAACTTTGTTACTCGTGTGTGAATGAGCTGCAAAAATCTTTTGCACTTTCTGTTGCAGTGTTTTACTGCATCGACTCACCTTTTTATTGTATTTCACATAATTTGACAACTTATCGTACAGATTCATATACCGTGAAGCTGATATAACTTATACTTATTACTTATAGACATATTTCTGGTTTTTATTTCTACAATTTCATTGATGAAGACTACCATTTCAATGTAAATTGGGAGACATTTTCATAACTGTTTGAAATATATTTCCATGTTTGTTCAGAATACTTTCTTGTGATAATATTGTATTGTAAGAGTAATTGTACTGTATTCTTGTTATTGCATAGAATCTACTGAAAGTTCAGCAGTCAAATCTTTGCTAGAAGTTCTTGATTACTGAGTGATTAAATGAAAGACATTTTATACAACTGCATATTAACATATAAAGTAAGTAAGGCATTCTTTTTTCTCGTTAACTCAGTCATTTTACTTATCAACATTATATTATTCTTTAGTTTCTAATAGTTATAAAAATACTTACTGAATAAAATCTGAATACAAAATAGCCTTTTGTGTTCTCAATATGTAAACTTTGTCTTAGTACATGTAGTCTAACCTTGTTTTACCACCACCCTTGGGACGGGTATGAAGTTGGTGGAACAGCAGGGCTGGAGGTTCATCACGGTTCATTTTTTGTATAGCGCTGACTGCCCAACATCGAGGAACATGATTCTGCTGTGTGATCTGTGTTTGAAAAGTGTCTTTTTCTTGGTGATATAACATGTAAATGCACATGTATTCAAAGCCGAGAGTCTTCTCTCTCTCTATTTCTGCCTTTCTCGTGGGAGAAAGATTATCAAGTAGCCAACCAGTGGGTATGAATTTGCATTGGTTAGAGAAGGATCACACAACTCAGACAGTTGGCAGATGGTGGTGTGAAGGCAAAAATGCGTTTATATAGGTGTTCTCTTTTGTATATTGGCAAAACCTGGCGGTACAAGAGGGGGGGCGCGATACAACGAGGTTTGACATACATTTTGCCACAATTCTAACAGCCTGAAACTGGAAGAGCTTGGGCAGTTGTGGATGGCTCAAGTGTTCTTCAATGTAGTTTATTTTGTGACCAAAGTTATAAAGTTTAGGCACACCAATAGCTTAGCTGGTACCATGCTGAAATATAGTATGGATTACCCTCATACAAATTCTCAAATGTGTGCTCTTTTATGATTAGGTAGGACTTTTGTTTGTTTTGTTTTAGTAGAGGGTTTTACGGGGCTCGCAACTGCATAAGATTAGAGGTGTTGCAAGAGAGTAAAAAACATAAAAAAAGAAGAAAGGGAGATAAGGACGATAGATGTTCGATAGGAAAGAAGGAGCAAACCACACCAGAGCACCCACCAACCACCCACGTAGGACTTTTCAAGGCTCTCATTCTCATGTCTTATTTAAATTTAAGAAGAACCATTATAAATAGTTTAGAAAGTTAATCCATCAACTACCACAGTTCACCAGGAACAAGTTTGTTCTGAGTTCGAATAAAAAGACACACAACATCACAGTCAGTCATTCAGTGCAGTGGAAAAGTAAGACAGACCGACCAAAACAAGAGAGGGGAAAGGTAAAAACAAAGGGCCCACCAACAGTTCCCTCTATCCATCCGCCAAGAAGAGATGAGGATAATACAGTGCTGACAAGAAGTAGAGTAGCTGAGGATCAAACTTCAACCTCAAGTAACAGAAATTGTAATGAAAAAAATAAAGAAAAAGTACTTGGTGAAAAAAGGAACTGTTTGTTTGACTGAAGCGAAACACATCGAAATAATAATCATTCAGAGCATGAAAAAAGTAAGACGGACAAAAATTGAACTTCGTGATAACTCGTTTTTATTTTATTGTTGTCTTAAAAAGAAAAAAAATAACGTTGACAACATGTCTTATTCAGACACTGATGGTACAAAACAAAAGACGTACAGCGCCACCCACAACAACACAGTATCCTGTTGTTATGGAGACATGACACATACAATGAACAGGGCTAATCCAAAGTACATAGTACTTGGGTTGTGGGCCTTGAGCCCGAGGTTGTCATACTTCTACAAATAAAGTCTGGTGGTGGCGGTGGCTTCAGGGATGGAACTGGATCATAAAACCAATTGATCCATAGGGACGTTTCACAATACATGTTTCATACCAGGGGGTGAGCAGAGATATTGCGTTTACGAATGCTCCGCACAGAAAAAAAACCCTCCCCAACTCAAACCCAATTTAAAAATCAAACTGATGAAAAATTCCAGAAGAATCAGAGAGCCACTTCCACCCCTGCTTCCAATTGGAGTCAAAGTTTCAACAAAACATTTTTTTAAAGAATTACCAGCTGGTACATTGTTACTGTCAAGCTACACTGGCTAGAGAGTGGCCACTAATAAATGCATCCACATATACAGATGCCACCATGTCCGCTGAGGAAATGAGCCACATCGTAATATCAGAATAAACCACTGCACTATAGAAGTACTTGCGAAAAAAATCACCATTATATCAAATAGTACCAGTGATGAGTTCAAAATATACATACATTGAGAGAGCCTTGGCAGTCAGGCTAGTGGTTTTCTACGGTTTACAAGGAAAAAAACCAACCCATCTCAAAGACACAAAGAGTACAGGCAAGGGTATTAGAAACACAACTCGTACTCAAAAGTGATTTAACTTAGGAAGAGACGAATCCACTTCCAAATTCTCTCTCTCTCTCTAAAAGCAAGAGAATAGACATCCCCCACGACAAAATGCTTCTGATTTCTGATGAAAAAAACTTTCCATTCATCCATGGACTTGAGACCTCAAAATACATCCAATTGTCAGTTTCAAAATCGAAGCATTGTAAATTACAGTGTTGAAAATAAAGGCTATAATTCCTATTCTGTCTCTTTGATAAGAAGGAGAAGCCATAGAATGTCTAAAAAAACACACTAAAACAGCTCACACATGTTCAAAAAGGCTTTAAGAAAGAAGAAAAAGATCTTACTACAACACTATGGCACATAGCAAGCCGAGCTGAACCCACCATGAACATAGTTCAGTTTACCTACTAAGAAATGCAAATGGCATGCCAGTTCCCTTCTCATATCGGCAGCCCAAAACAAGAAGAAACTACTGTACAACAAAGACACAAAAGGCGACAGATACAAGACTGCAACAAGTCAAGCTTAGCAAAGACAAAGCATCATCAATCAATGAATCAGATTCAACTAACTGCTGGTCTTTTGAGAATGATTGGACACAACAAAAAACTTTGGATTGAGTAAGCAAACCTGCTGACTCTACTATGTACAACAAAATCTAGCACTTACTGAACACACAAGTGTCAATAAAATGTATGACAATATGAAAGCATGTATTCACATTCTGTGTACAAAATAAAACATTACTGAAAACATTCTTACCATTATATAGTCATACTAACTCTCTAAGCAGTTTCTTCAACATTGGTATGAGCACACATAATGCCTGTGTCTTGAAAATCGAATGCACCCAGTACTTCAAGACCTCTGTATTTTATTCTGATACAACTGCTTCACTTTTTAACCACGATCTGAGATTTAAACAAAATCACTCCAAACCGTACACATATATCCAACTATCAAACGTACACCTCTTTTGATCATCAACAGACCTCGACATATGCACTTCCAATTCTTGCATTGACACAAAGCCAGTATAAACATCAAAATATGTCATAAATGCAGCTAGGAATAACATGAATATGCATCACCTCACAACACATGACGAGCAAAACTTCACTGTTGACATGGCAAAACAAAGGAACTTTAAAAAATCAGATCAATTAAAGGTTATTCCACTATTAACATACCCACTTATTATGGACAACGCATTTACTTTCACACCAAAGCGGACCAAAAACAAAGCCTGTAGGCCATCCACATCCTACTAAACTGTTATTCTCTCGGCTCCACCACGCAAAGGCAAATCAAGGTACACCAGCAGAGACTGGGTATGTATGAACACGGAAGCAGTTTGGCATGGAACAATTGAGATTAGCAAGCTGTTGGCTCTGTACAAAAGACGTCAAGACATAGCAGCAGTGTTTGATCTCCATCCATACCCCCCCCCCTTTCTCTATTGGAAACTCACAAATAAAATATTTTCTTAATAGCAGCAAATATTTATCCACTTCTAAGGCCAACATTTTGCAAAACATTTCTCCAATATTCTAAAACAAATGTGTACAGCTGAAAACATCATTCCCGATTAAACTAAATGCACAGCACTACTTGGGGCAGTCAATGAAACTTCACTATCTCACAAGAAATCACTCAAAGTCAATATGTGGAAAGGCAACCAACACCTCAAAAGGGTTCAAAGGGAACTCTTTTGTTCTAATAAAAAAAGAAAGCTAAAAAAATTTCCTTCTGATGTTTATAAGCACATTTAAGAAAATTCAGATTCGTGGGTTTATAAATCATCCTTGCTGTACAAGCTAGACTTGAACAATGGCAGGAAAATAAAAGTCACATTCAGTGCTGGAACTGCCAAGATATTGGGGAAACTTGCCATGAAAAGTACATCTTTTTAAAGAAAAGTTAGAAATCCTATAAACTACCTGTCTTCCTCCAAATGTTGCTTTACTTTTCATAAGACATTCTGCAGGGTGGGAATTTGTAGAGCAAAGATGAAAGAGTTCTCTTTGTCATCCTCCAGTGTGACCAAATTTGAGAAATGAACTAAGCCATCCAACAAATACAGGTAATGGAACCTATGGGGCATGTCATGCTGAAAAGGAAGGGTGGGGGAGGGGACACAGGACACAAGACGGGCAAATACATGTAATGTGGAGACAAAGGAGGATCGGTTCATGCTCAGTATAAGTTAAGTCTTCTGGTACTCTGTGAGGAAGAGGGGCAGGGCACCACAGCTCTGGGCAAAATGGACCAGGACAGTCATCCTCTGTGGTACAGTACTACACACAACACAAATAGCACCGGTCCTGGCAAAATATGCAGCGGGAAAAAAAACCCCAAACTAACCATTCTTTCCACTGGGTCAATTACACCACTCACACTGTTTTTCCTCACACACGCAATGCAGAATAACCACAAACACAGTCATCCTCACCTTCACATTTCTCAGAAAGCAATTTTTCGACATGCTGAAAAAAAAACCCCAAGCATCCCCCTCCCTCCAACATTCTTGCTTGCAAACATACAATTAACATCACCCCCCCCTCCCCCAACCAAATGTCGTGGAATTTGCCCCTCAGTCCTGCATTTCCTCTGGTACTTCATGAGGTCCCACAATGCCTGGCACGGCCAGCTGTTGCTTGCGTTTTTCGTCCTGTGCACTTCTGATAGCCGTCTCTCTCTCCTCCAGGAACAAATCCTCCAGGTCTTCTCCAGCGAATTCCTAGAGGGAACAAAATAAATTTCATATAGTTCGGACCAAGATTGCTAATAGTAGTTTCAATTACAGACTTGCAATTTAAAAATAACTGAGAAGGTTCCTCTTATGCATGTAGCCACCCCTCCCCCCAACACACACACAAAAGAGTAAGCAAGCATCATCCATGACAATGTTAAAAATACACACACACAAAAAAAACCTTTCCACAATTACAGATAACTACTGTTGCCAAACAATTTTAATACACTGATTATATATATATATATTTCCATTTCTCTTTCCATTTTCCCTCTGGCTAGTCAACAACACGTCATCAACTATGCTGTTGTACACACGTACAGGGTGATTCAAAAAAAACTTTACAACTTTTTTTCGAAATATTTCGCGCAAATGTTGTTCTAGAAAGATGAAATTTGGAACAGATACACTTCATTCAAAAGGAATTTGTTTGACATAAAATTCACACAGAAAAAAATTGTTTTCAGAACGGAAAACGCATTTTAAAAAACCACACCCATAAACGTAAAATGCGCCAGTTTAAAAACAAAAGACACTCTCGCAAGGAAAGTCATGAGACGATTGATTTGGTTTTTGTCTTCTTTTTCTTCATAACATTTAATTGGTCCAACCTTTTGACATTAAACAACATTTAACTTCTCTTAGGAATTTAAAGAACTAACATTTTTGTTCTGGAATTTTTAAACAAATGCTCCAAATGTCCTCCTTTGGACTCCAAACATTTTTTAATGCATCGTTTGAAATGCTCGATGACGGCCAAACACAGTTCCCGCGAAATGTTTCTCACTTCATCACGGATTGCTTGTTTCATAATTTCAATGTTTTCAAACTGGTTTTGAAATATCCTGTCCTTCAGATACCCCCACAAGAAAAAGTCTAAAGAATTCAGGTCAGGAGAATGCGGAGCCCAAATGTGTTCACTTCTGCGACTGATCACATGATCTCCAAATTGGACAGCTAGTTGTGTCATAGATCTGACAGAAACGTGTGGATTGGTCCCATCTTGCATGAACCACTGGTCATGGCGATCCAAGTGTCAGAGTCTCCCCAGATCCGTGCAGAATTTCTTCAGCACCTCGATATATCGGTCTGTGTTCACAGTTGCAACATGTCCGTCTGCGTCTTCAAAAAAAAAAGGACCCACCAAACCATAGGTGCTTAAAGCCACCGACACTGTACACCTTTCTGAAGGACAGGATATTTCAAAACCAGTTTGAAAACACTGAAATTATGAAACAAGCAATCCGTGATGAAGTGAGAAACATTCCGCGGGAACTGTGTTTGGCCGTCATCGAGCATTTCAAATGCGTTAAAAGATGTTTGGAGTCCAAAGGAGGACATGTGGAGCATTTGTTTTAGAAATTCCACAACAAAAATGTTAATTCTTTAATTCCCTAAGAGATGCTAAATATTGTTTAATGTCACAATGTTCAAACAAATAAATGTTATAGAGGAAAAGAAGACAAAAATCAAATCAATCGTCTCGTGACCTTCCTTGCGAGAGTGTCTTTTTTTAAATTGGCGCATTTTGCGTTTATGGGTGTTTTTTTCATTATGCTTTTCCGTGTGAAAATTAGTTTCTTCTGTATGAATTTTATGTCAAACAAATTCCTTTTGAATGAAGTTTATCTGTTCTAAATTTAATCTTTCTAGAACAACATTAGCGCGAGATATTTAGAAAAAAAGTTGTTAAGTTTTTTTTTTGGATCACCCTGTAAGTGGCAAAGCTTCAAGGAGAAATCATGCCAAGCCATAAAACAGCTTATTACATCATTTTTTTCAATACAAGTACAGTATAACCTGCTGTAATAGCCTCCTGTATAAGGCAATCACCTGTACAAACAACCACTTCCCACTCTTCATGTTTTTTTCTTCATTATAATGACACTGCCCAGGACATTACCAGTTTACAATTACAACAACCAGTTTTTCCTCCATTATGGGTGGCCATACCATTTCGACTGAAAATATTAAATGACACCCAAAGCATAAAATAAAGCATAGACCTCCTTACCCTAATTTGGACCAAGAAATCCCTTAAGTGCTCTTTCAGGGCATTGCAGTCTTGATCAAAACTGAAAAGGCCCTCAATGAAGATTTTGATTTGTTGTCTGGGGAAAGAAACCAAAAAAATTGTACATAAACCAAAGAATCACATAAGTGACTATCTTTTACAGATGAGCTCAAGTATCTTAACAGCTGTTTACTTCCAAGAGATTCTAAAATTAGTAATACTTAAAAAGCCCCAAAAATGTGATTCCAAAAAGCAAAGACAAGACAATGAAGCAAACATTTCAATACTCATTTGAACAACAACAAAAGAAGCAGTCAAGAGGTTTTCACCTTTTAACTCACTGGCTGCTGCACCTGAGGTGTCTTGGGAAAAATCGATAAACAAAGTGTTGCCATTACTCTTACCCCTTGGTTTCGAATTTCATATAATTTATTTTCTATTATTCGAAAGTGTTTTCGGGCTAGTCTTTACGGTTATGCAGCTGCTGTCCTTTATGAATCGATTGAGCATTGTTCCAGTTACATCCCTTGATAATTGACTTAGATTTAGATACAATTGGTCGCATTTAAGCACGGGGGCTATCCCGAAAAGTGCTGTTTTGAGAAAATCGAAGCTAAAGTTTCTGCCCCTTGTTCAGTTTCTTGAAAATATGAGGAAAGTTTTGTCTATAACCACACAAATATACACACCAATGAAACCAAACTTCTCCTATAGGTAGGGCAATGCCCACTTTTGGTGTAGGTCAAGATTTCTTGAACCCCCGAAATTTGGGTTAGCCAGCTCGTCTCATCCTTAAAAGCGACCAATTTCCCAGGCAACCCAAAACGCATTTGGACATGATTACAAGCGAAACTCCCTACATTTTCAATATTGATGACTCATATGTTAATGGGTCAGAACGGACCTAGATCTAGACTTTCCAAGTGCTGAAGAAGATGACAGCAATGCTGAGCCAAATTATGTAGAAGGTTCAGAGTTTAGTAGAAGCAAGTGAAAGGCTGTATACGATGTTTCATTGTTGGGTGGTGCTAAGGTCACAAATATTTTTTTTACAAAGGTGCCAAAATTTTGGGCACTCTTCGGATGTTGAGCCATAAAGTGCCCGCAGCAAATGAGTTAACAAATAATCCCAATTCCGATAAAAACCTGTCAGCAGTGTAAACAACAATCAATTCCAGCCTTACAAATTTGGAGCAGACCACTTTTCATTTGCATGTCATAGGAAATGACAAAATTTAAATACACCTCTCCTGTCCAATAAAGAACCTCGACAGCCACAGCCAATAGCTTCCCATCCCTTTGGGGGGGGGGGGGAGCGGGCAAACTTTTTCTAGAAGGTGCTCTTTATTCGTTCTGTTATGTAGGAAGCTGACAAACAAGGATCTTTCGGCTGTGGGTACATAACAACTTCAGCTTCTCAAAGCTGGTGCACACCATGTTTCTTTGGCATATCATAGGAAGATACTCACTCGTTCAGGTGTGGGAAAGCTGTCTTGAGCAGAGAGAGGAGGAACTCCTGCACATAGGCCACGTTCTGTGCCGCAGCCATGTTGGGAGAAAGGGGCACGGTGATCTTGTTGTGCTCCAGCAGGTTGAACATGTATGCCAAGATGGTGGCCTGCAGCGTCAGGCCTGGAAAAACGCACACACAGAGACAGTTTCAGTTTGAGAAGGAAAAAAAAGGCATTTTGACACAAAAATTGTCACATTTTGTGCAGGGAACTGGCAAGATAGACAGAAACGAAAGAGGGGAAATAAAGTAGGACCTACCAGCGGTATTCTTTAACCATCCCCACACACAAAAACCACAAGTCAGATATTTCCGCGACACTAAAGCTTCCACTTTTAACTTAAACCATACAGAGGGGTTGAAGGGGGCATCCGCAGCGGACGTGCATCTCACCTGCTGTGTGGGAACTGTCAGTGATAACGGAGAAGAGGTGCTGCAGAATGTCTGTGAAGTAGGTCTGGTAGAAGCTTTGGGCCGTGCCCTCTTGCCTGGACATCTCCTGCAGGAGCACGTACAAGATGTCAAGCCCTGTGTCTGCCACGTTACGCATTGTGTGCTTGAAGGCCCAGATGATTGAGTCTAGCACCAGTTTGAACTGAGCTGCTGGGATGTTCAACAGGGCTGAAACAAATAATTATGAAACATTTTGTATGACAATGTCCTTTCTATAGCAATTCTCAGCATGGTAAATTCTAGGTCTCTCTTTTCGACAGCCTTCAAGCAACAAAAAACTACAAAATCTTGGAATGAGGACCAAAGAACAATAAATTGAACCAATTGTAGTTTTGCAAAAAGGATTACTTTACAAACGAATTGACACAATAGTAGGTATAAAGGCACGGGACAGTTGTTCTCACATAAATCTTAAAAACTGAATATTACACAAAACTTAGCATACATGTATTTCTTAGCCACAAACATTTTATCTCAAACTATTAATGTCTAAAACATTCATACATTGTCAAGGAGAAAAGTGGCCATATTACACAGAGCCATTATATTATTTTTTTAAAACCCAAAACTAAGGGGTAAACTGGAAGTGGCTATTTGTACAGATGCTTGCGTTTTATACAAGTGGCTGTTAGAGCTCAATATACAAATAGTTATAAACAGCAACTAGATACTACTTACCTTGAAAACTGTGGGAAGTAACAGCTTGCAATAACAAGAAAAAGTTTGTTCTGTGTTCTGGAAACTCCTCAAAATCCTGAAATGAAATCAAACCAAATGAATAAGTACCCATTCTGACCACTAAAACTTTTCAGCATTGTCATAAATTAATCAAAAGCATCCCTATATCTTACTTCAAAGAAAAGCACTAAAAGCACTCTGAACCTGTTGGCAGTCTTGTTGAAAGGTACAAAAAAATCAGGACATGGGACAAAACAACAGCAAGTGAATGAGCAAAGGGGGAAACAAGTTTCCATTATCATTTACAGTAAGGCACAAAACTACGAAGGATACCTCACAACAATTAATAGGTTGACAAGGTAGACTGTAACAACTAAAGCTAGGCAAATAAGGACATCCATTCTAGTTGAAAAATATACATAAAATATCACTGCAAGCACACATGTGAAATTTACTTCGATGAACTGTCTCTTTCCATTTTTCATATATACTCTAACCACTGGATCAATACCTATGGTTTCAAAATGACCTGTCTATATTATGTCCAGCATTCAAGCCTATAAAAACATTTTTTTGAAACCAGCACATACGACGGTAAACCTCCAACATTTTAGGGACAGACCACGTTACCCTAACTCATTAATCTATCCTGTCCCCGTGCTTCTTTTTCATCATTCTTTTTTTTGGCAAGTGTTTTACGGCGCTCGAAACAGCATAAGGTCATATGAGAGCGCAGGAACACATCAAACATTTTGAGTTGGTAGGGAATTTTGCTTGGGTGGCGGCCTGAATTTAGACCACCAAGGGATCTTTAACTTGCGCAACTTGCACTCAGGACCTCCAAGATTTTTCGCCCTTGTCTGAGAAGGCTAGGTGTAGATCTTTCCTACCAGCAGATCAGGGGTGTGGCTGAAAGACAGCAGTAAGAAGGAGCCAAGGAGTAGCAGTAGAAAGACTGCAGAAAGAGTCAGGAGCCCAGAGGAGAGGGCAAAGGAGGTGAGGGGGTGGGGGCAGAAAGTGGAGACGAAAGCAGATGACAGAACATTACTAGAGAGCAGGAAAGGAGGTGAAAGGAGACCATTTTTGGGAAGAACAGTTTTCGGTCGCTACCGGGATTTTAACCCAGGACCTTTGAAAGAGAGGCGAACACCTTAACCTAGTGGCCACGAGAGCCCCCTTTCATAATTTTTACAAAAATGCATTTCAACAAATACCAAAAAAAACACCAAAAAAAAACAAAAAAACTCAGGAGAATATGGTAACCAGTTTTTCAGTACTCACTTTGTTGATCATGGTCAATGTACACTCGAAGAGAGCATCGAAGATTTGAGGAATATCTTTTGTGATGCATCCCTGAGGGAGAAAACAAAAAAAAGTTGTGACAAGTTTTGACAAAATGGACCGTCTAAGCAAACAAAAAGTAAACAACAGTATGGGGATCACTCTCATTGCAAAATAAAACAAAAACTATATTTAGAGAAACATAAAACTGCACAGAGTCCGTTGAAATTAACTAATATCAAAATGAAATTTGAAATTGTTCCAAGTCACCTTTAATATGGAAGTGAAAAACGTTTCACAGCCTCATTATGAGTCAAACAATTTAAGGTACAGCAAAGGAAAAGGGTGGCACCCTCCAACAATCCACATATCATGCCATATCCTACCTTTAAACTGTTGACAATGGTTGCCATTGTACTGAGTACCTCCGGTTCTCGCGCGGCTGGCACATTCCTCTGGTAGTCCAGCAGAACAGCTTCCAGAAGAGGCAGGATAAAATTCTCGGCAACCTGAAGCACACACCAAAACAATAACAATAGAAACATAAAAAGTAAATACAGGGAGGAGAATAAATACGGTTTGTGTAGCAAAAATCAAGGTATCTTCACCTATACAAAAAAACTACAAACTCCAGGAAAACCTAGAAACGGCCTCCGCCTGGGAATTATCACTGATAACAGAATATACACAAATTTTTCAACATAGAACCCATCAAAACTCAAAACCAAAAGGCTCAACGAGCCAGTCTGGACTATTACAAACTTTTGACCTGTCTCCAGTGCAATTTTCAGATTTATAGATGTGTATATATATCAATATATATTCATTGTACTTGGAAATTTGATAACATAAATGACAACATATCGCGACCTCAGTGCTTTCTTGTTGTATCTCTATTTTTTCATAACATTGAAAATGGGACTTCTTCTTAAGCTCACTCTTTGTTATGAACTGTTTTCACTGTAAAAAAAAAAAAAATGGAGATATGACAAGAAAGCACTGAGGTCGTGATATGTCATGTAGATACAAAATGATTATTTAGAGTAGCTATACTTACAACTACTGCAAACCCTTCCAGATCAAAACTTGGTATCAAGTCTCAAAGAAATCTCAGAGCATGAAACAAAAGAAACCTGTGTGCTCCAAGATCTTTCGTTCTTTTTTTTTGTGTTGTTTCAAATATTTTACTCTTTTGATCATGAAGGAGTCAGACTGCAACGACCCCTCCAGTCAAGGCAAACCTAGACTATGTGGTACTGCACCCCAGCAGAAAGACTAAGAGCTCAACAAAGGAACACAAACATGAAATACGATGTTGTTGGTCCCAAACATACATCTTCAATCTTTTTTCCCAAAACACAGTCAAGTGATAAGTGACATATACCACCTATGTATATTTTCTCTTCTCACCATCTGTGGGTCTGTTGACCGGTTGACCCAGCCCGAGATCAGCTTGAGAGTCTCCTTTTTCACTGTCCTCATGGAGCGGATCAGCGGCTGTTTGGTCACACTCTCTCCGTTGGTGGCGATAGCACTACTGATGTTCTCACTCATCACCTGGTGACACATGGTGCACATTTTACACAGGAGCTAATCAATTCATAGACTCATGCAGGATGGTGAGACAATTTGCTATGTATGCTGAGGTATGTGTTCAGAATGCAAAAAGGGCATGGTCTGGACTAGGGTGAGGGGCTGAAAAAGTTGGGTGTTAAAAAGTACAACAGTGAAAATACACCGAGTTCTAGAATTCAAATGATTGCACACAAAAAAACGAAAATCCCCTTCACATCGCTCTCTACCATCCCTCACCTTGTACACATTGAGCATGTCGAGGTAAATGCGTCCGAGCTGCACCACGTAGGGATGTCCCAGCGCCTTGCAGGCCCGCACATTGGTCTTGAGGATGTTAGCCAGCTGTTTGACCGCTTCTGGGTCCTTTAACACTTGCACATTGTGGGTGGCCTGGTTTATGATGCCATCCCACACCTGAGCACACAGCCACACACGGGGAAAGAGAAAGACGGATACTCATTAATATTACAGCATGAACAAGTCACTACAAGCTCAAAAAAGTTTAGGTAACATGCTTTATTTTATTTTTTTCAGAATGACTCAAAAAACATGATACTGTACATTAAAACTGCTTTTAGCATTGTAAACATTCATAGGGGATATCTGTCGTACAAGAAACAGATATCCAAAAATGTTACAGTCCGGTTTTCTTCAATTTGTAAGAAAACAGACAGCTTTTCCAAAATATAACAAACAGAAGAATGGAATATTTTTTAAATACAAAATTTCATGAAACAGATTTTTAAAAAAAAATATATTGATGCAAACATGCTTATTTGACTTCTCTCTGCTTAAACAAATCTTGACCCATGGTCCGGAAAAAAAATAACAACCCAGATGAGTCTGCCACCTAACAATCTCTGCTAGCACAGAACCCCAAGCCCTCACCTGGTTGGGCAGCAGCATGTAACGTTCAATGAGGTGCTCCTGGGCCAGTTGGTCTGTCTGCGCCCCGATCATGAGGCCGACGGCCTCGTAGAACGTGTGCACCTGCTGGGGCTGCAGGTCACAGATGATGGTGTTGATGCCGTTCAGGATCTCCTCGATGAAGGGCATCACCTCGCCCACCTGCACTTGCACAAAGTGGCGACGACACTTCTGGGCAATCTTGATGAAAGTATCGCACGCCATGTCTTGTACACCGTCATGGGTTTCTGAAAGGAAACAGAAAGGTAAATATTCAGTCAGAGGAGAAGAAAAACAAAAACTTCCTTTTTCAAACTAAAGACTGATGAGTAAATACAGGTGAAGGTGGGCAAAGGTAACAATCATTTTAGTTTCTTTAAATTTAACACTCCCGCCCTCCCCAAATTATATAACCAATTTCTTCTTAGTCAAACTAGAAGTAAAACATATTCACCATACACATTGAACACATCTAAAAATCAACAAAGAAAAATTTTTTTTTAAAAACAGAGCACAAAGTCGAGAAGTAAATGACCATTAAAGAGATACTTTTAGTGCAACACAATAAGGTCATATAAGTGCCGAAGATTAGAGGTGTTACAAGAAAGTCACAAACACAAAAAAGAAGGAGGGGAGATAAAGACGACAGATGTCTGACAGGAAAGAAGAAGCAAACCACACCACAGCACCCGCCAACCACCCACAAATAAGATACAACATCTTGATTTATACTCAGACCATTAACCTCTTCGCTGCCGCGCCCATAGAATTTACGGGCCTAAGACTGGTTGTTTTGATACCAATTATAAGGAAAATTACTGCTAAAATTTTGTAATTATTATTGGGGTACCTTCCCTTTATATTGACCTACTCCCCCCCCCATTTGAAAGCGTCAGATTCAGATTTTTAGCTCGAACAGAGGATTAGATCTAGATTCACCGCACAAAAAAGATTTACTGGCAGTAAACACAGATCAGCTTACATGTATATTTAGGCGTTGTATAAGGTAGGAAAAGCCTCTTTACCTGTAAACACTCACATAACATGTATTCCCCTTTTTTTGGTCTCAGTTATAAGACAATTATAAACACGAGCAGCGTCCTCTAAAAATTAAAGATTTTTTCCAACAGTGAGCCACTCACCATGCATAAACTCAAAGAGTTTGTTGACCACTGTTTTGAGGAACCTCCAGTGGGCCCTGAGGAAGCGTGGGTACTGGCCCACCACGTACATGATGTTGGAGGCGATGATGGCCTTGTTGTCCTTGCCACGCTTTTGCTCACACAAGCCCAGCAAGTCCTGCGTGGGATTCAAGAGAGACAACAGTAAAGACTTAAAGCACGTTCAAAGCGATACGCTGCCCTTTAATTCACACCAAAACAATTTAATGATGAGAGAATAGGGGTGCCACATAGAACAAATAACCCCACAGCGAAATCAAAATCCGTAACGTTCAATGTTCCCGCAAATACTAAATTTCTAGAGGTGGCACCCCTAAACATACCATTTAACCCCAAACAAACACACTTCTGAAACATATATATATATTTCTTATAGCGGCATGGCATTACATCTCAATCGTCAGAAACAATCTCTTAAAATGATCAATCTTTCTCGTGTCTAGAATCAAAATTATTCACCCATTTTTGTTTGTCATCGAGTTGCATTTTACGATGGCCACACTGCACACAACAAACAAAAAACTGCAAATTAGTATAACAGTGAAACTGAAAAGAATGAGAAGACCACAGCAGAGAACCCAGTAACCATCCTCTACTGATCGGAAATTTACAAGAAGAAAAAGAGGGAAAAAGAAAAATGTTTAACCCAGCAAACCACTAAGAATTAACTGCACTATGGAAGTACCATCCGCGGGCAACATCTCTCACCTTAATGACTGTGACCAAGAATCTCTTCTCATCATCTTCATGCATGGCACCACTGATAGAGCCAATGGCCCAACAAATCTGAGGAACAAAATGTACAATGCAGGCCAAGAGTCAGTCATACAAGTTCCATCAGTCTAAGTAAATTGATTTGGTTCAACAAAAAAACATGCCTTGAAACCATTTTAATTAAATCGAGCATATATCGACTGCTCGGTGCAAGACTCCGTAATATGTCACTTTTTACAAAGATGTGTGTTGGAGTCTTACACTAAGTGGAGGATATAATTATTGCAACTGCTTTCGCAGACATGTACTTTCCTTAAATCTTCTTTTTACAACAAATACTTTACAGCTTATCCAGGTACTGAAGTACACTACAGGTCCGCTGATTTTCATAACTGAATTCTCTTGATTAGATCTATCTAAAGCTGTAGAGAAAAATCCTGTTCCTCTTGGCCTGAACATAAAGGCAATCTCAGCATGCTTCAACCCATTCCCCTTGACTCATTTATATGAACTAACTACAGGGTCCCCACCAAATCCTGGACAATTTTTTCAAGACCCCAATTCAAGGGAAAAATCAGGCCGCTGCGCGTCAAGAATGATCCCAAAAAAAGCCAATCTATCAAAGATAAAAAGTCAAAATGTCTATAAATGAATGCAAATGTACATTTTGTAGTATTAGTCTCCAAACAATAGATGACTATAATACTGAGTGACTGACAAACCAGCTTCTCAATTTTCCAAGGGAGGGGCCTCATCCATTTTCCAGGAACACGTTACATAACAATGAAAGCGTGTGCTCCATTTATATCTAATATAATACATGTATTTGTTTGTGAATACACACACACACACACATGTAGGTACATTATATCCAGTTAACAACATGTCAGTGTGGCACTGGGATCTTGAGAGACTTTGATATTTCAATCTGTTCTTACTTATTTATATTTTCCCATCATCATATTAGCCAACATAACAAACTATAGACCCTATATAAAAAAATGAATCCTGTTTTGAGCCTTAAAAAAGACCTAGAACTAGAAAATCGACTGTCAATAACCAGTCTGGGTGTCCTGATTCATATAATAAACGTGAAGACGAAAACCATTGCTGCAACTCAAAGTAGAGTAATAACTAGAATGGCTCAAGTACACCTATTCAGTGTGAGAGGTGTAAGAACTGGGGGGCGGGCGCGGCGCAAGATGCAGTGACACTGAAAATCTGCCAATCTTGAACAGAAAGCTAATAAAATATAGATATAAATTACAATCACCCCATCCAATGAAACGCGAACACTTTAGTTCAATAACAAGGCATGACGGATCCTGATTCCACACAAGGCCTGCACCAACGTGCGCTCTGCAGAGAGCTCTAAAGTAGTACTAGTAGTAATCAAAATGCTAAAAATTTGCTTCCAAGTTCAGTTTTTGTCCTCTAGCGTTGCCTTCAGCTCCCCCCCCCCCAATCCCCGTCCACGAGTGTATCTTATAAAGGAGTCCTCTACTTCACAGCGCTCAGGCCGCCGGTACTCACAGGTTCATTGACCGGTCACGAGGGCGAACCTGTCAAGACGCTTGTATAACTCCTTTTTCTTTCTTTTTTTTCCACAAGCGACAGCAGAGGGCAATTTTTAATATTGATTTATTTTCAAGGAGACACACCGTTCATAATGCACAACCTGCATGTTACAAATGTTGCGTTATCTATCAGACTATTACCGGAAAATTTCTGGGCGGTAACGAAAGCAGATCTTGATTATTCCCGATCGAGCCTCGGTGTCACACATACACTTCCGTCACAGCGGTTCAATTACATTTCTTCTTTAGGATTCATCAACCATACAGTCTAGATAGCTGCACATTATACAGGCCCTATACTTTCCCGACTTACCGACCCATCACAAAATTCCCGACTTTTTCCCGACCTATCTCAAAATTCCCGACTTTTTCCCGATTTCCCGACCCTGTGGGGACCCTGTAACTACCATCATTCCTTGGATCCAGGGTTTGTTTTTGAACTCTATTATTTCCCAGATATGTTCAATTAATTAACAGAGGACACTGTGGGTAGGGACAAAATGTGAACATGTCTTCAGTCAGTATGCTTTTTGTTGCAGCACAGATATTTATCTCATCAATATTGGAAATTTAAAAAAATTTCTGGCCTTTTTATGTCTCTGCTTTGTCCTTTGTTCACTTTGTGATAAAACTGGTTTAAACTTCTAACTGGACACAAACGAGCAAAATAGTAACTTTACACAGAGATAATTTTTTGCAGTATAGAAAGAAATAATAAAAGTGTTACACTGAAAAAGATACTCTCCTTTACTGTAAAGCATGTGAATTCTTAGAACAGAAATGCACAGACCAGCAGACCACAATGACAGCAACAGGGAACGACAAATGAGAAGTGACTTACAGTATTTAGATTTTTCCACGACCATTCTGTGCCATTGACCTGATTGTGTAGTTTTTCAGTCATGATGTTTTCTGTATCGGTGTAGTCCAGATGAGTGAGGTACACTGAAAAGTGGAATCAAACTTCATGTAAGAATCTCCAATAAAAAATAGCACAACATACAAACTTTTCTAAAAAATAAAAAACAAGGAAAATCAACACCAAAACATACATTGTCAAACATAAACAAACTTCGAACTGTCCGCTTGCCACACCGATAACGTACAAAAAGAATCTAGTCTGCTATTTTCAATCTCTACTTTCCACCCACGCAGCGCGCAGAACGCAACACATATCCCCATGGACCAGGATACAGGTGCGGTACACTCTATATCAAACCGGCGCCGATCGGCGTCCCGTGGGGAAAAGGGACGGCTTCTTCCTGTCGCCCAATGGGGGCAAAGTGTTTTTTAAAAAACCAATATGCCCCAAAACTAAAGTTAAATCGAATATTTAATACCAATAACCAATTACATATAATTCACATGTAATTCAAAGCAAATTTATGAAAATAACCGCATTGATGTGTAAGCGGCTATTACGCTTTAATTTTTTCATTTTCTCACATGCTTTGTTATGTTTCAATTTTGAAATGTATAAATGATAAGAAAGAGTGACTTACCTAATGTTTCCCTCATATTTTTATACAAGTTGATTGAGTCTGTGTCTTTCATGAACTCCCTCACCACTTCCCCCTGGTCATTCTCCACCACAAGGACCTCCTCAGGTTTTGCCATTCGTGAGATCATCACCAAACGGACCTGTGAAGATTCAACAAGGTTTGTTCATGAACTAGATATACAACTCAAATGTAAGATGTCGACGACTCATCAGTAATCAGGACCAGGACATTCGTTTAAGAAGAATTCACAAAATCAGCAATAAAAATTAAAATGCAAATGCTAAAATGCCAAATAAAAACCCACATCATGAATCAAAGATGAGATGATAAAAGCTGTATACTGACATATCCTTGGTCGAAAAGACCTGCAAAACACATAACTGATAGTAACAATTGTAGCATACCGCGCAGATATACCTGATAAACTTTTTGAGTTGTGATTGATATTTAGCATGGAAACAGCCACATTTCACCAACATAAGGACAAGAACATCGAAAAGAAGTAGAGGGAGCTCACCCCACTACAGCCCCCGTCAATCTCCCGCACATAATTTTTTAAGTAACAAGCACAAATAAAGAAATGAAATATTGTTCTGCAAAACCAAGCATCCAGTCCAAACCAGAATATAACAAATGTTCTTGTTGAAAAATTGGGTCCATTTTCTTCCACACAATAAGCACAAAAAGCAGCCATCAACAATTATATTTCTAGTGCTGGTGTACTACTGGTCAAAACATTGAACATCAGCCAGAGAGACAATCCCACAAAGCAGGCATTAATATTTATGCAAAAATATCTAAGTGAAAATTACTTTGTTTTACTATGACTTTCACTCCCTTACTAGCCAAAAACAAAATACTCATGTGTTGTAGGTATGGTGCTAGAATCATCCCCTTCAAAATTAAAAAAACCTGCACTCACTTTTGAAAGCACAGGGTTATACAGTAATCTTCTGGCTGGCATCTCTTGGTTCTGATTTCGCAGTTGAGAGAAAATGAGTGGTGGTGATGATGAATCTGAGAAAGGATTTTCACGGTACAACTCCGAGGCCAGGGAGCTCCAATATTCCAGGCAGATTTTGAAGATTTCAACCTCCTCCACATGTGAGATCAGGATCAGGTAATGCAACGACTGTAAAATTCAGAACAGGAATATGTTCAATCGTTGGAAATTTTTTTAAAAACCTGACAAAGACACCAAAAAGACAGAAATAATGGCGTATTTTGTCATTGACAAAGCTTTTTTTGTTTTTGTATTCGTTTCTGTTATAACATACAAAATGAATGAAGTAAACCTTGATTTCAAAGGGGGAATGAAAGTTTTAAAACACTTGACAGACAAATTTGAGTTTTACTCTTACTAAGTATCAAGTATATGTTCTTCACACAGGAAAACAAAATTCAGTTCAGGCATTTTTCATTCCAACTAAATACTGAAAACTAAGGCAAGGTAGCTCACTGGTTCATCTGATGAAAAAAAGGAGTTCAAAAGCAGCACATTTTAGTTTAATATTGCAAATTGACAGACACAGTTAATTCAACTGGCAAAAATATAGCACAACTCCGATTTACCTCCATTAAGAGAGAATGCAATTCTGGTTTTTTCTCCACTAACTGGGCATGTTCTTTGAGGAAGGTACAAAGGAATAAACTGAGGTTCTGAATAAAGTTCTGTTCATCATCTGTGCCACCCTGGTATGCCTCTTTAATGTTGGTCTCCAAAGGAAGCATCTGAAACAGTTGAGGACAGACATTGTAAGGTAGAAATAAAACGATGAGGACATTAATCATTTATCCAAAGATGTAAGTCTCGTGTTAAGAATATTCAAGCATCCTAGTAATAATGGTCGTTTAATGCTGGGTAAAAGCAAGGCAAACAGATTTGAAACTATACACATAATAAAGAAACTAATGAGAGATAATGTTAGCAATAACAGAACTAGAAATACATTATACTTTCAATATCATCCACAAAACAAAATACATCCAATACAAAATAATTCAGTTCAGAGCACTTTCACTTCTGCACATCTATGCATACATTTGTTTATCTAATTATGGCTATTCAAGACACATACATGCACATTTCTTATGCAGTTGCGAGCACCATAAAACCTCTACTAAAACTAAAAACTAAACAAGCAAATTTTCTTGTTCTTTCGTTCTCACACACAAGCACAGACCCCGTAGGTAACTACCAATATAAATTTCTGACACCCCTCCCCTTCTTAACCACCAATACAGATGAATAATTTATTGCGAACCTGTTTGAGTTGATTCATCCCAAGAGTAAACAGTTGAAGGAATTGCTCATCATAGCTCTGCGCAGCTTGAACACCAGCTGAAGATACAAAGACAATTATATAACCTAAATAAAACTAATGTAGGATTTGGACTTCTAAACAGGGTTCCCACTCATCATAACAATTAAGTGCAAGATCCGCAGGAGACATGCGATGATGAAGATTCGCCATTCATTTCCTTGCTAGGATGCTCTCAAAGTCATATAATCCTGATCTTTCCCAATCACCCATCTGTTAGGCTCTCCAAGTAAGTTGCTCTGGGTCTACCACTGACTCTCACTCATCAAAGAGACAAAAATTTACTCCTGGATTTTGTAAGCATTTTCCAAGGGATTTTTTTTTTAAAAAGATGACAGAGCGAAAGCGAAGAAGAAGACATGAACAGAAATGCAAGATAAAATGCATAATATGGTCAGATCATGGATAGTCCCTTTCCATGGAGTGTCATGGACAGGGGTTGTAGAATAACTGTAATGTCAATAAAGGCATAATGACAAAGGTCTCCACAGGCTCACCGTCGTAGAGTTAAGAATGGAAAAAAAAGTTTGATTCTTGCGAAAATAAAAGAACCGCTCAGGATGTTCTATATGCCTTTGACTCTGATTGTGCACTACTACGCAACATGATGCACACTGCGGCTGACTGTCTCAGTTTCAATCTTGATCTGCTTTTTTGGTTGCAAAAGCAAAAGAATTTTTTCACCTTTGACAAACTAATGTTGGCCTTTTTTTCCAAGACTTTTCAAGACCAGATTTCTTTTTTCCAATAAAAATAATGTGTCATTTTGGAAGAAAATTTGTTCTAGTTTGGTATTTCTTTATTTTGAATGCGTAAAGTTGAGGCCTTCTAAACTTCAAGGAAATATTTTAACAATAGATCAGGTTAAAAATTTGTTTTTCTAAGACTTTTCAGGGGCTCTCGTGACCTAGAGGTTAAGGTGTTGGCCTCTCATTCAAAGGTCCCGGGTTTGAATCAGGGTAGCGACGGAAATACTTTTTTCTCTACTCTAAAATTGTCTCCTTTCCTACTCTCTAGCAATGGTCTGCCGTCTGCTTTCGTCTCCACTTTCTGCCCCCACCTCCTCTGCCCTCTCTTCTTGGCTCCTGACTCTTTCTGTAGCCTTTCTACTGCTACTCCTTGGCTCCTCCTTACTGCTGTCTTTCAGCCACACCCCTGATCTTCTGGTAGGAGAGATCTACACTTAGCCTTCTCGGACAAGGGCAAAAAAATATCGGAGGTCGCAGGTGCACGTTAAAGATCCTTTGGTGGTCTAAAATTGATAAGAATAGGCTTCGGCCGCCACCTGCATAGAATTCAAAAGAACCTACCAACTGAAAATGTTTGGTGTGTCCCGCGCGCTCATATGACCTTAGGCAGTTGTGATCGCCGCAAAACACTCACCCAATTTTTTTTTTTAAAATAAGACTTTTCCCAGAATTTTGCCAATTTCCCAAAATTCCAAGAGTTTTCCAGTAAGTTCAAGTAGCCAAAGAGCAAATAAGTTTTCAAAAGTCGGACTTAGGGATGTTACAATAATATTATATCTAAGTAAAATTGGAGGGGGGTGCCCAAACCAAACCATAACTATTCCACCAAATTCTTATGATGCGCATCCCCTTGATTTTCCGACTTTCTCACTCTTTTTTGTGTGTTTTCATTCATTTTCAAGGTGCTTTCCAGACCAGGAAATCTAAAAATGAAATTCCTGGCTTACTCCCATTTTCCAGCTGAGTGGGAACCCTGTCTCATGTATTCTTTATCAAAAGAAGAGTAGACAACTACATCCTTACACAAATGCAAAAAAACAACTAAACTCAATTCTTTTTTTTTTAAAAAGCTAGACTCCCACTACTTTCCTCAACAACAAAAAAGGCCAGCACATATTGGTGCTGGTCCCAACACATTTGATAACAGTTATCTTGGCCATTGAGGATCTGCTATGCAGAAAGCCTCACATTAATACAAAAAGTTAGTAAACATACATAAAAATTTTTAAAAAAGAATTATATATATATTTTTATAAACCTGAAGTGCATCCTTACTATTTACATTGAAAATTACATTTTTGCACCAGACCTGAGCCATTCTCAAAAGGCTGGCTTATAAACATTTCAACATGCCTAAATTTACAGTCGAATGTGCTCTTCAGAATATAATGCATCCTTTACTAGATGCGTTACTTTCAATACAACCTTTACTAGATCATTTACTTTCTAAAACCAAAGACATTTCTTTAAAAAGTTGAGAACTTTGGTTGATTTCATATTCAAACAAACACTTTCACATTTTTCAATAGAAAAAGGTTGATTTCATGCAGCTTCATTTGAGTTTTCTTGAACTTCATGAGAAAAAGGTGACGGTTCAGACATGCTTCTCCTTTGAAAATGGCTCATCTGTTCAACAAAATCAAGAATAATAAAGCACTGATAAAAACTGAAAACCTACCAATTTCAGTCAGACACTTCATTGTGATGTTTCTAAACATGGGGACATTCAGGAACTGAAAAAGAACATTTTGATGTAAGAAAACCAACCAAGACAATCCAATATTTTTTATTTTATAAAAAAAAAAAAAAACCCACTAAAAATTATATTGATTGAAAGTAAAGAGACTTCCTCTTTAGCAATGGTATGAAAGTATTCATGAGAAGTACTACTGCACAGAAAAAATGGATGAAAGTCGCAATAACAATATTGAGGAAAACTGGATTAAAGGTAATTTTTTCACAAATATGCCTCTATGATCTGTATAAATATTTTAACTTTTCATCCGAGCAAGGATGTTACTTACATTAAATAGTAAAAGGAGGGTTCACCCATGTTAAACACTAAAGACAATGTTTATAGCAAAGTACACCCACGAGTTCTTTCTAACACAATAACAGAAACGAAATACCAAAACTCAGAAAAGTGTCTGTTTAATTTGAATAAAACTTTATAAAAAGATAAAACATTTGAACGTATGGAGACAGAGGTTATCATTTCACATGAAAGTCAATTTGAAAAGGAAAAAGTTTACCTAGCTTAAAGTCAAACAGATTGCTATAAAATTAGCACTCTCTTAAAAATCAATGACATTTGTGTTCTCCACGATAAAATAGTGGCAAAAATATGCAGAAAAGATACCTTGTAAATGAGGGTGGTAATGAGTTTGGTCTCAAAGATATATCCCAGTGGAATCCAGTTGAGGAACCTCAGCAAGGTCTCTAGTGTGGCTCCCACCAGCGGAGCATTCTGGCTGTTGTCCTGGGAAGACACATGATCACATTTCAAAATGCAGAACGGCATTGAGTTGCTTTAGGCTATTCAGTGCAATAATGACCAAACTTCATGTGGAGCAGCTATGGATAACTGTGAGATACAGAAGAAGCGAAAGAACTAGGCTACAACAGGTAAAAGGCTTCTATACACACTCATAAAACAAGAACTAGTTTCTACAATTTCTGTGCAACATAAAGCTAAAATAACGACAATTCATCTCAATCCTTAAACAATAAATTCATTTTTTTATGTGATGGTCGACAAAAAAAAAAAAGAAGAACAAAAATAGCTCCATTTTGATGATCAAAAGGAATTGGAAGAAGACCTCAAGCTCTACATAAATTCCCTTACGAACAATAAGCAAACAAAACTAGAACAGTACTCCTCTAGACAAGAAGTAACTGGCCATACAGCGTTTTCAGTGTCTACGTCTCCTTGCGGCATTTCAAGTATACGCACTTTGAAAGACAACCCTATACAAATTCTCTATCAATGAGAGTCTAACTCACCATAACGAACTGGCAGAGTTGGAAGATTTGTGAGAATTCACTGCACATTGTGTCCTTGAGATGCTTTGCCTTTGCTTGAGTCATCTGACCACTAGAGAAGTCAAACACCTCCTCACTGAAAAAAAAAAAAATTTTTTTTTGTCAATCAAGCACTCAAAACACAAACATTCAAACATAAACACCTTTCTAGAATCTTAAAAGAGACAAAAACAAACAAAAAATAAAACAAAGACACAAGGGCAAGTTGACATTCTTCCACAACTTCTTCACCCACCTGAGTAATTTGAGTATCACCATGTTGTTCTGACACAATGACTCATTGGTCTTGCTAGCACCGATGATGTCACTGATAAAGGTGGGCCAGTTACGAGGCCATTCATACTTCAAAATCTGGAACAAAAAAACAGTGCAAACAAAATTTTAAATATTCCCAATATCAACAAACAGGCAAAAATAGATTGAATCATAACAATAGGAAATGAAAACATTAGAACATTTTTTAAAGACACGACTTTACTGTATATTCATATTTATGGGCATTAATAAGTTGTTGCAAAGTTGACCTAAGATATAAAAAAATCTCCTGAGAAGGTAAAAGCAAGCCAACACTCAAACTTCATGGCACCAGAGACAGAAATCATCACCTGTAAAACATCGCAATTCCCGAATACAAATCACCCCCCTCTTCATTCACTTTGGCAAGAGTGAAAAAAAAAAAGGACCTATCACAATTTCTAAACATGTTTAAACAGCTTACACAAACAAGGGTCTCAATGGTGGCAAAGTGGTAACAAACCTTATTCACAGCCACTGCCTGTACATTTTTTCCATTAATAATGAGTAAACACATATGTATCAAAGGCTGGATTTTCTTTTCATGATTTGACCCTACTTAAATTCATTAGCTTTATGCAAATTAGTGTACTTATCTTTAACAACAAGTTTACCTCCTACCTCTTTCAGAGTACCCAAAATTTTCTCTATTGTTCCACGCAGCCTCTCCTCTACCCCCGACTTGGACCAACACCTTATACAGTCACAGTGAACAACTTGTTAAAATCTCTTTTTATGACAAGGCATTCAGGCCCACGAGCAAAAGCTCAATTTATGCTAGACTGACAATAACAACTCCATAACCAAATTGTCAACATTTGTAACAATGCGACAGCACAAGTACATTCCTTAAAGCAAATTAGAAGGAAAGAAAAGAAGGGATAGACTTAAAAGAAGATGGGAACAATACATAGAAACCCAGCTTGGAACCAAAACAACTCAAGCTGGCAGAATGGCAAGTGACAGATTGTTTTATTGCAGAAAGGTCCGAGACACGATGCCCAACTACTGGGGAAAAGCTATGAAGAAGGAAGAAGATGTAAATTACTTAGGCTCAACCATTGAAAAGAGTGACTGTTTTAGTTTTAGTAAGTATTTTATGGCATTTGCAACACAATTAAGTCATATAGGTGCCGAAGACTAGAGGTGTTGCAAGATAGTAACAAACAAAAAAGGAGGAGAGATAAGGATGATAATAGATGTTTGATTGGAAAAAAGGAGCAAACCACACCAGAGCATCCGCTTAACACCCGCAGAGAGTGACTACACAAACAACAAAAAAGTTAATTGCACAAACCTGTACTAAAATCATATTGAGCTTTCCAACATAAACCTTTTCTCTTTCCAACAGTGTGGCCTCTGAAGAGGTTTTGATGATTAATCCAACAATGTACTTTTTTATTCCTGAAATAAAACAAACACGGAAAGACAATTAGTTGTACACATATTTTGTATAACCATGTGAGATAACTGTTTTAAAACACCCACAATGCCATAACAATGAACATAGCTTGTGCAGAAAAATACCAGTTACAGTCATACAACATACTAAACAGAAGAAAACATTTTGTTGAATGAAGCTACATAATATCATGTTGGTACATAGTGAAGACAACTACACAATGAAGGAGATTAAATCTTTTGACTCAGTGGGCCATAAGGCATACATGGTCTATAAAAAGAACCTAGTGCAGCCTCTTGCAATGTTTTCTCTAATAAGGGCCAATGGAACAAAACCCCACAAAGAAACCAGATTTCATTACTCAGGTGTGCCGAAACCACCACACACACCAACCGACAGTCCCATTTTCTGAAAATGTATCACAACTCAATTTTTTTTTTAAAACAAAGAGACATAATACAATCTTTGGGGGAACAACAGAGCCTTGCCTGGGAAGGAGAGACTAAGGTTAAGAAGGAAAGACTTTCCGATTTATAAATTTTTCTCTTTTTATCACTTTCACTTTACTTTGCTGTAATGTAAATAAAACAAATTAGATACAAACCTAAAATCAACATACCCATCAAACTAAAGGACAAAAAAAAAAAAAAGAATAGGATACTGAAACAATAAAAACTGCATCATATAAAAAACCAACAAATTGAATGCCCAATCAACCCATGAAACCACAATTAATTGGGCTGCCACTACAACAGGAGTCCTGCAAAGTAGGAAATAGAGGGAAACTGTAAGTAAAAGAGGTCTGAATTAAAAAGAAAAAACCTGTGAATTTTCCACACTGTGGACTTTACTGCACAGATATTTGACAATAGTCATCTTCAAATTGAACGTATCTATCTGCCACACTCACCTTCACACTGTGCCCTGGGCAACACCTTCCATCTGGTTTTAATTACATTTTCAAGGATCTGAAGAGCATAATACTTGGTCTGCTGATTACTCGAGAACTCCAGAATGGTGTCCACTCGAGTCCAGGCATCTGGATGTTCCTTGAGCCGAGTCAGAACTTCCTGGGCCATTCGCTGCTGCTCAACAAAGAAACAGGAATCCAGCATTCAGAATGAGGAAATCAACACAATTTTGTTTAAAAATTCAATTTTGCACTAAACAGCGATACTCTGTGAGTCATATGTTGTTTTTCTAGGAGCTCCCTTTTCAGACTAAACCATTTGCAAAGAGCACTCACCTATTACAGTGTGTTCCAAGGGGCATTTAACCTATAATACAGTTTCACACATTTTTTTTTTTTTTTTTTTTGGGGGGGGGGGGGGGGGGGAGAGCACATTTGAGAGAGACAGAAATACTGCCAGTTACAGATAATCTCTTGCAGTATGACTTTCAATAAAAATCAGATATTGAGAAGAAAAAAAAAGATATTTGCAGGAATTCAATGGTGACATTTTGTGGGAAATACAGTAGAACAAAATAAAATTTAAATAGGAAACACATTCCTTCAATAGATCTTTTCAGCTGGGATAAAAGAAGCTAAAAGTACTATTAGTTATTCTTCCTCCAGGTGCAAAATATACTAACAACTTTTAAAATAAAAAGCAAGTAGTAATAATCTTACTGCAACAATCCTGCTGCAGGAAACAAATACAGAGGGTGACCGTTAACTTCTTGCCCTGGTTTCAATACATGACATGAAGCAGCCAATGACATTTCATCATTGTCATCGGGAAGTTCCCATTCCTTTTTATTTGCTTCAAAATACAACCCACCTGTTGTCCATCTGCAGTGTACATGCATGACACAATGCTGTCCAGAAGTGGGATGTCAAGTTTTTGACTGAAATCTAACAATTTCTCTGCTTGCTCTGGTAGAGTCGCCATTTTCATCGTTATCTGTTACACATTGAATATCTGTGAAAAATAAAACCACATTTCACTTACTATGCACTGCTAAAAAAAAAATTGAATCGTGAGACAAGATAAAAAAGAAGCTTCTTCAGTATTCACTTAAATTTCTAACCCCGGAATTATTTTCCATGTTTTGACGGAATTTTTGTTTACATTTTGCAAAATATGCAACAGGATATACAGGCAAAATGATAATAAAATGGCTAATCTAGCATCTGCGTTTGTCGCGGCCGCGATTTTTGGTCTGCGAATTTTGACTTTTTTCAGGAAAAAAAAGCTACTTCATAACCCATTACTTATTAGACATGTATTCTTCTTTATTTTAAGGTGTCCATGTATAGTTATTTTCATGCGAAGAATATACGTACATTACATACTATTTATATATTGCTGTTTGTCTTTTATTTTCCTATCTTTGTTGTGTTTTACATTTGTTGGTGTGTTAATTTTTTTATTGTTCTGATGTGCTGTTTTTATTTTTTTAAATTTGGGTGTTTATATAGGGTAATGTAATTTAATTTGATGTTGTTCCTACCCTTTTAAAATTTATATAAATGTGTTATGAATAGCGAGTCTCCACCAAAACCGAATACTGTCACTGGCAGGCCCCTTGTGTGTGATTCTATAATTTACTTGAAATATCCGGTACTTATTCTTGAATTAAATACTTTATAGGTTAAAACGGCCAATCTTCGGATAGGTGGACACACGCCCTTATTTGTTAATTTTTGTGGTTGTGTATATGAGCTGTTCTAAATTTGATTTCCTTCTGTTGTGAAACCTTTCTTGTTCACATTTTTACACTCAGTGTGGTTACAAATGATATTCTGGATGCTGAAAACAGCACACAAAATTCTGGTGCGTTAGATTTAGATGAAGTTACCTCTATCAACATGTTGCTACATACGTCTTCACAGAGTTGAAAGCTTGAAAATTAATGGCAACTTTTAGACTGAAAAATGGCAACAAACGCAGATGTTAGGCTAATACTGTGTCAAAATGAAACAGGAAGTGTAGTATATACATCTAACACTTCCAAGTCAAAATAAATCTACTCGGATTCCTAAAAGATTGTATTAGCAGTAATGTTTCATGCACCCAGCAAACTGACTGGATGCTGGAACCGCCCACTTGGGTGGACTGATTGTACAGCACTTTTCTTCATTGGTAACCGGTCATTTCGTCACATCCCAATTATGTGTGACGAAATGACTTCGCTTAATATCTCTCCAAAATTGTTAAATTGTTATGCTAGTAAAGTTTTGTAGGATCAGCCTGAAGCTTTTTTTAAAAATTATATATATATATTTGTAAATTATTAATGAAAATTAAATCTTCATCAAACTGTTCCATAGTTTAAAAATAGTTTAAATAAGGCAAAAAAACATCATTGGGACCTGTAGATCTAATCCAATGAGGTTATTATACAGTAATGGAGGCTGTTCTAGATAGGAAAGAGGGTTTTTATTCTGAGGCCCTTGAGATTAGGAAAGTCAGCAGATTTATTTTGTTTTAAAACCCATTTATCTCATTACTATTACAGATGTCAAAATATAGATGTCCTTGCGGCTCCATATTTTAAAAAAATAATAATCCAGTACCAGCTTAACAAAAACGGCAAACAACTTCTCTATTAAAGAAAGATGAAGGAAAAGGGGTGGGTGGAAAAAGTTTGTGTCTCCTTTAATAGTACTGTACCCGGTTTAATCTGTCATAGTAAGAAGTCTCCACCTGAGATCCCATTGTTTATGATCCCGGTTCACTTAAGATTCCGTTGTTTAAAGAAAAAAACCCAAAAACAACAAATTTTATTATAGAAAAGTCACAACTAAGATCCTACTCTGGAGTTTGAAGTTCCCGAATTTTAGACCAAATTTCTCTGAACAAAAAAACCTTATGGATCATCCACACTCGTACATGATAACATATGATCACATATCTCCACTCTAAATTTCTCGATGAGTGGTACAAGGTTCGCCCCCGGCTCAGGGGCCTTACAATGAAAGGATCACACCCAGGGGTGAACTTTTCGACGTCTTTGATTTCTCCGAACATCTAACTACAGCAAGGCGGGAATCGGTAGGCAGGGCCAAAAAGGCTGCATCAGATGGGATCACATCGAACTGTGATTTCATTGGCGCTTTTGCTTCACTGACCATCTATCAGGTGTGCATCAGAATTTGCTACAGATTTTGCACATGTACTCTGGAGTCTCCGATTGCCTTTGTGTAATGTTGAGCCAACTTTTCATTTTTGTAATTTTAATTGGTGCATTAACAAAACAATGATGAGTTACGACCTGAATATGAGCTGTGATTTCAGTCAGAGGTGAAGGAAAGTAGCAATAAATACTTCACAGGTAAAGGGGAGGAGCAATGAGTGAGATACTTAATTTGACTTAAAGGAACCCAACGACACAAGCTAACAATTAAGACTAGTTTGCGCATCAATCCCATTTAAAAAGACAAAGGATATTATATTACCTTTTCAATAATTAAAACCATTGGGAGGGTTGCACTAAAAAAAAAGGAAACAAAATTACCGTGCTCAATAATCCAAAGACAAAGGCAAAGGCATCATTGTATAATCATGTAAAAACGATGGCTACTAGATCTAGCTTCTTCTAGTAGGCCTACTGGCGTTTCAAATAGCACGGGAGCTATTCAGAACGCGGCGTTGCAAATAGCGCTTGCCGATCTTTAAACTATTGGTAGGCTGTGTTTTACAACTCTACTAGTCAACATAAGGATCAAAACATAAAGTTCATGGACAGTCACCCCCCCCTTCTCGTTCTCTCTGTGTCCTCTCTCTCTCTCTTTTACTCCACCCCCCTCCCCCTCTCTTTCTTTTACTGTTTCTCTCTCCATCTTAATCTCCCAGGCCAGCCCCACCACCTTCACCCATCTTTATTGCACGTATTCTCTCCCATATTATTGTAGCCCACTGCCTAGCCCAACTATAGGCCTAGAATTCTAGATCTATTCTTTGTAAAAGAAAAAACCGTAGTTCGAACTGGGTGACCATGCCATAGGTTGGTGCCATTTTGTATGTTCCACTGGGGGCATGCTGCGCTGTGCCGTGAAAAGAGAGAGGGGAGGGTCCATTTGTTGTAAGTGTAGTAAGGTGTTTGTTCGGTGTTGTACCGTCTGCTGTGTCAGTGTCTGTGTAACCTCTAAGAGTTGAGAGACAGGGATCTAGAATAGATCTAGACTCTAGATCTAATTTTAAAACTTTTTTACAAAATATAAGAGGAGAGTGCTCTGAGGGACTGGAATAATAATTTTCGGGAAGAAGTTGTTTTTGTTGAGGAAGGGGAGTGGGGGAGGCTCAGGTAAAAGGTTAGCATTTTTCAGACCAATAATGTCCAAAGGGCTCACTGCCACTGTCCGATGACAAATGATACTTGATTAACTTGATAGATCTAGATCTAGATTCTAGATCTAAATCTAGATTCTGCCTCCGGCACAGGAGGCGGTCATCAAATTTTTAGAGATGAAAAGAACTTCTTGGCGGGGGAAAGAAAGTAGGCAAAGTCCGCAAAGAAGACTTTATTAACCTATACTCTGGTTCTGTGTTTCTTTGGGAGTATGGTCCGTCTTTTCAGACATTTATTTTCTTTTTTTCCAATTCCATCATACGATTAGGAGCAATGAAATTCCATGGTTAGTCTTTTCTCCAGTAAATACTATTTGTACTACGCCTCGTGTTTACAACTCGCGCGAGGAGATCGACAGGTCACATGACCTGCATGCTGCATGGCTGTTGCTTCAATGAAACCCTTCTAAACTTCCGTTGTTTACATCTCGAAACATGGCGGCGCCCATAACATTTCACATGATTCTTACCTTTACAGTGAGTTATACAGTGCTTTAAAACTAAATATGACCACAATGAAGAACCAACGACGTAAATTGTACATGAACATTACCTCTATGACCGCTGTCTTGAAGCTCTGTCCGAATTCTGAAGAAAACACCCAAACTTACAAACCGGTTGGAACTGGTACATGTTCGCCATATGCCTAGAGTTCGGCAAGTTCCGTAAACGATGAAAAACATTGTAAAAGCTTGTAAAATTTTCCAGAATCAGTTATAATAATTTTAATAGACAATAAAATGATATTGAGATGTATAAAATTATTTTTTAATGTGGAAGATGGAAGTGTACCAATTGAAGTTGTTCGTTGTTTTCCGGAGACTTTGTGACAGTGAAGTTATCTGGATTCTCATTGGTCAAATAATTTTTGCTCCTTCATGATGTTAAAAGTGTTAAATTCCTTCTTTCAAGTAAAACTTTCCTGTGAAAAATAAATATTTTATTGGAATCGTCCCTGTAAAGTTGTGGCATTTTCTAATTGCTTCTTATAAATGTATTTTTTTCGAATTTATGGCCATAAGCCAGAAGGAAAAATCCCTCAAATGAACCAATCACCGTGCGCCTCTGTTCGAGTCACAGTGAGGTATTAACCCTTTAATGCATTTTACCCACCAAACAGTAATTCAAAATCCTTACCTCACTGAATGAACTTAGGAAGACCATGAACTGTTGAGGTTTGTGGTGCGACTAATCATGCAATATAGTCTTATGGTGTATCTAAAAACATCTTTAAAATGATTTTTAAAAACCCGAAGAACGAGGCCGAGTGTAGGCATAAAACAAAATATGAACAAAGAATTATAGAATTAACGCGTCGTCATATATCAGGAATTTAAGGCCTGATCTCGATCGACATGCACTGTAATATAATATTATATAATTATAGGCCTATATAACCATTAACATTTTAATAATTGCTTTGGCTGTGTGTTATTTCAAAATATTTGTTATATACAGCTTTCCTGATTGTCTGGAAAGCTTTTGCCGTTGTAGGATCTAGATCTACGTACATATGTACTATTTTCAGTATCAGTATTCTAATTCTAACTTTTACCAATAAAAAAACTTTTTGCTCTGTTCATGGCGGTAGGCCAACACCCTATGTATGATGTTTTATCATATCTCTAAAAATGTTTCTTTTTTTTTAAATCTCTTCTCAAAGAACTGGGGTTTCAGCTGGCCATTATGCTATCTATACAAAGACAGCTGAGCATGATCTCGAGCAGCTATATAATGCTGGGCATAATGTAAACGAATGATACTTCCATTTTTATCTCATTTTCTAGTCCTCACCATCCTTCTCTAGCTCTCATCCTGTATTCTCACCTCGACCCATGCAAAAATACACAAACAGACGTACAGAGAATACATAAACAAAATCGAAGACCTATTTTTCAAGAATTGCAATTTGGCACAATAATCATTGCTGTTTTATTAACTTGATTTTTATGTTTGCTACTATTGTTAATTAAAGTCTTAGTGGTGTAAAATAAACGAAAAATATAAGAGCAGGTGGTTGGCGGGTGCGCCGGTGTGGTTGCCCCTTAATTCTTTCCTGTCGAACGTATCGTCCTGATCTCTCGTCGAATCCTTAGCGTACAAGAAACTTTATTTGTTTGTTACCGATACTCTCACACCTATAATATCGTTGGCACTTCATGTCCTTTTACCTAAACTAAAACCAAAAAAATAAAAGAGTGAGCTATATAATATGTAAAGTGTGTTTTCTTTTGCCTTTGCAGCTTATATACCGCCCTGTCGAAACGAAACGTTGATTTACACAAACAAAACATAAGCTGTCGATTTGTGTGCAGTTGTCGCAAAAGGGTGAAAACTAAAATTAACTTGACCCCTGTTCTTGTTTCTATTTTGAGTCTGGTAACTTTCCGTTCTCACTGAGTTCGATCCACAACATTCGACTTCCGACTTCCTTTGGTTTCACAGAACTTGGATCCAAAAACTGTAGAAGGACCCCGAGACGAAATACATTAAAAAGGAAAATCGAGCTATTGAAGCGATATAATGTGTATAAGAAATTGCGAATGAATTTGTCTTTTATGCCTGTTTTAATCGAATAGAGTTTGTTTCAATTATGCTGGAATTTTGTCAATGGAAAGCTGAGTCTTTCGATGATCCTATGCACTCATTCAGTATGCAGTGCAGCTGACCCCAAATCATCAATCGGCTGGTACGATGCGGTTCTGTCTTGTTTTTATGGTCTTTGAATCTCTTCTGAAATGTCGCTCTACGGGTTGATGCGCTATTTATTCTTTGAAGAAATACACAATCTTATAGTTTAACTCCTTGGGAAACGAGAGTCTAGATCTAGGCCTAGGTCTAGAATCTAGTAAAGCCCACTTCACTTGACCAAGCTAATAATGGTCTACGTTCTATGAGTTGGGTTTTTGGGTTGTTGTTTTTTCGTCTGAGATCCTTTGATTTAACACTGGCATCGGTGGCCAAGTGGTTTAACTCTGAGACTCTCAACGTTAAGGATGTGGGTTCGAATACTGTCAGGGGCCCTATATTTATTATTATATGTCCTTGGGAAAGGCACTTTACAATAAAATAATAAATTACATGGAATTTTCCTCACTTCATCCCGGTGGGAATGGTTGACCAGCTGTTTAGTCAGCGAAAGATCTTCAGTTTGTTAGTGTTTGAGATAGTGAAATTTGCAGCTTGCACTGTATGCTTCTGAAGAAGCGGAGAATATGTCTAAGTGTTCTGTGATCTGCTGGGGTAATAATGGTTGTCAAATGCAGAGCATGCTGTGGAGCGTGCGCTATAAATGACATGCAATATTATTTATTTTAAGTAAGCATAACATACTAGTAACTAGATCTAGGTGAAACAGCTATGTTTCACTCTAGCCGATTTAAATCGGAGTGTGTGATATCTTTATCTTTATATATTTTTATTTTTCATTGTTCTTGATGACAGCAGCTAGACAGTCAGTTTGATGTCGCGCACAAACTGTGCAGTCCTCTTCAAATCTGAGAGAATGTGCCAGTGCCATAGAGCTTTCTCTCTCAAGAAGAGTCACATTCTGCCACTTCTGTGTACTACAGGTGGCGTAGCGCGGGCACTGCAGAAGGATATGGTTGGCATCCTCTTGGTCGTGTCCACATTCGCAGATCGTGGACTCTCTCACTTTTTTAGATTTAGTGTTTTTATGTATATAATGGTGTTTGAGTTTGTTGTGACCACAACGGAGTCGAAAGATTGTGAACTGGTCTGCTTTCTTTAGCTAGCATGTAGTAGGGGTATTTTTATAAATACACAGCTGTTGCAAGTGAGCTATTCGTCACCTGAACCACGATATTTATTAAATGCTGTGTTCATGAAGCTTTCACCTTGGGTAGGATAGGATTAAGTTCATAAATCATAGTTATGTGAGGCATTGTGGTGAAATTAGGCGCTTGTCAAAATAATGAAATCAAAGAAGCTGGCATTTTTCTGTCCGTTTTGGCAATTTTTATTGAATTTTTTGTTTATTGACTCAACAACACCTTGAAGGTCCATTTTAAAAACAATGTGTGTGGATTTTACTGACAAATGTTTATTTAAGGCAGAAAAATAAATTTGCAGCTTCTAAGGACTCTCAAGGTGTGGAAGTCGCCAAACTTTGGTGGCCATTTTCCCGCTAATTTTACCTCTGGAACCAGGAGACTCCTACCTCCTTCAATGGCAAATATCTCAACTTCTTTTCAAATTATTTTTTTCACCGAAAGCAAGACAAATGAACAAGTTTTAAAATGATACCAATCTCTACATGTCCAAAAATTGATGAGCGCCTGATTCCCCTGCGTCGTGACACATATTATGTAAACTTATGCCTTGAAGCTGCTCAAACTGCAAAAATAAAACTGTGTTCTAAATTTTTACTCCCCCCTCTCCTGATCTGAAGTTTCTTTTTCAATCTGATACTTATAGTTTACTGCACTGCTGTATCCAGTAATTGGTAGTCGTATAATAAGATGTTATTATAGAGTTGAATGAATTGCAGTTTTGATTGAAAGGAGATGTATGCAGAGTGATTTGAATCATTACCAAACATTACATTGCAAGCCTTATTCAGACAACAGTCAAACCTGTCCGAGATGACCACCTATCATAACTGCCAAGTACTCTGATAAAATTGGAGCTCCACGATTTTATTTTACCCATCAAAGAACCTTGATCGGATTACTTGATTAGCATAAAACCTTTCTTTTTAAATTCCGTTTCTGTCAGGTCGCATATATGACTTACTGCAAATGGTGTGAAAAATACATTTTTTATTTGTGTTTATTTTCTATATTAGTGCAAATTGTCATGCATGAACCCATTTTTATTTTTGCAACGCACATTAATTTATTTGCTGTAGTCGGTTTATGTTATAATTATCTTAATCTATTAGGGTCCTGGAGATTCTGGGTTTTTTACCCCCAAACTCCTATTATTAATATTATTAGTCATGAAGTTGTCAGCATGTCTGATCCATTGTCAAATCAAGGAGAAAGTGGTTATCCTAAATAGGTGGTCCTCTTGAACTTTGTCATTATAAACAAGAAACGGATGGGAGGAATGGAAGTGGTTGTTTGTACAGGTGACAGGTCATTGTCTTGGACAGGTGGTCGACAGTTGTATTTTTATTTAAAGAATCTGTGTCTGTGACGATCACATCAGTTTTTTGTTTAAAATGTCCCCCTATGTTTCTGGATGTTTCAAATTTTAATGTCCTATGACCTGTAACTCAAATCACTAATCACCTCATGTTATTTTGATCTAGAGATATGACAGCACAGTAGGAGATTCCGATGGATGAAGAAACCCCTCGAAATATCATGACCCAAGCTTTGTTTGGAGACAGTGGAATGCTTAGTGCTGTCGCTTCCCTCCTGAGACAGCATAATGGCACCAAAGTAAGTGCAGTATAAATTGTTAAAAATAAAAAGGTTCCTGTTATTGACGAAACATGGTTATAAAATTGAGATTGCCACTTTTACTGAGCTTTGATTGTGGAATGTTTTGAGTCTTGGATTTTTTATTTTTTTTTGGTATTGTATGACCTTTCATTCAACAGGATTTTCTGTCATGTCAGCTGTTTTTTTTCCTGCCAACAATCCTGTATTGTCTAGAATCTTCTGCTTTACATTTAGATGGCTTCCTTTTGAAACAGTGATATCAATTGTCAAATGTAATTTAATAACAATAATAACAGTTCTTTCATCAATGTCTGACAATGACCATAATTATATACCGTCTATAGTCTTTTGGTAAGGCTGCTGGACTCGCAGCAGGGCGCAGCTTTGAACCCCTATTGGATGCAATGTTGTATCTTTGGGAAAGACTCTTTTAACTCTTTATTAACATTTTTGTTACATCGTCTAAGCAGGATGGGTACTTTTTTTAAAGTGAAAGATCATCTAAGCAGGATGGGTACTTTTTTTAAAGTGAAAGATATATATATATATATATATATTGTCAGTCAGTATATTTTGAGTGTCTGTAAAATGTCTGCTAATACTTCTCAGTGAATACTTCCCAGGACGCTGAAAATGTTTTAGAATGTTATAAGTCTGTCAGGGTAATAATAGGTTGAAAGTTGGGTAGAGCTTTGTTTCAAATAGGGATATAAAATGCACTTTATATGTGCAATCTATTAAGGTTGTTATTATTCGAATATAAAGCTTCTTTATTCTTTTTACAGATATGTTTATAATTAGTGTATCTGCTTTATTGTACATTAGATTAGAGCCTGCAGATATTTAGCAGAACTGTACATCTAATTTTCACCTTTTTCTTCAGGTAGATGAATAGATGCAAGTAATGCTAAAAGATTAGGTACTTTTTATTAAAGGATTTCATTTTGGTGTACTATTTCTGAACAACTTGATTTAGATTATAATTATATTTATGTATATATATATGATACCAAAATTCAAACAGGAAAAAGAAGTTCAAATGTCGACGCCTATGTTGGTCCTTACCAGTGTGCCAGGAAAAGATTCTCTTCATGCGAATGTTGTCCTTGGCTCTGCTCTAGGAAAAACAGCTGGCATGAAACTCAAACCTGATGCGCCAACCTCTACCGAGGTGAGTGTTGCTTTAGTTGGGTTGTTTTTTTTCTGTTTTTTTCTTTTTGTGTACAGATATTCTCTCTTGAATTGAGATGAAATCCACTCATTCTAATAATCATAATGAATAATATATTACTTTTTTATAATTTCTGATGTAGGTTTTTTTTTCTCTGCTGTAGTATTGTAATTTTACATATGATATATATAGAGTTGTAGATTATGAATGAGAACGGTTTGTACTCTCAGTTTAGTATCATCTTGAAATGCAACATCTATACATATATAGCATAGAAGTAAAGAAATGGGAGTGGGTGGTTGGCGGATGCTCTGGTGTGGTTTGCTTCTTCTTTTCTATCAAACGTATATCGTCCTTATCTCCCCTTCTTCTGTTTTATGTTTGTTACTCTTTTGTAACACCTCTAATCTTCTGGTGCTTAATGACCTTATGCAGTTGCGAGGGCCGTAAAACCCTCGACTAAAACTATACTAAAAGAAATGGGATAGTGCACTGTGGGGAGGACCTATAGGCAGTAAGCCCATAGCTGTTCAAGTAGCCAAGAAGTGTTGAATGAAAAGCAATTTGGGAACTTCCCAAAAAGTTTCCGTTTTATGACATAATAGTTTTGTACCCTTTTCTCTGTTTATTTTCCTAATGTACTGTGAGGAGGTCTTTGGAGTATGGAATAACTGTGTTTATAAGGAGAACTACAGTCTCCAACACAATTCATTTGACAGAAGGTTAGATCTATAAGTTGCATTCATCTGAAGGAGGAAAGTGACATTGTGCTTTGATTTTTATTGGAGTGTATCTAAAGACAGTGATCTATCAGGTTATGTCCCCCTAAAGTGTCTCTCCTCCTTTCTATTCTTCCTATGTCAGTCTTTCTCACTTTTCCTCTTGTAATCTCTCTTCCTCTCCCTCCCTCTCCATCTTCCTCTTTCTCTCTATGTCAGTCTTTCTCACCCTTCCTCTCACTAACATTATTCATGTACCCCCCCCCCTCTCTCTTTCTGTCTATCACTCTCTCTGTCTTCCTCTTTCTCTGTCTCTGTTTCTGTTTCTCATTCTTTCTCTCTCTCATCCTTTCTCCTTCAATGTGTCTGTCTGTCTGTCTGTCTGTCTGTCTGTCTCTCTCTCTCTCTCTCTCTCTCTCTCTCTCTCTCTCTCTCTCTCTCTCTCTCTCTCTCCCTCCCTCCCCTCCCTCCCTCTCTCTCTCTCTCTCTCTCCCCCTCCCTCCCTCCCTCCTTCTCTCTCTCTCTCTCTCTCTCTCTCTCTCTCTCTCTCTCTCTCTCTCTCTCTCTCTCTCTCTCTCTCTCTCTCTCTCTCTCTCACATACACACACAACACACACACATACATCAAATATTGAAATCTTTTTACATTGTCCTGTATGTTTTGTCTATAGCCCACTGGCATGCTATCCAGCCTGGAGGAAGTGCACGCCCTGGCCACAGCGAGCCTCGTGGCCTCCACACAGCGTGACATTGCACAACAGCTGGCACAGGAAGCTGATGGCTTGGACACGCCGCGCCCGTCCCGTTCGAGCAGGGAGAAGAAGACCAGACAACTGGACCCCCAAGCAAAAAGGATCCAAGTGAGCAAAGGTACATGGATAAGACTGGAATTTTATTTTTTTGTTGTTGCTGGATATGATTAAAGTTTTTGTTGGGTCTTCAGATGAAAGCAAGGTTGAAGTGGGCTTTTTTTTTAATGAATGAGATAAAGTTTTCAAAACAGTTTTGAAGATAATGAACCATGACTTGGCAAAATGCATTTTTTTTGTTCTGCTTCAAAGACTTATTTTTAACAATTTAGTTAAGATTATTTAAATTTCTCATTCTGGATTTTTAAAATTTTCTGTTAAGATTATTGTATTTTCTTATCCTCGGCAGCAAAACAAGCAGTATTGAAGACAGCTGAGAGTAAAGTGACCTCGGAGATGAAGACTAATATTGTGGAGAAGACACAAGATTCTGTGCAGCCAAAAGCTTTAACCTGCTCATTTGAGGGTTGCAACCGAAAGTTTGCCTGGCAGAATCACTTAAAGTATCATGAGCTGACTCACACGTACGTATGGACAGAGTGGTGTGGTGTGGGGTAGAGGATTGCATTTCTTTTCTATTGATTACTTTTGTCTAGTGTCTTGCTTTACCGAGTAAATGAGCTTTATGATTGTGTTTTTGTACTCTTACATAGGGACTTTTGCATCTGTTTCTCTCTTACAAAACTAATTTATTGTGCTATGTCCAACACAACTGAAATAAAACTCTTGTCAGTTTTCTACTGTAATATTTTGGAAATTAAGTAGCCTCATCTAAGATACAGATATATCTACATGTTTCTAAGATAAGTTTATCAATGATGGGCCAACTTTAACAATCACATGTGGCTGATGGAATAGTGAAGAATACTTATGACAAGGAAGAAAATACAAGATACATATGTGTCATGACGTGGTGGAATCGGGCGCTCGTCAATTTTGGGGCATATGAGGTTATTGGTATCATCTTAAAGCCTGTTCTTTTGCCTTGCTTTAGGTGAAAACAAATATCCATCTTTGTTGAATAGAAGTGGAAATATTTGCGATTGAGGGAGGTCAGGGTCGCCTAGTTTCAGAGGTAAAATTAGCGAGAAAATGGCCGCCAAAGTTTGGCAATTTCCATTGATTGAGAGTCCTTGGAAACTAAAAATGTACTTTTTTTGTGCCTTTAATCAAGGTTTTTCAGTAAAATCCATGGAGAAATGTGTTTTTATGGATGTAAAAGGTGTTAAGCCAAAAACAGAAAATTAGAAAAAATTGCTGAATGGCAAGGAAAACGTCAATTTCTTTGATTCCATTATTTTGATGAGCTCCTGATTTCACCACGATGCCTCACATATACTTAAAATCAGTGGGTTGAAGAATGTGGAGTTGGCTACAACAAATGGGGGATTGCAAAAAGCGACAACTATCACCAACAATGCCCCCCCCCCCACACACACACACACACACACACTCCAATGTAGGGGGCTCTTGTGTTCTAAAGGTATGGTGTTCGTCTCACATTCAAAAGGTCTGGGGTTTGAAATCTGTCTGCGGCGAAAAAATGTCCTTCTCTAAAAAAAATTGTCCTCTCACGCCTATTTCCTGTTCTCGAGTTCTGTTCTGTCATCTGCTATCATTTCCACCCTCTCCCTTCTTCCACCACTTGCCTCCTCTGGGCTCCTTTCTCCTTTACCCATGACCTTTTCTACTGCTACTTCTGGCTTCTTCTTACTATTGTCTTTCAGCTTCCCCTCTAATCTTAGGGTCGGTAAGATCGAACACCTTGCCTTCTTGAATAAGGATGAAAAATTTCTGAGTCTGAGGTCCCATGTGCAATTGGCACACGTAAAAGATCCGTTGGTGGTCTTAACCCCCGTCCCGCTATGCGCGTTCATCTACGCGAAGTAGGTCACTGCTCGAATAGCGCTGCGTGCGTACATCTACGCTCGCCGCCTGGCAGGGCGGGAAGCGCGCGAGTGGTAAATCTACGCTTCTAACCCTGACCTTCTTCAATGGAAAATTACTAATTCTTATTTATAGTAACATGACAACATCTATTACAAGATAGTTTATAAATATCATCCAATCAAAATTCAGTTGTTCTTTTCCCGCTAACCTTCGAGATAGCGTCGCGTGGGACGCTGCAACAAGCCCTATTATCTCTTGACCTTTGGTCTGCTTGCTTGCTATCGGCTATCAGAGAGCGCACGTCCGAGAAAGTAAACACCTCTTTTGTTTTGCATTTTCGCGTTCTTTTTCCAAGTATTTCCAAGTTTAAAGTCATGGAAAATGATGGAAGCATTCCTGAAGTGCTTGATTTGAGCAATCCTGACCACCTACGTCTTTTGATGGAGGCAAATGTGAGATATTTTGACCCCCCACTATCGGAGACAGAGTCTGCTACTGCTTCCACTTCCAGCAATGTTTCTAGCGCTTCTCCTACTCCAGTGGATAGCTCATCATTGGAGCTTTCGTCACTGGTTGACAGTGATTTGGAAGAGGATTTGTCTGAGCCCATCAACCCCCCTACGAGAGAACCTTTATCAGATGATGAAGATGAAACTCAACAAAGTAGCACGGATGAAGAACGGGGATGGAGGAGAGGTGCAACCAAGCCACCATCATGGGAGTTCAGTGGAACAAGTGGACTGCAGAGAGAGTTGAGTGACCCAACACCCCTTGGCTACCTCAAGCTACTCATCGACGATGACATGATGCAGAGCATAGTTGATGAAACAAACAGGTAAGTGTTGTGCAGTTTTATGTATAGATCTTAGCTAAAAAAATTGCAGTGAAATGTCCTTCTACTTGTGTGTGTGTGTGTGTGTGTGTGTGTGTGTGTGTGTGCGTGCGTGCGTGCGTGCGTGTGTGTGAGCGTGCGTGCATGCGTGCGTGCATGCGCGTTTGTGTGTGTGAGTGTGCGTATGTGTGCGTAGGTGTTTCATGCACATAGTGATATCATCAGGTTTTCAGCTGTTATTTGAGAATAAGTGAGAGGCATGGAAGGAAGGATAAAGTCAAAGAGTGAATATTCAGAGCATGATAACAAAAAATTAATGTGTACAGTAAAGAAAACATACAAATTCAATGTTACATACACATCCGCAAATTATTTTTAGCTAAAGTCAAACTAATAGCTTTCTTATTGTTTCTATTTCAGATATGCTCAAACTTCGTTGGCAAACAAGACCCTTACCCCCAGCTCTCGCTTTCGCAAGTGGACCGATGTGACCCTCGAAACCATGTGGGCTTTCTTTGGACTGATCATCGGCATGGGGCTTATCATCGTGGACGACCTTGAAGAGTATTGGTCCACTGACCCAGTCTATGCTCTCCCCCTCTTCCGATCTGTCATGTCAAGGGATCAGTTCAATCTGATTTTATCATATTTGCATCTCTGCAACAACGCCGACAATCAGCCGCGGGACAGTCCGAATTATGACCCATTATTCAAGATCAGGAAATTTGTTGATGCCTTGAATAACAATTTTCAGCGGACCTTCCACCCTGGGAAAGACATAGCTATTGACGAAGCTATGGTTGCTTGGAGGGGTAATTTGTCCTTCCGCGTATATAATCCTGACAAGCCGGACAAATTCGGAATCAAGGTTTTTCAGCTCTGCGACAGCCAAACTGGGTACTGCAGCAACCTTGAGTTCTACACAGGGAAAAAAGCTCCGTCAGCGAAAGGGGCAACATTTGATGTTGTGGAGAGGCTCATTAGGCCATATATCAACTGTGGACGCACCCTGTATGTGGACAATTATTATACAAGCCCTGACTTGTTCACGTACTTGAAGGAGCAGAGAACGCTGGCGTGTGGCACGATGAGAATAAACCGTAAAAATGGCCCACCCAAAACGATGATCCCGAAGTTGAAGAAAACAGAGAAGGAGACCGTTGCCCTTACGAACGGAGTGATCACCCTCCTTCGATTTTTTGACAAGCGGGAAGTCAATGTACTTACCACTGCACATGACAACTCTGTAGTTGACACTGGTAAAGTCAACAGGAGTACTGGAGACCCCATTATAAAACTCCATGCAGTGAATGAGTACAATAAACTCATGGGCGCCGTAGATCGCAGTGATCAAATGGTGGCGTACAATGCGTTCAAACGCCGTACTCTTAAGTGGTGGAAAAAAGCTTTTTTCCACATGTTCGGGCTCGGCGTCTTGAACGCATATCTTATCTATCGAGCCACAACACCAGCAAGGGGCCAGCAATCCCACCGTATTTTTAGGAGAGAGCTTGTGAAACAGCTGGTGTCCCAAGCGCCAGTCGGAAGATCCCCTGCGTCAAAGTCAGGCAGAGAGCTAGGAGAATCAACAATATTCCGCCTCACAGCTAGGCACTTTCCAACCCCCATCCTCCCAAAATCTGACGCAGCGAAAAAAAGGAAGCCGCAGAGAGATTGTGCGGTATGCACTGAAAAGGGGAATCGCAAACAAAGTCGATTCGAGTGCACATCCTGCGATGTGGGGCTGCATGTGCATCCGTGCTTTCAGATCTTTCACACTTGTGTGAATCCTCGACGAGCCTTCAAAAGGCGACATCCTTCGGGAGAGGCCCAGGCTGAGTAGCCTGACTCCCAAGGCCGACAGATTTGGGAAAGGGGGATATGGGATGGGGTACTGTTACAGTGTAAATTTTCTATGTTGTAGGCCTACATGTTGTGTAATGTATAAGTGTGGTGGAAATCATTTTTGTGACTGGTGTGTGAATTATTCGTGGATTACTGGTACAGTTTTCTTCAATTCTGTTTTGGATTACCATTGATGTCTGCAGAATTCTACAGAAAAGGTCAGATTATTTTTGTATTCTAAATTTTAACAAAAAAATACCTCTCTCTCTCTCTCTCTCTCTCTCTTACACACACACACACACAAACACACACACAAACACACACACACACACACACACACACACACACACACACACACAAGTGACAAATTGAGGAACTTTGGCTTTTATGCAAAAGATTTCTTATTTAGAAAATCATATTTTTTAAAATCATCAAATATATGGGAATACATTTATGTTTTCATATGGGCAATTCAATGCTCTTTAAGAAAATATATAGTTTAGCGGGGTTTAATAGGATTATAAAGACACAATGAGTAATTTTCTAACACATGGTAGGAATGCTCTATTTTAGCCAGCCACACCCCCATTGTTTTTAGTGGCAACCGGGAACCGCCCAGTGGAATTATGATAGCGCTTCCGGTTGACCTCGATCGCGGAAGTAGGGTTAAAATTGATAAAAGTAGGCTTTAGCTGCCACGTGGGTAAAATTCAAAATTAATTCATACCAAAACTGAAAATACTCTTGTCAGTATTAAAAGATAAGAGTACTTTTGAAATTGGAATGTGACTGCCTGAGGGCAAGGAGCCCTTCTAAGTAGATAAAATGGTCAGTATATGTAAAAATCAGTTGCACACTGCAGGTTGAAGAACCAACAGTCGGCTACCCTTGAGATCTAGCAGGGAAGGGCAAAGAAGAAGAAAAGTGTGAACATGTTGTGATTTTTCGTGGACTAGCTGGACTGGCTTTGTCTTTGTTTTTATTCTCAGCAATAACCGGCAACACAAGTGCCCAGTAGAGGCTTGTGACAAAACCTTCTTCACAGCCCAGCGTCTCAATGTACACCTACGGACACACACAGGGGAACGACCGTTTGCATGTTCCCACCCAGACTGTGGGAAAAGCTTTACTACGGCGGGGAACCTGAAGAACCACCAGCGTATTCACACTGGTAGGAAGCATGTTGCGTAATAGTTATGGGCCTATGTGGTGGGTGCTTTAGTGTGGTCTATTTGTGCTGTTATTTCTTTCCAGTGTGCCATTCCTGTCCAGTTAAAGTCTTAAGGGGATCCGCGGGTCTCGATCCTCTAGAAAATCGGGTATTTGCTTTAAAAAAAATGGAACTTCGAGTATTTGGATATTCTTACAGAAAAATATGTCAAGAATCTGTTTGTGAAGGTCCCAAAACCTAAAGAGACCTCTAATAAATATAAAAATGTATTTGAAAGCGGTAGGGGGGGCAAAAAAATTCAAACAAAATGTCAAGAAATGCTAAACTTTACCCCTTGACAACAACACTTTCCGTGGCTGCAAGGTAATCAAGTTTGGTATCGTTGGAAAGGCCGTGATAAGAACTATTCGATTATTGCACTTTCATTTTCGTACGGAACTACTCTGGGGACCCATTTAGGTATGTTTGAAGATCCCGTACCAAATACCGGTTGGCCACTTCCGTCACATGACCGGACCGTGAATTTTCATTCGCCGAGCCGGTAGCAACGAAGGGGATTCCCCTCGCGGGCCATTGTTTACACTGCGTGCCGAAAGACAGAACGTGAACGTTTTCGCTGCATTTCAAAGAGTTTTCTATCG